GCACTCTCATCACTCTTACCATATGCATGGTCATTACAAACATACCAAGTTTATTCTTCTTATCATCATATGTCAGAATTGAACATACACATCAACATTGAATACTGTATAATTTGCAGGCATAGGCGTATTCAAATAAGCATTGTTGGGATTCTTGGGAAGCACATCAGGTCCAATTTCGAGGATGGAGATTCCAAATGATTCACAGGGAATAAATAAAGCTATACACACATACAAAAAAAGAATCATATTACATAGAGAGGATTCTCCAACTGCCGAGGACACAATGTATACACATAATGTCAACAACATTAGAGAGTGATTTTTAAATTATTATTATATTATGCAAAAAATAATTGAATGGAAACAAATGGTTTGCATAGCCATTATCAGTGAGCACGACGACTATCTTCACCCCAAAATGTCGGCCTATTTGGTATCTGTCTACAAAGAGCGGAAACAGCTACTACATCCTTGTAATTGGGTATGTTTGTTACTTGTATTGTGTCTTTGTAAATATAGACCATGTCAATTGCATATATACTATTTTCAAATTAGATTGTGATAACAAAGTGAAAAGGAGATACGTTGGACTCACGTTTAATTTTTCTAACTATATTTTTCTAAATACTTTATATACCTACTCTCGTGTATTTGATGTTGTATCATTCTGATGTCTTTGACTATCGGCGTTGTGTCTGATCTATACATTCTGAGTTTTGGGTGCATACGATGGATGATTATAGTTAGCAAAGAATTTGTAATTCGTAACATAAAGTATAAAAACCTAATTACAAATATTTGATGCAAGTATACAAACCGGTTGTCAACCTGTACAAAAATATTTGACCATTGCAAATGGCAACGGTGTGTACAATACAATACACCCAAAATCAGATGTGCAACCCTAGATTATATCATACATAGATTGCATACAATTTGTTTCATCAAGGACAATTTTAAGACGATTTATTCTAATTCTAAAAAAAAAAAAATCCAGCCCATTGATACTTTATCCAGTCTTCCCTTTAAGTACAAGCAGTACTATTTATATTTAGGGTAAATATAATTTATTAGCCAAACCTTTTATTTTAAATAAAATAATATCCAAACCTTTTCAAAAATAATTTATTAGCCAAACCGTCAACTTTTCATCCGGTCAATTGTTAGTTGACTCTGATATGACAAATGAATTGCTTACTCAGTACCCTTATTTATCAACTCAACCCAATAACATCATAATAAAATCGATTGGAAAAAATTATACATTTGTGAAGTTACATATATAATCTTACTCATATAATTTATTTTTAATGCTTCTCTTTGTCTCTCTTTTGTTTTTTTATCCCCTCTATTTCTCTCTCCCTATGCAATATCATTAGACTTCATATAAGAAACCCATTTCTCCACAAAAATAGAGAAAGTTAGCTAGTAGCATATCCCCTCCAACAAACCACACTAAAAAAGAGTCACCAATTCCCCTCTTTGTCGTCTCTCTTTTCCTTCCCCAAAGTTTCATGTCTCCTCACCATTATCTCCACCACCACACCACACCTCAACATAACCAAAACCCCTCCTTAATTACAACCATCTCCACCATGATCACTCGACAACATGGGCCTGGCCGGCATCATCGACGTGGACTCTCTCACGAAACTCCCCAAGCTCATGACTTTCAGTGAACAGCTTCGACGGACCCATATCCCACCGTTCAACTCCGATTGTTCATGCTTTCCGATAGCTTTCGCCGTTGCTCTAAGTCTCGTCGATCGAGTGTCCATCATTTGTGCATACATACTAATAAAGACATCTAATAAAGACATGCAACGAACATTACTCTCAAGAAGAGACACAAAGTTAATACGTACATCACTGTCGAAAATGATTGGATTTTGGGCTCAAGATTACAGGAGTTTTAGGAATATTGTAACTTGTATTATTATGAAACCACAAAGGGGTTTATATAGATCACAAGACTTGGACAATAAGTAAGAGAACCACAATACTAGGAGGACACGGAAATACTAAGAACTATACTATAAAGACTAGGAAATATAAGATTATTTCTAATCTATCTTTAACACGCCCCCGCAAGATGATGGTTCGAAGAACAACATCAATCTTGACCAACATACGCCAATCTTGAAGAACACGCCCTCGCAATGTGATGGTGGAGAATGTGATGCAAATTCGTCGAATACTCGTGCTTGAAGAGCGAAACCAACTAACCGTCGTCTTGGAGCATAAGAAATCATCGAACTTGCAATGCATATGTTGCAACGAAAATTACTCGTCGTAAAAAATTGACCCGAAACGAGATGAACAATAATCAATTGGTTTTAACGATACCAATAAACGTAAACTGGTGTAGGACACGAAGAATTCATCCGAATGACTGTGGTCGGAGAAACTTCCTTTGTTCCATACACACAAACGAGAGATGGCTGGAGATTGAGTGTGGACTCCATACCATACAAAGTCTTGAGCAATCAGCTCTAAAAGCCGGAGCTTCGTCTCCGAAGTAAGGCGGCAGTGATCGAGCTTCATAGCACAAAAATTTAGCAGAGTCGGCGACATTGAAAAATAAGGATGAGTAATCGATGAAAGATTGATTTGTGGAGTGGCAACAGGATTCTTGGACTTTGCTGGGAACGAGGTAAAGGGAGGATAAGAGCGGGGTGAAATGATCGAGTCACTTTATGATACAAAATTAGTAACCAAAGCAATCCACAAGAAAATTATTAAGTTAGTTGGCGAGCTATACATGAAATCACGCATAAATTAGTACCCAAGTTGGCTCCAGATTCGCACCTTCAAGACTTCTTATGATTCAAGGTAAAGATATACCAAGTCGATCTAGCTTAAGAGCTTGTAAAATTGAACAAGACCCAAGTCTAAACAGATCACTCATCAACATAACACAATTTGGATCTTCGATCCTCTTCTTTTCTCCACAACATGAAAAATTTCTACTCTAATAAATTAGGGTTATAGGTATAATATGCCCCTCTACTACGACGTTTTATAAAACATGCCCCTCTACTATTTTTTACATCAAATATGTCTCTGTACTTGAAAAAACTATCAAACATGCCCTTCTGTTAAAATTTTCATTGAAAAAATCGTCAATCGTGGTTGAACAGAGATTTAGATGACCCGACATTGGCAAATGGGAGGAAAAATGTCAGTTTTGTCCCCTGTTTTATTTCCCTGGGTCTTTTCAAAGTGAAATTATTTGAATGATTTGATTATACAAAAGAACGAAAAAAATTATAAAGTGAATTTATTATGGATATTTTAGTCACTTGTGTCGCCCAAACTAAAGTTCGGCCTTGGTTAACGGTTTTTGGATGAAATTTTAACAAAATGACACATTTGATCATTTTTACAAAATACAGGGGCATGTTTGATGTAAAAAATAGTAGATGGGCATGTTTGATAAAGCCTCATAGTAGAGGGGCATATTATACCTATAACCCAATAAATTAATATATCATATTATATCATTAAAACTTTGAAATGTCATACAATTACCCAAGACTTTTACTTACACCGCTACTAACTATATTAATAGTTATCTCAAGCACAAATGAAGAGAGAATGGTTAAAGAGCCCCATAGTGTTCACCACTACGTTACCCATCATTTGTGTATTCTTGTGCATTTCAAATGCTACTCGTTGCATAAAGCCTATTTTTTACCTAAAACTCTCAACATTTCAATGGTACGGTACTCGTTTAGGTTTATAGTTTTGTGTGGGGTAGAAGATTCTCAATGGTACTCTGGTTTTTAGTTTAGTTCGAAAACCCAATATTGTTAATTCGAAACAACAGATGAGCGGATAAGGCTATATTGAGTGTGAATTGTTCCACGACAAATGAGTATTAACAAAGAGAACATAAACCTTACATAATTATGTCGCAGCCCGTTGAAACATATTGACCCCAAATGGAAGAAGAAAAGAAATATAATCATTTTCTTCAACTTCTAAACGGTATACTCTCTTACTATATTTTTTTACTAGAAGATCGCTTTTCACTAGTCTCTATCAAATAAGCAACCAATCACAATATTTGTAACCAAGTACAAAAATCAAAGTGAACACAACTCGTCGGGAAGAGTCAGAGGACTTTCCTCACCACTTTATCAGCTACCCTGTTCTAATCGCTACCGACTAGGGGTGTTCAAACGGTGTGGTTATGGTGATAACCGTTTTAACCGGTAATATTTGGATAATTTGGTTTGATTAATTTGTATAATTGGTTTGGTTTAGTTAAATTTTTTAGCTTGTTTGGTTATTTGTTACATGCATTTATGTTAAGGGTTACTATAATTATGTGTTGATTGTTAAGTGTTATTCATTATATAAATTGTGAATTGATGCACTAACGAAAAAATTTCTCACTTAATGATAATGTGGTGTTATATTGGTTATTTTGGTTAACCAATAAACCAAACTGATTAAGCTTTAGTTTCGTTAATTTGGTTGTTGTATTAGTTTGGACGATTTGGTTATGATATTGTATTCCATGGTTAATGAAATTTATACTTATTTGGTTTGGTAATTATCATGGTAACCATTTGAACACCCCTACTACCAACAAAGTACACATTAGAACCGAGATTCACATCGCAAATCCCCACAATTGCCTCCAAGACAGGACTGACTATTTCATCCCAGCGATGCCTAGAACGAACTCTGTTGATACCTAGTTGGGAATCTCCCTTGATTGAAAGTGAGTCAAGTCCCATCTCGACACACCAGTTAAGTGCATCCCTTCAACGCCAGCTATTCAGCCTTGGAACTTGACTCTTGCTCAAACTCTTCGAATTGAGCTCCAAAATACCCTTCCTTAAACGCTCCTCTTGCCTTAGCCAAATTCTGGCAGTTTCCCGATTTCAGCATAAGCCTTTGGAAGGCTTTGAAAATGACCCTCTTGAATTCCTTTCAAGCTCCTAAGCACTTTCAATGTGTAGAGGGACTCTCCATCTTCAAAACAAGACTTCAAACTTGAATTTTCATAAAGCCAATAAAAAGTTATAGACATGCAAAGATGGTAACCTGAAAAGGGAAAATGACTTGTCCCTATATATTAGATGAGTCTGTCCTAGTGGCTTAACTTATGAAAAATACACCCGGCTCAAGAATAGTTATAAATACATCCATCCAAACAGTAATTCTTGCGCACATAAGTTACTACAAATCACTCTATAAAAAACGAAAATAAGTTAATACAAAACACTCAAGACATCAATCAGCCCAAGACATCAATCAGCCCACGGTGTAGAGGGATTGAATGAGCGAGTTGCAAGACTTTAGCTGCGGCCGGCCTGAGCAGCTGCAACAGAGCTTCCGCTGCACCCTCAGTGACTGCGATGGCGTGATCCCCATCAACCAAACAGCCTCAAAGATCATTCAGTTATTTTCCAAAAGACGAAGCTCATATTTTTCCTCGTCCTCCATCATCAACATCACTGCAAAAATCACAATACAACCAACCAAGAAAAAGAAAAAAATTACAAAAAACTATGGACTATGCATGCAACGCAACCGAAGAAGAAAATAGACCGATTGTTTGGACAAAAGCTTTGGCATGCAATTTGAACAAATTTGGGATTTGGACACAACACTTCGGAACTGAAAAATACAAGGTGAGTGGGACTTCAGCTAAATGATGCATAATATGTGAGATTTGTCCAAATCCTACAACCCAAATGACCCCGAAAATGCAACACAAAGAAACAACTCAAAAAACACAGCTAAACAAGAGACCACCTACTCCAGAAACAAAGAGGCCAAAAGCACCTATTTCGTCTGAAGTATTTCAGAGGGAGACAGACCTCATAAAAACCCTTCCAAAAACCAAAATTAAAGAAACAGCAAACCGAAATTAACCTGCTACGAAAGATGCAGAGGCCAAAACGACTGTACGGAATAGATAAACACGAGAGAGAAAAAAAGGGAGCAAGGATACGCCAAGAGAAAAACCACAAAGAAAACAAAACTAAATCAAAGTAATAATAGGGAGAGCCTCAACTTCAGATAAACACTACTCTAAACTCTTTTATCTCGCTTCCTAATTCCATCAATACATGTCTGCCAACATCTAACCCTAATCTCCCTCCTCTAGTGATTCACACATTGATTATGTTTCCAGTCTGCCAAGAGTGACTAAAATGGGTAGCTGTTTTACCTGCGCGTATATGAGGTGGTATCCATCGCTTGAAGACACTTGTAATAGGGGCTGGAAGGGATAACAAACACAATCAGAATCCACTAAGCCAAGTATTAGTAAACAAAAGAAAGTAAAACTCAACAAAACTTCACCTTGAGGAGGACGCTCTGCCGACGTTTCACACAAAAGGCTGTGCTTCAGTTCTTTCGGTTTGCTAATAGCGGCAATATTCGCTCCAACATCTTTCAAATCCGCCTCTAGTACATCCGATTCCTTGTCTGGTGGAAAATGAGGCTGCTGCCTTTCTCTTAAAACAGTCTCCCTGATTCCGTTCTCCTTATGCTGAATGATTTCAGTTGCCTCTTCAATGCCATGTTCCATACCGTCCTTGTAAAGGGCGGATTTCGTAGCTTCGTCCTTGCTGGAAAAAAAACCCCCAAATGCATGATGTTAAGTTGGTAAACAAAACAATCAACTAAATACCAACACTAAGTCAGGCAAAACGAAGATACAGCAACCTGTTGGAGCATTTCAACCAGCCACAGCAGAAATGAGATGAAATATAGGAAAAGAAACCAGACAATATAAAAAGAATGAAAGTAAATACATACAACAACCATGTGCATCTTATCATCCACGCCTTTGTTGACGTTTAGCTTTAAAAATCGGGTATAGAGATTGTGACCAACACAAAATATCCAAGCAGTTGACAAGAGATGTAATGTAAGTATATGTGCTAATTAGTACGTGTTGCATTGACGAAGTAGTTAGTTAGGTCGCACACCCAAAACTGTAACCCTCGACCTGTAATGGGATTAGAGGTTGCAGGTGCAGGATGTCTTTTCGCTCAGGAAATCTTTCTTTATGATTTTCTCGGTCCCATTAGTAAATACTAAACTTAACACCAGAAAAGAAGTAAATTTTAACAGGCAGAAACAGTTACCAAATATTGAGGGATGAAGGCAGGGAGGGAGTTCTTGCTTCCCTGCTGCTCTGAGTCTGGACCCAAAAGCGGTATGTTCCATCATACATGCCTCGCAACTCCGCATACCTTGGAATTGGAGTAGCCCAGCAAGAAACCCTTGGCTGGAACACCTGAAGGCGAAAGACATCTGGCCGTCCTTCTACTTTAGCTAAGAACTCTAGCTCTCCCCTTCTCAAATCGCAGCAGAATAAAGCATTCTTTGCACTAGAATAGGCTGGATTGAAGAAGATGACTTCCGGATTATGTGGATGGAGTGAGGGTCTGTGACACCCGTTTATAACTTCATAGTTACCACACTTTGTTGTCTCGTTCACCCACCCTTCGCATTGTTTAATCAAAGATTTACGGTCTTTATCCAGCCTCCAAACGCTTAAACGATAAGGTATAGTCTCATTTTCTTGTAGAATTACATGAAACACGCCTTGTGAGGCGGAAATAAACCAGTAATACGGATTCACAAGAAATCGGGAAATATCCATGGATGTGGGATGCATATCAAGGCGGAAAGGGTTAAACACAGCCACCAAATTATTAAGTATCTCATAACCCCTTCTGAGACTGTAGAGGTCATAATACCTCCAAAATAGCTCCCCATTGCACGAAATTGTACTTTTCAATTCAACTTTAACATGACCATCACAGACAAGAGCTTCCTTGGTCCATTCTCCAGATTCCGAACAAAAGACATCCAGCTTTATAGCAATTCTTGGTCGAGCGACTTGATAAATACACACCACCCGGAATCGATACTCAGAATAAACAAATGCTTGATCATCTCCTAGATCAAGCTTATTAGAAATACGGGGTTCGCAAACTAACCTTGAGGCCGGTGATACATAACCCGTATTCTTCTTGGGCGCTAAAGGAAGAGCGATCCACTGCTTCGTAAAAGGATTGCAGACCAAGTACGATCTGCCCTGTTCCCCATCGTCGCAGTCTGTATCCCAAAACCCACATAAAACCAAGTCCTTGTTGCAATCCAAAACTCTAAGGGAGTCTCGAACACTGCATGGCATGGGAGGGAGAAAGCTCAGGATTACCGATAGCAGCTCGTACGGATCCACCGACATAGTTGCTTGGTCCAGATTCATAGTCTGGTGGTGAGATACGAAACGGCGGTTGAAGTGAGGACTGCAGATCAGGGAGCCCCACTGCTTGCAGACGATTTTACACTGGCAGGCGGATCTTGGGCTGGGGAGGCGGATCAGAATCTCTACTAGGAGATCGGTTCCGAGTTTGCTGATCGTCGTGGGAGGAAGATCTGGTTCTGAACTGGTTCGTTGTCGTTTCCCGGAACAGCGACGGAGATCGGTTGCCGGGAGATCCCGATCCGAGATGCAGTTCTCGGCTGCCATGGCGTATTAATGAAGGAATATACGCCGGCGGCGGAGGAGGAGAAAGGCTTCGGTGGTAGGCGGAGGCCAGAATTTCAGAGGACAAGCCCGGAGCGGAAAGAGATCTGAAAATCCTAATTATTATTCCTTTTATCTGGGTAACGCAATCCTTCTCCAACCTGGTTTAGGTTTCCCGGATATCGTTTACTCCCCTGGCTTCGTCGATTAGTAGAGCTCCTCTGTCTATTACCCTGTCCTCTGTCTATTACCCTGTTCTCTGACCTCGGCTATGGCATCCCAATAAGCTCCTTCTTCGAGCCCGGCCTAATATCCCACGAAAGCCTCCATGCCCGGCCGAGGGCCCATCCAAAATGTTGGAGAAAGAACGCATCGAACAAACTCTTCTTCAGACTACTCATCCTTCAGCGCTTCCTTCTGATCCGGTTTCTGCTGCTTTTGGCCCTACTCCGGCTACTAGTAACTAGATCGAGTGTTTCGCTTGTGGTGGGTGGAAAGACAAGGCGTCGTGTGGCATAGCAGCAGCTACGGGCTGCAACCCAGGTTGCTGCCAAATTTTTTTTTTTTTTTTTTGAAGATACCGTATTTTGGATAATTCTTTTTTAATAAAGCAATAATTATAGAAAAAAAAAAGCATATCCTATGAGCTTCCAACAAACCACACAAAAAGAGTCGCCATTGCCAAAGCCCAAAGCTTCCTCTACTCCTCCGCAACAATCCCTCCCATATTCCCATCTTTGTCGTCTCTCTTCTCCTTCCCGCAAAGTTTCATGTCTCCCCATCATCTCCTCCACCACACCTCACCCTAAACAAAAACCCCTCTCCTTACCAATCATCTCCCACCATGATCACAACCACTAAACCACCTCCACCATCACTAATCCCCTCACTAATCATAATCACCATCGTAATTACATCCCCGTGTTTCTTCCCGCCCACGGCAACCTCCGCCGCCGTCAACGAAGCCGAAATCCTCCTAACCTTCAAGAAATCCCTCTCCAACCCCTCCGCCCTCCAGAGCTGGAACGCCACGTCATCCCCGCCCTGCACCCGCGACTCCTCTAAATGGGCCGGGCTCCGCTGCACGGGCGGGTCCGTCGAGAAGCTGATCCTCGACAACATGGGCCTGGCCGGGATCATCGACGTGGACTCTCTCACGAAGCTCACCAAGCTCAGGACGTTCAGCGCCATGGGGAACAACTTCGACGGGCCCTTCCCTCCGTTCAGCAGGCTGCCCTTGAAGAACCTGTACCTCACCGGGAACAAATTCTCCGGCGAGATCCCGGCCGATGGGTTCAGAGGGATGGCTTCGCTCAAGGACCTTTACCTGGGCCACAACCAATTCGCGGGCCCTCTTCCCGGGTCGCTTGTTGGGCTGAACAAGCTCAGCGAGTTGGGCCTGGAAGGGAATCAGTTCACCGGGGGAATTCCCGACCTTCAACAGCCGTTGACGGTGTTTAACGTCTCCGTTAACAATTTGGCAGGTCCCATCCCCAGGAACCTGGCTGACAGATTTAATCAGTCGTCTTTCTCCGGTAAGTTTGTTATCATTGCCGCCGTCTCATCGTCATTTTTCACCTTAATTAATCACGTCAGTATTTTATCATTAGCTAGAGATTAGCAATCAATAGTGGTATGCACGTATTTTGGAGACCTTACTTGTCACTAGTCATTGCGTGTTAAACCGTGGCGTTAAAATCAACTATTCTACGTAAAAGTGTTTTCGTGATCTATATAGAATCGTAAATATGTAAGCTTTTAACCTTTAAATCGTAGATTGTGACTATAATTGTAAGTGAAAAGTGCTATTTACGTAGAAGCGTTGTGATGACCGGAAAATAAAAGAGCGCGAGTTTTTAAGTTTTAAAACAGGATTGTGACTAAATTGGTCTTAAATACTAGAATAAATAGATTAATAAACTAATTATTTCGGTTATTAAAAAGAAAAGAGCGCTAAAAATATTTTTTTGGGGCAATGAACAGGGAACAAAGAGCTGTGCGGGAAGCCGCTGCCGGCGGCGTGCAAAGCCGGGAAGAGGAAAACAAAGACGAAGACCATTTTGATCATAGCGGCAATTATCGCGGTGGTGACAATACTGGGCGCCATCCTGGCCTGCACCTTCATCCAGGCCCGCGGATCCAGAAGAGGAGAGCAGGCCCAATTTGACGACACAAGAAACCTGAAGAAATTCGGGGCGGCAGGCCGAATGGGCCCAAAGATGCAGGCCCACAAAAACCATCAACCGGAGCCCATGAAGGAAGCAGCCGCCGCCGGTGGCGGAGGGAGGAGAGGGGAGAGCGGGAAGCTCCGGTTCGTGAGGAGCGACAGGGAGGAGACATTCGACCTGCACGAACTGCTGAGGTCGTCGGCGGAGGTTCTCGGCAGCGGGACGTTTGGGTCTTCGTACAAAGCTGTTCTCTCCGAAGGTCCGGCCATGGTGGTGAAGAGGTTCAGGCACATGAATAACGTCGGGAAAGAGGAGTTTTACGAGCATATGAAGCGGCTGGGAGATTTGTCGCACCCGAATTTGCTTCCCCTCGTTGCTTTCTACTACAGGAAGGAAGAGAAGCTTTTAGTTTCCGATTTCGTCGACAATGGCAGCCTCGCTAGTCATCTCCATGGTAATTATTGACCGCACTACTTGTCAATTTTTTTCTCTCCAGTTTTGGAAATTGATCGATCCAATTTCAATTTGTTGCAGGGAAGCGACGGCCCGGGGAGCCAGGGCTTTCATGGCCGACGCGACTGAAGATTATCAAGGGAGTAGCGAAGGGGTTAGGGTTTCTGTACAAGGAGCTTCCCGATTTGCCCCTGCCGCACGGCCACCTGAAATCCTCCAACGTCCTCGTCGACCACGCGTTTCAGCCGGTGCTCACCGACTACGCGCTGTCGCCGGTGGTGAATCGGGACCAGGCGCAGGGGGTGATGGTGGCGTACAAGTCGCCGGAGTTCATCCAGACGGGTCGGACGACGGGGAAGACGGACGTGTGGAGCCTGGGGATCCTGATCCTGGAGCTTCTGACGGGGAAGTTCCCGGCCAATTACCTCCGGCAAGGGAGAGGAGCGGCGGCGAACGCTGACCTGGCGGCGTGGGTGAATTCGGTGGTGAGGGAAGAATGGACAGGGGAGGTGTTCGACAAGGACATGAAAGGGACCAAGAACGGGGAAGGCGAGATGCTGAAGCTGCTCAAGATCGGGATGTGCTGCTGCGAGTGGAACGTGGAGCGGCGGTGGGATTTGAGAGAAGCTCTGTCGAAGATCGAGGAGCTGAAGGAGAGGGAAGAAGGTTGTGAGAATGATGAGGAGTATTGTAGCTCCGATGGTGATCTCTACTCTTCCAGGGCCATGACTGATGAAGGCTTCTCCTTCTCCGTCACTGCCTAAACTGCATTGAATTGAATCAATTCAATTCACCCATTATTGGTGTATCTATAATACGATGATCCTGTGTAGAAGAGAGCTAATAATGCTGATTACAGAAGCTGCTTCAGCTGGAAGGCAGAGGTTGCAGGTTTCTTATCCCTTTTTGTTCTTTGTTGGCCTGGTATGGAAATATTTTAGTATAGAAAGACTTAAATCACTGGATTTTGTACTGTTTAGGTTCTTAGATCAACTTTCTCTTGCATGTAATACTGCTTGTTTTGTTCTGTTCTGTTCTGTTTTGCTTTGCTTATTGTTTAATTTTTATCCTCCTCAAGTTTTGAGAAATCTGTGTAATTTTGATGGGTCGATTAATTTCCTTGATGTCATGGTTCTTGCCTCTCATGGCTTCTTTAACCTACTGGTTGATACAGGTAATAAAGCGCCGCCATTTTCCATTCTTTCCAACTTGAAATTTGCTGGGTTCTTAAGTGGGGTTGCTTGCTTCCCTGTTACTAAGTATAGATAAATATAGTATATACAGTTCTTGCCCGTATCGATTGTCGACACTTGTATCTTCTTGTGTAAACAGGGTTATTGCATAGGTTGGTTGGTTGGCAGAACTCTTAGATACTCCACCATGGATTGTTCTGTGCAGGCGTGCAAAAGGAACATGGAAGAAGAAACCAAAGACCCTCCAAGATATGCTTAGTTTTGTTTGTCAGAACTCACACCGAGGAAGGCTTGCCTTGTCGTCTGCCTGATTCTGTACGTGGACAAATGGCATAAGGTTAATAATGCATTGGCTCATGAACCAATTTTGGGAACCTTTCTCCTGAAACCACAAGGTACCCCTGTTCCTCAGCATTCTGGTTTCTGTCCTGTCTTGGTTGGCCTTATGTGACAGATCCTGGACTTTTACAGAAACACGTTGTCCACTATCAATGGCCGAGCTTTTTTTTTTTTTTTGGTCCTTGTTGGAACTTCATGTGTCCGTTAGCTCTGTCGTTCTTTGGGACTACCTTCTATGTTTTTCAAGTTGGGGGATTCTCTTAATCCATGGTTGCCTTCAGGTTGCTTCAGATTGACACTAATCATCCCTGTATCCCGAAAACGACCATGGAAAGAAAAAGAATCAGAAACTTCCTGCTGATTTTTCTCAATCCAATGCTCATGTTAGGAGAGGGTTGAAGTGATTCGAACTTGTTCCATGCAGTCACTATTTTAGTTTTTATTTGGCAGAATACGATTCAGTGTACCATATTCAGACTGTTACAAACCTTGTACTTGGTCCTCGCATCAAGGAAATGATTCAGCGTAGGATATACTTTTCAAGAGATTCAAAGACTCCACTCAAGCTACTGTCTGTTGATTTCTGTTGTGAGTCACACTCTTCTTATAATGGCCTGCATTTCTGTGGCTTCCATCAACAGGTGTACCAACAGTGGGAAAACCTATAAAAATCAGAAGATTGGATGCAGGCAGTTGGACAGTCACCAATGGCAGGGGATAACACTGCTGAAGATGGAAGCAAGGACTTCTTCAACCTCTTAGCATCTCGAGGAATCAATTTCCTTCTCTCTTCCCAAGGGCAGGTAGTTTAGTTCCTTCCAAAACAACCCTTTGTTTTCTTTTGAAAGAACTATGAACTAACTTGAGGTGCAATCTTGTGGTGAACAGGTGCCAATATCATCAGCATGGCCTCTTGTTCTCGGCCAACTGGTGCAGGCCATGCAAAACTTTTGCTCCACAGCTCATGCAACTCTACCATACTCTGAAATCCGAAGGCAGATCGCTGCAGATCGTCTTTGTCTCATTCGACCAAGACGAGGATCAATTCGAAGAACATTTCATGTCCATGCCTTGGCTTGCAGTCCCATTTGAACCCCAAATTGCATCAAATGCTGAGGAACATCTACCAAGCTCGCCGAATCCCAACGTTGATCCCATTGGTCTCCGTTGGAATCACAGTTGAAGAAGACCCTTTCACTCGAAAAACTTGAGAAGAGCTCAAGGCTATTGACGATGCCAAGCGCCAAGGAGGCAGCCTCGAGCACCTATTACTGAATACTCATATGTAACATGTCATATTTTGGAACAAACCGTTATACTGGTCATATTGAAATTAACGTTGTTGATAATCACGAAACTTTATTAAACAAGGTACCAAAATAATTTGTTAATATTTACCATTTTGAGTCGGTAATTGAGAGAAAACAAAATTATCATCAGGTTTTGATTGTTCGGAGTCAATGTTATGTAATTGGATTATCGTAATTTTCTCGGGTATCTGAATCTATTATGATTAGTAATATTTTAGAATATCTTTATACGCCAGTCTTTCAAAAGAAAAAGAAACCGACATTAACTGACAAAACACATTATGAGTTGAAATGGAAGAGTTCTTATAAGAACTACGAAGTTAAACTTGCTCAGTACAGAGCACTACAACGATACATGACCTTATAAGAAGTCACATTGACATGTATGATGCAGTCAAAATAAAAAAAACCTTGAGAACCTAATTCCAAAAAAGACAATATCTCATCCTTTTCGTACTAAACTGTATGGAATTCTTAAAAAAAAAAAAAATACTCTGACGGAAGTAACTGTAAATGGACGGAGTTGAATTTGACGGTTTGAAACCATCCAAGAAAAATAGTTAAAGAAGGGGCCGATTGAAACCAACGAATTTTTCGGGAAATTTTGCAGCTTCAGAGCGCGGGGTTTGCTTCCTTCTTTCCCCTTCGTCCCAAAAACCAAAAGAACTCTCAATCCTTCCTGACCCAAAACTGCCGGGAAAACACAAATTAAGGGGACAGAAGGGGAGAAAAGATTCACCCACGAACACAAACGCAAAGACGAGCAGAGAAAAATGGTTCCTTCCTGTCTCTCTGCATCTTTCGAGAGAGACGAGGGGGTTAGAGAACCGGAATCGGCATTGTCAGTTTGTTGTTTCAGGTAGGCGAGAAGAAGAAGAAGAAGAAGAATCGAAGGAGAAAAAAGGAACGTGAGGGATTGATTGAAGATGTGGATGCCAAGAACAATCACGGAGAGGAAGGATGCCGGTAATGGCGTGGTGGCGGTAGCAGTAGACAAGGACAAATCCAGCCAAAACGCTCTCAAATGGGCCATCGACAATATTCTCCAGAGAGGCCAGACCGTGATTCTCATTCATGTCAGAGTTAAGCAGCAGCCTCAATCCTGCTCCCTTGCTGCTCCCAGTAAGACAAACCCCCTCCATTTCCATTTCGTTCAATTGAGCCTTGCAAACTTACAATCATATCCATATATAATGATGGTTAAATTGCAGGAATGAACCAGGTGAGTGATGCCAATGGTGAAAGCTCGTTGGTTTGCAGAAACCCTGATTCTCAAACTAAGGAGGTGTTCCTTCCTTTTCGATGCTTCTGCACTCGTAAAGACGTATGTATGAATGAATGAACAGTCAATTTCATTGTGGTCATGGGCAAATCAACACCAATGTGCATTCACATGATACATTTTCATTGTGGGTATTGGATCACAGATTCAATGTCATGACGTTGTGCTGGAAGATTCAGATGTAGCGAAAGCATTGATTGAGTACACGAATCAGATGGTGATTGAGACTTTAGTGCTGGGTGCCACCTCCAAAGGGGGATTTCTCAGGTATCTTTGATTGCTTGAATTGAATTGGTTGTAAAATTTCCCCCAATTGGAGAAGTGGGTTGTGCTTAACTTCCATAAAGTTTCTTCTTCATACAAGATTCAAGACCACTGACATACCTGGGACTGTATCGAAAGGGGCACCTGATTTCTGCACAGTGTATGTTATATCGAGAAGCAAAATCCAGTCTGCAAGGTCTGCTTCTCGTCCTGCTCCCCAAACCTCTCCTTTCCGCAACATGTCTAGCCAATCAAGCATTAGGTCCAGTTCATCAGATCATTCTGTCCCACAGACACCTGCTAAAAGAGGTAACTTGGGAAGCTTTTCTCTCTTTTTGTTGTACAAATCAATGTAATGAGGTTCAAAAGTCAGTCAGAAATCGGGTGTTTGACAATAAAACATATGATTTCCACCATCAGGTACTGATAGGCCTCCAATTGATCCTCCACGGAAATCAAATAGTAGTGAGACTTCAGATTTTTTCAGGTTAGTCATTAAGCTAGTATGCTGCTTTGAGAACACATACCAAGTTATATATGTGGCTAACAGAAAGTTCTGTTCTTTTTGTTTATTTGGCAAAACAGGTCTCCATTGACGAGGAAAGGCATGAATGCAAAATCATATGGTGATATAAACTTGGCAGAGACGGATATATCTTTTGTTAGCTCAGGAAGACCAAGCATTGATCGCATGTTCCCAGCATTCTATGATAATAACAGCAATCCAGATGCAGGGCGACCACCACGGCTGTCAAACCTTTCAGAGTTCGAAAATGATCTCAATAGCTTTGAGTCGTCAATGCAACCTGGTAGGAGATCACTAGATATCACCTCATCCCCTAGATTGTCATCAGTCTCACAGGAAAACGAAAGGCTCTCGTCGGCATCACAATCCATGGTAAACTGCATGCTTGGGGTTGAAGCAAAACCATTTGATGACGCGTGAGTTTGTAAGATAAGAGTAACTTTTACTAAATTGCGATTTTGCAACTGTAACAGGACGATGTGGAAGCTGAAATGAGAAGGTTGAAGCTAGAGCTTAAGCAAACAATGGAAATGTACAGCACAGCTTGTAAAGAAGCACTTGTAGCACAGCAGAAGGTAAGCAATGACAGAAGTATACCAAAAAGAAACTTGACTTGGTATCAGTAATTGAAAAGGCTAAGCTTTTGCTTTTTGGATTTTGAACTACCAGGCAAGGGATCTACAAATGTGGAAGTTGGAAGAAGAGAGGAGGCTCGAAGAAGCAAGACTAGCTGAGGAAAATGCTTTGGCAATAGCTGAGAGGGAGAAAGCCAAAACCAAAGCAGCCATCGAGGCTGCTGAAGCTGCTCAAAGGATTGCAGAGCTAGAAGCACAGAAGAGAATCAACGCGGAGATGAAAGCAATTAAAGAAGCTGAAGAGAAGAAGAAAGCACTTAACACTATCATGCATTCTGATGTCAGATACAGAAAGTATAGCATCGAGGATATTGAAGCTGCCACTGAAAATTTCTCTCAATCCCGCAAAATCGGAGAAGGAGGTTATGGTCCTGTCTATAGGTGCAATCTTGATCATACACCGGTTGCCATTAAGGTCCTTCGACCTGATGCTGCTCAAGGAAGGTCCCAGTTTCAGCAGGAGGTATATATTTATTAACAAATGCTAGCAAAGGTTGTTGAAAATAGATGGTTTGTTAAGAACAACAAGCTATTCAAAATAGATATGTAGGGTGGATTAGGAAAATGGTATTGGTGAGTTGGAATACCAAACAAGTCTATGGAATTTGTATTTTTTTCCCCCACAGGTTGAGGTGTTGAGCTGCATTAGGCACCCAAACATGGTCCTCCTACTGGGAGCCTGCCCAGAGTATGGATGCTTGGTGTACGAGTACATGGCGAATGGCAGCCTAGAAGACCGTCTCTTCCGACGAGGCAACACCCCGCCCCTATCATGGCAGCATAGGTTCCGAATCGCTGCAGAAATCGGAACCGGCTTGTTATTCCTCCACCAGACCAAGCCTGAACCCCTTGTCCACCGAGACCTGAAACCAGGCAACATTCTCCTCGACCGCAACTTTGTCAGCAAGATCAGCGACGTCGGTCTGGCCAGGCTGGTCCCACCTGCTGTTGCAGACAGCGTGACACAGTACCGAATGACATCCACCGCTGGCACGTTCTGCTACATCGACCCGGAGTACCAGCAGACCGGAATGCTGGGGATCAAGTCCGACATCTACTCCCTCGGGATCATGTTCTTGCAGATAATCACAGCCAAGCCGCCGATGGGGCTGACACACCATGTGGACAGGGCCATCGAGAGGGACACGCTGGCTCAGATGCTCGACCCCGTGGTGCCCGATTGGCCCATGGACGAGGCCAAGAAGTTTGCTCAGTTGGCGCTGCAATGCGCCGAGTTGAGAAGGAAGGATCGGCCTGATCTCGGCAAGGTGATCTTGCCTGAACTCAACCGGTTAAGAACCCTTGCAGAGGAGAGTATGCAGCAACATCAGCAACTGCCCTTTTTTGCTGGCAATACTTCCCTGCATTCCTCCTCCCAGGTTTCTCTCAAACTAGTGAGTCATCATTCTTAGCCCCTTTTCTGTAACTTTGACTCACATTCTTACGATTACATAAAATCCTTGGATTCTGCAACATAATCTACCCAAAGGATGATGTAATTGACGGGAAGATGGATGGTTGTAATTGCAGAATGAACCTGCTTCTGTATAGAGCGGCTGCAGCCTGCAGGGGAGCTGGAAACGAGCTGAAAGTCATGTACTGTTGACAGCAGCCATGCAAGAACCCTGAAGAGGCGAAGATGCATGAATATTTGTACATTGTTGTTCTTCTTTCAATCATTTCCCCTTTTTCATGGTGCATATAGTAGTGGTGGATTGTGAATTTTGTTGTAGATAGGTGGTGCGAAACGCAAGGAAGGGCAACCTGACCCGATACAGGGGATTTGAGCTCAAATTCAGCTGCTCTCGTATTATTATTTTTGTATGATAATGTAAAAAGAAGGTTATTTTTATATCTTTGACTTTCTCAGGAATGACACCTAACAAATCCAACATGGATTGTTTTTTTGGTTTATATTTTATAATAAATTTTGGTATTTGTATTCACAATGTGTAAGGTTAGAGCTCGTAAATGGTTGCAACTTGCAAGTAACAAAAACCGGACACAAAATTACACCAAAGATCGTGAAAAAAGGTCTCAAGTTCGGTTATCTATAAACCATTAGAATTGATGTAGAAATGGATAATAGAAGGAACGGTTGTGCAGACAAACAACATCGTAGTTAAGTATGAGTAACAAATAACTGTTGATCATGTTCCTTATAGTTTATCAAGTTAACCGGAAAAAAATTGTTGGTCGTAATCATAATAGGACGGTCCATTTGATGACAAAAAAAAGTCCTTTCATTATACCCTAATTTGGTATGGTTCGATTTTCGTTTTTTATTTTGCGACCAACCATGTGAGTTGTGACTCGAGTATATCTCAATTCTCTCGCTTATACAAATTTACCTTTCCAAAAAAAAAAAAGGCTTCCTTATAATTTCTACTAAGTGATTATTTTGTAACCCAAACTATAAATTGCTCATTATTCTTGCAAGTGTTATAAATTATATACAACAAACATGACCATCTAAATTATAACTTATAACAGAACCTAATTAATTAATACAACATCATATAAGTCCATAAAATCAATAAATAAAATATAAAAATACAATCACATTCAAAACTTACTCAAAAAAATAAAGTACCATGCAAGGTACGTACCTGAGAAAAGATCAGAATAACAGCCGGGGGAAAAAAAAACTCAAGAAAAGAAGAAAAGGTACTCAAAATGTTTAACGAACAGAACGTGATTAAGAACTAACGATAGTACATAAGCTGCTGGCCCGTGGTACTATTGCCGTATCCATCGTACAGGGCTTGCGAGCCAGCCGAGCCCAGGCCCATCGAAGCCGCGGCCAGCCCATGCTGTCCAGTCAACTGTACAAGGGCCTGCCCCGAAAGCCCAGATGCGGCTGCTTGGCTCAACGCCAGCTGCCGTTGGTACACTAGTAGATCCGCCGGAGAGTAGCCTTGGTTGAGTGTAGTTGAAGGCAGGATTTGGTACGGTTGTGGTGCTGGAGGCGGCAGAGGGTTCGAAGCTGTTCCCGGCGGAGTCGGCTTGCTCCCCCATGAGCACTGCGGAAAAAAAAAGCGTCGTAAAAAAGCGGAACATTGATCGAACGACTCAATCAGGACCAACTGGTGGTGCTTCAAACACAAACTATTCATCGTTTGCATGCATGGCGAATTTATCGTACCTTCATGGGTTTCCCATGGACGATCTTGCCGTTCCCCATTCGAATGGCTGAAGCGGCTTCTTCGTGGGTGTTGTACCTCACAAATCCGAAACCTTTGTCCCTCTGAACTCGAACCTCTTCGATCACCCCGACTCCAAGCGCATGGAAATGACAATGTAACTCGGCTTGAGTAACCTGGGTATTTAATGTACGTGTAAAATCAACTTCTTTTACCTCAGTTTTACGTACTATCCAACATTATTTCATCTACGATTTATGTAACTGTAGTCTCATCTTGTATGCATCCGAAAATTCACGACGAATAAATGATAACATCTTCGATCTTATATCGATTTAACTACCTCATGTGAAAGGTTACCGACGTAGACTGTGGTGTAGGCCGGATTATTCTCAGGAGCCTCCTCATTGCTAGTTTCTTGACCTCCCTCTGCACATGGATTAATCTATTAATGATGTGATTAAATTGATTAACTAATATATTATGAAGAAAACATAACAAATCAAGTGTACTAAACTAATTAGTCATTATTGAATAATTACCTGAAGATCCACTAGTAAGCACAACTGCATTTTGGTTGTCACTGCTCTGTTTGTCATCGTTGGATGCTGTCCCTTTAGTGGCCCAATTGCATCTTATTTGCCTATTCCCAAGCCATTTACCAGTTAGATCATTGATGGCACCTTGTGCATCCTGCCAACACACAATGTCACAACATTGCACCATTAAATGACGTGCTTCGATCGATTGATGTTCCACCGTTTACTACACCGTAACGTTTTTTCGTATAGGAGTCCAGTAGCTAGAACTACTGCTGTATACATACCTGCTGATTACGAAAGGAGACGAAACCGTATCCTTTGGATCGACCGGTCTTGTGATCCCACATCACTCTTGCATCACTGTACTTAATTCGCAACACCATATGTAAGGTTGTCGATCGAGATGATAATTAATTTAGATCGCATTAAATTTTTAAGAAAATGATGATTCAATCACACAGGAGAGGAGCTAGGATTATATTGCTTACGAGCAACTGGGATAGACCGAGAAGCAGGCATACAGCGTCGCATCAGTAACCTCCGGGCTCAAGTCTCCCACGAATATGTGGAAATGCCCTGATTTGATAATCATCACAATCAAGTTCTATGACTGGAATTGATTGATACAGAAACAATGAACAACAGCAGTAATCAATAACAATTAACCTGAGGTATCCTCTCGTTGACTGTTCGCGTATGCCCAATTCACCTTCAATGCTTGCCCGTAACTAGATCATACACACAAAATACAACATTCAATCACCATTTTAGTACATGAAACTAAGAAATGCAGACTGTAATTTGAGATGCTTACAGCTGCCTTCCATGCAGTGACATGATTGCAATGGCTGCAGAAGATCGATCGTGATAATCGACAAACCCATACGACGACTGCATTCAGATCATTGTAACATGCCTTCAACAGAATGTTTATGTTTGATACAGAATGTTTATGTCATTGTCAAATCCAACTTTACCTTCTCCTTTCTGATAAGCTTGCATCCTGCTAAAGGGCCAGCAGTCTGGAAAACTTCAGCGAGCAGTTTCTCAGTCACATTGACATGGATGTTTCCTACATAGCTAGGAATGGTATAATCAACCATTATTCAAGTAATTGCATACAGAGAATCAGAGATCATTAGACAATGGTTGATTGGTGGTGATTGCTTACACGCTACGACACGTGGACGAGTCGAATCCAGGAGGTAGATTGCCACTAGGAATTGGTTCCATCTGCAGAACAAAAAAGAGAAGAAATGAAGCTAGGTACTACGTACGGGAATCTTAGAACAAACAAACAGAATAGAACCTGTGACATAGCTGCGGCGGCGAGTACACCGGGGTGGTACATGTGTTGCTGTTGAAGTAAAGCTTGCTGCATTAGTGCCTGCTGTTGCTGCTGCTGCTGTTTTAATCTCTGTTGCATATCACCTATTTTCACAACATGCAAATTGAATCTAAAATTAATTAGATTACCATATATCAAACCTGTAAATTATATATGATGGACGATCATCTGCCAAAATTAAAGCAAACTACGAGTGGTGAAGGATGTAAGATTACCTCAGGTGCATGCGATGGTGATCGATCGGTGAGATTCACACACAGACTCTCTGCGTCTCTCCCCCTCCGGTGTTATGAAGTACGTAGAAGATCTATCGATCGAGCTTCTTGTCGAAAGGTTAAAATTGTTTTGAAAAAAAGAAAAAAAAAAAGCATTCAGGAAGGGAAAAGGAAGAAATGAAAGCAAGCCTGAGGATGTTTATGATTTAATGGAGAGAGCATTAAGGAACAAATGTAATGTTTCCCCCCGCAGTAGATCGAGCAAAGTGAGAACCGACTGGGTCATATCCTATTTTGCAGCTTTTAAATTTGCTGTTTTCTCGCTAACATTTCAGTTATTTACCCCTCCCCTGTCCTTTCCTTAAGACCCACGAAATCAGGGAGCACTGCAATTAGATAGCAGAAATATGAGATCAAATTTGCTAACTACGTACTGCTCCTACCTTTATCTTTGGAATTATTTAATTAAACTATTTTCTTAGTGGTCATGACTACATCATTAGCCTATGAACAATTAGATCTTATTCGACGCAGATGCTTCCATCGTACTTAATATTTGGCTTGAGATTATACAGTGTTTTCACGTCGGAAGCTGGCTACCGATATCGTTGTTGCTGAACAAAATCCTTTGGAAGTACAATTTAGAAACGAGTATGTTACTTGTTTCCTCTGCTCCAATTAATTTTGGTCGTCATAGAAATTAAAGTAAACTCTCTGTCTAATGTCTATGTCTATACAAGACTTCCTTAGCTACTTACTACAAAAATAAACTAACCGAAGTTTAGGTCAAGAAACAGCTTATGAGAAGAACCTAATCCAACTTTGTCTAACCAAAATTGATCTACTCTCATTCATTCATCCCACAAAGAATCCCCTCCAGCTCTGGAAAAAATGGTGTCCGGGAGTGAAAACTACCTGCACAGCCCGACCCTTGTCCTTCGTCGAGTTCCTGGGGTTGTGCAGCTGAACTTGCATTTGCCTTGGGGTCATTTCAGTGAAAAGCAGTTTGCACTTCTGCTTATTCGTCTGGTTGCTTCCACTGCTGCTGCTTCTTCAACCTTGGGTTGCCTCTTGGGTCGTCCGCTTCTTCTCACATCGTTACTTGACAAATACTCCATTGCTTTCTCCACAGTTACATCGTTTGGGTCTACGTTCTGCAATATTGAAGATGACACCACGTATCAAAACCCGGAGGAACAAGGAATGCAGCAAGCAAATGTTCCGATGATGATCATTCTAGAACATCTCCTACCCAGTGAATACCGAATTTTGTAACAAAAGGACATACCTTGGGGAGGGAAGCAATTGTGCGTCGATGTCTAATATTAAACCCATTCTTTGAAAGCTTTAATATTATGGGATGCCCGTCCTTTGGGTGGTCTCCCTGGAGAGGATGATTAAGTTTTGAGTAAAGAATTGAAATGAAGAGCATTTGCAATTCCAGATTTTGTCGGATGGCGTACCAATGTCAATGGGTAGCGCAATAACTTTAGAGCCTCTTCCAGTGTAATGGCATCCACCTCCTTTACCTGGAGACATAAAATGCAATCAGTATATCTACACAACTAAAAAACAGCAAAAGGAACTTTAATTTTAGATAGTAAACAGATAACTGCAGAAAGAAACGGCTACATTTACATGGGATAAGGATGTTCGTTTAGGGATATAGTCCTTCTTATCTTCCCCAAGCTGAATGTAGAATCCATAAGGACCTTTCTTCAACAAAATCTGGAAAGAAAGGATGGACAATCTGGTCATCAATTTTAAATGGAATAAGAATGACCAATCACGTTCGAAGGCAAATTTGCGAGACAAACAGAGGTTAATACCTTTTCCTTGGAAATTGGATGAAGACCTAATACTTTTGGCTCCTCCACGGTACCAACATTTTGGGGAGGTTCTTCATCTTCTTCATCTCCAAGCAATGTCTTGGCAATGTACCTATCAAATGTAAAACCCAAGGAAATGAGCTAACTTGTAAGCAGTTGGAAGAAAAGAAGAAATGCAAGCTCTTATGAACTCTCAATATTCGATATACCCACTTGCACTTTGGATGTTGATCACAGCCGATGAAGTAACCTGCACCATACCTACTCAATTTGAAAATCAAAGTGCCCTCCATACAACTGAAATGATACAATGTAACAAGAAAAAAAGTCTCATTAACTTGACGAACTAAGGCTTATGCATGCACACTGCAGTGAGTAAGCAGCAGCCTTAGCAAACAAAGAAGTGTAGTTAAGCAACAACCAACTAACTGAACATAAAAATAGAACATTGGAAAAGAATTACCTGGGGCATGTCCTGCTCTCGGAACGGAGTGAGCCAAACAAATGGTCACCAAACTTTTTTTCTAACATTTTCTCCACCTTCAAGCATATCACACAAGCAAAAAGGAGGTCGAACTTTCTGTTGGTGATTCAAACAAGGGGGAAAAGGAATTTACATCTGGAAATTATAATTGATTGCAGCACCAAACTTACCTGATGAATGTGGACATTTTCAGTATGGCTGCAGTATGAGCTAAATCTTGTCCAATAATCTCTGAGAAGACCTTTCCATTCAGTAAGTCCAGCAGAAACATTATCAAGCTATAGTGCAAAAAGAGATGTTCAGATATCAGCTCCAGGAAAACGGTAACCACCTTCCCTCAAGAAGGAAGAAAGAGGAGAATCTCATTAGACGTAAGATGTTTAGTTTAGTTTTCCGGATTGGTGGTTATGAGGTTACCTCAGTCTCCATATCAGCAGTAAAGCTGTAATCTGTGACCTCCGTAAAATAGTTCGAGAGGAATGCTGAGACCTAGCATCAACCCAACCCATCGACATTACTGATCATCTCACACAATCTAGACTGAAAACAAGACAGTTAATAATAATAGCACCAGGACCTACCATTCGACCACGAAATTCTGGGTACATCACACGGCTTTTCATTAACACATATTTCCTGTCCTGAAGTAAATAGTAGATCAAGTCCAGAAACAACAAACATCACAACTATTAGATGCAAATATTTCCAATTAACGTCATGATTGTTCAACTCTAAGTTTGAGAGTGAAATATAGATTGCAGCGGAATATATGCAAGATTATAAGCTTCTCGTGGGATGGGGTTACTAATATGCCCATAGCTATCAACAAATCGACTAAAACAGAATCAACATCAACGCTTGGATGCACTAATATATACTGTGATCTATCCATGCATACCACTTTGAAGGCCCAACAAATGCATACTTAGAAAAAAATGATTGGAATCATCCTAATCGCATCTAACTACCGATGAACATAAAACACAGCATGAAAACTTCCCTTATTATATCCTACGCTACAACACTTGGATGCACCAGTGTATTTTGGAGCTATCTGCTTCTTCCAAGCCCATCATCCAAAGCACTAGAAAAATAACAACTGAAGTATGTCTGCTCATCATCAGTCACCTGTAAAACTTTTAATGTGCTGGCATAAGTTGAAGGTCTTCCAATCCCAAGTTCCTCGAGCTTCTTTATCTATTTCGTGAAAAAAATAAAATGGCCTAAGTACCAACAAGCAAATGGCCGGGGGTAAAACCAAACACATTGCCTGCATAATCCCTGCTGGATGTCCAACAGTTAATAAATTTCAACAAGGAATCATGCCAGAAGTTGTACCAATGATGCTTCTGAATAGCGCGGTGGAGGCTGAGTGAAATGCTGCTTGGATTCCACTGCATCAATGGATATGGAATCCCCTGCCTACAGATATTTCAGTTAGAACTTCCAAAAGAAAGAAACCATGGCAAATTTAGTAGCATAAAAAATTAGAATAAAATTATACAGATATTGTCACAGGAAAATCATCTACATCATTCAACCATGACATAATGAATGTCAGATGTGAGAATATTCACCTTCAGAGAGTAGAGAACCCCAGAAGCTTCTTGTTGAGGGTCCTCTTCATCTTCTTTGCCTCTTAGAAGTCTAGTTTCGACATCCTAGAAATGAATATCAATTATGTCATACAAGCCTCAAAGTGAACAAAACAAAATTCATACAAACCATTTTTCAAAAAAAAAAATCATACAAACTTTAAGAAATAAAATCATCAACATGAATATTGTACAAAAGGAATATCATAACATATGTATATTTAAGGCCCAAGAAAGAAACTGGCAGCCTACAAATAGAACATTTAATGTAGATGTAGATATGGCTCTCACAACAATATGAGTACCTGATAAACTGCTTGGTAGCCCCGAAATGCAACCCTTGAACACGAAGATCGAAATATGATTGACTTGCTAGCATTTCCAATGTCCAATTGCAACTGTTTCAATAGAAATTGAGTAAGTGAGTGCATATAGAAGTGAAGTCCAATATCATGCATTAAGGATAGAAACAAGAAACGAAAGGATGAGGCTCAAAACTATTCCGTAAAAAAGGTTTAGAGTTTAGCTCGGTTATAATGTAAACTTCAGATGGTTTTACTTCAGTATTACTGACGACAGGGTTGGAGGAACCTATCGGACGACTTCAGGGTTTCTATATGTAACTGGACTTGGATATTTTTTATTCAGTATTATCAACTTCTTTACCATGTTATATCTTCCACTGTGTATCACATTGAGTGAACTTTTATGGCAATTACTGCATTGATTAACTGAACTGGGAATCCTCTAAAGAAGGCACAGTACAATTTATAAATCAATCAAAAGTTTGGGGTGCAATATTATGGAACAATGACGTTTAACCTAACCTGTTCAATTGTAGCAGGCTCCATTTGGCATGCCACACTGCGTGACCATATGAGAGTGTACAACTTCAATGCATCCTCATCAAGAACACCAGCCAGCATTGCTACAATTCAATGAGGAAACAATCATTGACATCTAGCTCTGCAACTCCACTGGAAAAATCACAAATTTGCATGGCAAGTCAAATTATAGATGAGATATTATGTTTGAAGTAAAGAATCGACCTACAGGGTAGAATCTGAACGTCAGTGGGTCTGATTGCTTCATGGGCCTCTTGTGCATTCTTCACCTTCTTAAAATACTTGCGTGCATTCGCTGATGCAAAATCTGGGCCATAACTATGGAAGAGAACTGTTCATGTTAGCAGTGAAACAAATAACAAACACATAAAAAATCAGAAACAGCAGAAAACTGCCATCCAAAAACATGGACTATATACCAAAAGATGTCATTTACACAATCACAAATGTGTTCCTAAAACACAAGTCCGGAAAACTTACCTTTCAGTGATCAGAGAGCGTATATCCTTGAGAGCATAATCTGAAATCTGAGCATCGAAAAATAGAGATACAAATTAAGCAACGTGAAAACAACGAAATGGCCTTTACAATCAATTACCACAAGTAGAGGTCACCAACCAGCGCAACATGCAGGATGTGCAACACTTACATGCAGACCGTCAGTTCTGGTATATGTAATCAATCCCGTAGTCTCCCCGTCTGATAACTCAATCCCTTCATAGAGTTTTTGTGCAAGCTGGAGCATACAATCCCATGTAAGAGCAATGGAAAAATCACTAATGTACAGTCAAGCTGAACATATAAACTAACAAGATGAAATAAGAAACCATTTGAACGGTAAACATGAAATCAATGAACGGTAAGCAAAGAATCAAGAATAACTTGAAACATTAATCCTTTGCCTTATGTATAAACACAAACAAAAGTGCAGGCAGTTCTTTGATCTTTATCATCAGCATTGTCAATCATGAAAACCGCAGCAGTGTACTTGAGAATCCGAATAAAAAATGAGTAGTTAATAATAGTAAGATATGTGGGAGCCACAGAAACTGTAGAAGGTGCTTGGCCTACTGGTAACAATAACACATATTGAAAATAAATTCAAGAATCGAAAATTCTGGCGAGAAAAGCATGCGAACAATTTCCTAATAGCCACCCTTCGCAGCTTCAACTCTTGCAGCCATTGTTCACCTACCCAAAGCAGAAACAGAAGAAGGGTTCTAAAGAGCTGTAGTAGCAGAATATTTTTGCCTTTCATAAGTTGTTGAGACTAATTCAATCCAAAAGTTTCTGGAGACCTGAACAGAAATTCTGGAATCGGACTTGAATTTTAACTACGGTAAACCCGATAACATAAAAAAGGAAACCCACACGTACAATAGCTCTGGAAGATATACGTAGGCATGATAAGGACAGAATACTGCACATGGGAATTTTTTTAGGAGTTTAGACAGACCTTCATAGTGTATGATGTGTTGAACTGTAATTTGTTAGCTGCATCTTGCTGAAGCGTTGACGTTATGTATGGAGTAGGAGGGTTTCTTCGCATTTGTCCTTTTTTACAGCCAACTACCTCGAATTTTGTAGCTTTAATCTTCTGTTCAACCTCAGCTACCTCCTTACCAGAACTAAACGAGAACTGATTCAGCTTTTTGGAATCAAAACAGGTCAAGCGTGCATTGATTGAAGCACCTGGTACTTCTTTGTTCAACTTAGCCTCAATACTCCAATATTCCTGTGGCTTAAACTCGTCAATTTCAGCCTCCCTATCAGAAATAAGGGCAAGGGCAGCTGATTGCACACGCCCTGCTGATTGGCACCCAGGTAATTTCCTCCATAATAATGGTGAAATGTTGAATCCAATCAGATAATCAAGAGCACGTCTTGCTAGGTAAGCATGTACTAAATTCACATCAATATGCCTTGGAGCTTGCAAAGCACTTTTAATGGACCCCTCTGTTATTTCATGGAAGACAACCCTTCCGACATTGATACCTTCATGCAGGGCATCCTGCTGCAGCAGCATCTCAGTAATATGCCAAGCAATAGCCTCTCCTTCACGATCAGGGTCTGATGCAAGAATAAGATTTTCTGCTCTGAGGAACAAGTACAACGAGAGATCATCAGAATACAGGGCATACATAATAAGAAGATAAAAATCAGTTATACAAATCAAACAGCACTACATAGTGAAATCCACATGAATGTTCAGGTATGTATGGCTATGGCAACCAAAAACCCCTTTTTACAGAAAGTATTATAATTTGCCACATTCAATTTTGATCCATAATTTGCTGAATTCGGTTTTGATATCGACTCATAAGACTAAATGAACTGATGGCATAGAAAACATACCCACTTAGAGCGACTTTAATGCTCTTGAGATAAGTCCAGGCAGCAGATGGAACCTCCCACACCATACTGAAGTCTTCATCAGGGCGAACGGATCCTGACCTTGCGGCTAAGTCCCGAACATGGCCGTAACTAGGCAATACTTCATACATACTGCCAAGATAGCCTTGAATGACCTTTGCCTTTGTAACAGATTCAACAATTACAACAGATTTCCCAGTAGGAGGATACAACGGCTTCAGGGTCCCTTGTTTAGGAGGCTTCAAGTTGCCTATGTGCTGAGGTTTTTGCTTCTCAACTGACTCATCAGCAACAGTTGCTGATTTGCCCTTCCTCCGTGAGTTGCTACTTTTCTTATTGACCTTCTGTTTTGTAGAAGCTGAAGCATCCAGCAGTTTTTCGGATGCCTTTTCAGTTGACTTGTTCTGAAAGACTGGAACGTCAGTTCAATACTGCTGATTAATAAATGATTAAAATGCCAACTATTCAACAAATCAACTCACAAACCTCTTCTGAACTAGCTTTGGCAGAATCAGCAGGAGCAGAAAGCTGAAGTTTGCCTTTCTTGCTTCTTGCCTTCGGTTTGCCATTGACTTGGGGAGCCTCAGCAACAGCAGAGCTTGGAACAAATGATTCAAGAGACACACTTCCATTTGTACGATCGCTTGAATTCAAGGCCTCGACGTCATTGGAGGTTGAGACGCTCGTCTTAGCAGTTTTATTCTTCCCCTTCGCAGCCCAAGCCTTAAACAACTCAGAACGTTTACCCCTAGTGAAATCCTTTTCAGCCGCTTCCGGTGATTGAGAGAAATGCCTCGTCGAGATACCTCCATAACCATGCACAGTGAACCCAACCTCTCGATTCAAAGCCCAGCAACATGAGGTAGTCTTGGGCGTAACAAGTCGAGGATATCCAGAGATACATGCATCAGCCACGTCTTGTGAAACCGTCCCCGACAACAATCTGGGCGCTCTAACTCTAACTTGCGTGAAGTTCCTACACCTCTGACGAGTCACAAATTGGGAAGTAGACAACAACCTGAATCCGGCGACATTCTGCAGCGTCCCACACTGCAAATGAAAGTAACTTTTATTTCCCACCTTCACTGCAAGTTTACTAGCTACTCTCACCAATGCAACAAGAGATACAAACTAAAGAAACCGAATTCCCCAAAATTCTCACACAATCAAAGCACGGAAAGGATAATGCTCGAGTTTTTTTCACAGTTCTTAGGCTCAACTAGCATATATTAGGACAGAGGGAAAAACGTGAGAGGGTACCTTGGACATCATCATCAGGGAATTAAACCGCAAAGCTAGCAAGGGAGAAGACGACGGCGTAGGCAAGAGAAAAGAGGAAGCGGAGGAGATGGATAAGAAGCTCCTCTGCAATTGTGCTGTCATCGCCGTCTCGTCATTCGCTTTCCAATTACCCCAATGGCGGTCTCGAGTCTCGACTTCTCGCGGCGACCTGTTTCCTTATCTATCGCCTTCTCGCAGAAACCAACCCCATCGGTCACCTGTGCGTACACCCGCAACTAAAAGCTGACGTCGCGCCGGCGGCTAGATAAAAAGAAACGGCGAGGGTTGGGATTTGGGAACGAACGAGAGGCAGAGGAGCGGAAGTTAGCAGCTGTTGCCATTAGGTTTGCAGAATGTGGAATGGGTAATATGAAACGACACCGTTTCCATCTTTCAAAATCCCATCCCATCCATAAACCCCGTAGCTTAGCTCCCATGCATTTTTTCCACTCTTTAATTCTCCCAACCGTCACCAAATCAGTCTTCCCCAATTCTCCCATCTTCTCCACTTCACTGCTCTCCCTTCTTCAAAGCTTTTCAACCTTCCTCCATCCCCATTTCTCTCCTTTCCCTTCCCTCCAACTTGCTCCAGCAATGGTTCCGCATCTCCTTCCCTTCCTTCTTCTCCTCTCCGTTTCCTGTCTCTCAGGTTCTGCAACTTCAATTTGTACTACTTCCCAAATTTAGCTGTCCGGCAGCTTCTTTGATTTCCACTTTCCACCACCCTAATCCCTTCACTCTGTTTTTTTTTTGGCAGGAATTGAATCAGCAGCTACTCTAAAGCTCACCAACCACTGTCCCCAAACCATCTTGCCGGATATCCTCTCCGGCGGGAACACTCCAGACCTCACCGCTGCTGCGGGCTCCCCGCTCGCGCCGGGGAAGTCCAGGACGATCCCCGTCCCAACCGGCTGGTCCGGCCGCATTTCGGGTCGGACCATCTGCGGGATATCCGCCGCAGAATGCGGTGCCCGGAAGGTGGAGCTCAGCCTCGACGGCGGCGAACCGCCGGCGACTGTAGTGGAGCTCACCCTCGACGGCGCTGGCGGTCTTGGCTACTCGTATAGCGTGAGCTCGGTCGACGGGAACGACATCCCCGTGGCGGTGTTGGGTCCGGCCCGCGGATGCTCCGATGAGCTGAAGGCTACGGCGGCGCGTGGGAAAGGGGAAGTCGCGTGTAACGATACCAGTAGTAGGACTGCCCATACGGATTACGCCATCGTATTCTGCCCCAGACCGTATTCCAGGTAAAATGGCCCTCTTGCTCAATTTGCATATGTTGCTCTCGCAGCTTTAAAATGAGCAGCAAATGCTGCCTGTCTGCCTGGCCATGATACAGAAGTGTCTGGCATCTTTATTGGCTGTGGGGAATGGGGATGGTGGGCTGGTAGTAATCAAGTATTGAATTCCCCGAAAGAAGTGACCTTTCAGTACGTAACAGCAAACATTGATGGATGTTTGCTCAATTCTGGCCATTAATAACAGATGCCCTTTGCAGCCTAGAACTAGAAGAGCTAAGAGTATATCCATTACATGGAAACTACGTTATTTAGCTTCTTGCTATACATTAGGAGCCATGTGTTTGACGAGGAAGGATTGACTAAGGAATAGTATTATTATGTCTTTGGATAATATTGCTGGTGATCTGAGTGCTTAAAATGTAACGAGTCCTGCAAAACTCTAGGCTTCGTGGTTGAACATTGTTGCCTAATATAGCAGTCCATCGAGCTTATCCGCTCTTGCCTTCTTGGATGGCATTGAACTTGTGCAGCGGGGAAGTTGTAGGAAGAAGGAGAGGCAGTGCAGCTTTGCCACTGGTTAACCAGACGACAATGACAACAGCCTGGCCAAGCAGACATCGGAATGGTGCTCTCTCTTCAGGTAGCTAGGTTGCTTAGCTATCTGTGCGCTCGAGCCTCGAATTTGAATGCCAATTCTCTCCCCAGGTGCTTATCCATCCTCTCCCTTTGTTTTCACTTTCAGCTGCTGACATCAACGTCGATTTGACCGAAGCAGCCACCACATTGAGCCCAGCTGATCATCAAGTGAGTGCTTAATTACTTTAGATATACACCTATACGCTATGATTTGCTTGTAAAGATATTAACTTGTTGCCGTTGTGTAATCTCGGTTCTTGGAAATGGAGGAGTCAAACGGGGGAGGTAATGAGATGATGACAACGAAGACGATGGCCATGGAGCCAGTGAAGATGGTGGAGATGAGAATGATGTTGGGTGACAAGAGGAGGAGACTCAACAGCTTTCAGATGTGTGCATTGTGCACTTGTTGTAGCAGGGGTGGTTCCAGACATTACTGCCTGCTCTCTCCGTGTTGCTATGCAATCAACTGCAACATACCAAATAAGCCCTTTGGTTTCTGCTCTTTCACTCCCAGGGCCTGCAATTGCTTTGGATGCCATCTCTAGCTAGCTAGCTATAGCTCCCTTCTTCCATTTTTCTTCTCTTATATTTTTTTCTCCATTATTATAGTAAGTATATTGTATTATAGGGAGTGGTTCGTCTTGATTCTGTCGTCTGTGGGGGACTAAGGAAGAATATCTGTCGTTTGATTAAATTAAATTGATTGATTTGTTTATAAATATTGATTTAATTAGTATTAAATCAAATAATAATTGCCTGTTTATGCTGCAAACTCTGCAGGGGACACCTAGAAAGGCATGCAAGAAAGATGATTAGTAAGTGGATTGTGGGGCTAATGTTTCCTTTAATTAGCTATTTTTACGGTTATCTGTCTTCTGTCCTTTTGTTTATTGGGATAATTACAGTAGTGCTGTGGTAATTGGACAAACCGAAAAAGATCAAAGCGTCTTTCCCACTTTTACTTCTCTTCTCCCCACCGCAAGCAATCGTCGGCGTTCCCAATTCATCCTGCTTGAGCTCACTTCTTCAACAATGGATCCCCATCTCCTCCTCTTCCTTCTTCTCTCAACATCTTCCCTCTCAGGTTTTCTCCCATCCCCACTTCCCAAATTCCCCTTTTCTCGAGGACCCTCTAATCTTCTCTTCATTTTTGCAGGAATTGAGCCGGCAGCTACTTTCAAGCTCACCAACCTCTGCCGCCAAACAATCTGGCCGGGTCTACTCTCCGGCGCCAACACCGCCCAGCTCCCCACCACCGGATTCGCTCTCCGCCCGGGGAAATCCCGAACAATTCCCATCCCCGCCGGCTGGTCCGGCCGCATATGGGGCCGGACCCTCTGCTCAACCGGCGCCGACGGCAAATTCACCTGCCTCACCGCCGACTGCGGCTCGGGGAAAATCGAGTGCGGCGGGAGCGGAGCGAAGCCGCCGGCGACACTAGTCGAGTTCACCCTCAACGGCGCCGACGGGCTCGACTTCTACGACGTCAGCTTGGTCGACGGGTACAACCTCCCGATGCTGGCTTTCCCGCAGAAAGTCACCCGCGGGGGTTGCGGCGCCACGGGTTGCTTGATTGACCTAAACGGCGCGTGCCCCAAGGAGCTGAAGGTGGTGGCGCGTGGTAAGGGTAAAGTCGGCGGCGTCGCGTGCATGAGCGCGTGTGAGGCATTTGGGGATCCCAGGTTTTGCTGCGCTGGGGAGTACTCCACGCCGGAGACTTGCTCGCCGTCGGTGTATTCCCTGTTTTTCAAGTACGCTTGCACGCGGTCGTATAGCTACGCTTATGACGACAAGACCAGTACGTATACCTGCGCCAATACGGATTACACCATTGTCTTCTGCCCTCGGCCTTACACCAGGTAAAGAAACTTCTTGATGTGCTGAGATAGCAGTTAGTAGTGCCTTCGGATTAGTAAACCACCATGAACCTGGTTCAAAGATGTCACCTTTGAGGCTTTGACTGAGTGTTTAACATTGATGGATGTTCTGATAATTCTGCCTATTACCTATTATTTACAGAGCTCAAGATTGTGAATTCAATACTTGGAAAGTAGGCTGATTTCATCTTCATTGGTAGCCAAGTGATTCGAATCAGAATTGCCATTGCTTTGGATTGGTAGTAGTACTGTAGTAGGGCCAAGAACAGCTGAAGGTTGTGTGGCCTTGTTGGTTGGCAATGTAGGAAGGTTTTCCCTGGCTCGATAGCGCGCCTGCAGTAGTAGTGTGTGTGATTGATCGTCATTATGACTAGTTATGATCTGGACTGGAGCTGAATTGGTTGAGAAGGAAGGATCAAAATCGTTCGTGAAAGTCTGTCACGCTCTTCTATTCCTTGGTTGAACTGGAACGATGACTTCATGTGTGATTGTTATGTTTTCAGATTCACTTGCGTATTGCAGTAGCTTGTTCTTGCGTAATAGCTATATGTCGAACTAATTCGTTTGTTCTTGTATCTGCGTTATGTTTAGCAGCCAGGAAGTGCTGGGAAGGAGGAAAGATGGTGTTGTGATTCCTATAACCATTGTATTAAATTATAGGGATCACCTTGGTTATTTACCCTAAACTCCTAGTTGTCTACGTAGATGGAGTAGGGTTAATTAGTTTTTGTATATATTGGATGTAAGGGTGCAGTCGGACCCTTTGTGAGAAGAAACAGAAGAAATAAAATTACTCCGAGAGCTTCTAGCTCTCCGTGGACTAGTCCTGATCACATCGATCAGGGAAACCACGTAAATCCGTCTCGTGTTCCTCTTGCTTTCGTTTCTTTGGTTATTTTACATGGTATCAGAGCTGTGATTGGATCCAAAATCCTATCATGGGTTCGGGTGATGAAGAGGACAGCAAGAAGTCGAAGATGGCGATGGGTAGTGATGCCGAAGCACAAATCTCCCTTCCCTCGTACTTGCAACTCGATCGGTCGGACAATCCCAGCAGCCTATTTGTTGGCGAGCTCTTAACAGATGTCAACTATGGAGAGTGGATCTTGGACATGACCGATTCACTCATAGCAAAAAATAAGCTTTGCTTTGTCGATGGAAGCCTGCTGATAGCGACTACCTCCATGGAAAGAGAGGCTGTTCGGCGTTGCAACGCGATGGTGAAGAGCTGGCTGAAGACGTCTATGACGAAAGAAGTGCGTAATAGCGTCCGATTTGCCTCCACTGCTCGCGAAATTTGGCTTGACTTGCAGTCAAGGTTTGGCCAAGGAAGTGCACCTCGGCTGTATGAACTAAAGGGCACCATTAAATCATTACAACAAGAGAAGACTTCAGTCTCTCAATTCTACACGAAATTGAGAGGATATTGGGATGAGATTGAATCCCTCACACCATCACTCGAGTGTACGTGCTCGGGATGCAGTTGTGATGTTAAAAAGCGCCAGCGCGAAGTCCGAGAAGGGGAGAGACTATTCGATTTCTTGATGGGTCTGGATGACGCTTTCTCCACGGTGAAATCGCAAATCTTGGCGATGCGTCCTATCCCTTCGCTTGCTGATGCTTATCGACTAGTCACCATGGATGAACAACAGCGACAAATCGCTAGCAGCAGCCGCCCACGTCCTGAGGCGGCTGTCTTCCAAGCTCAGGGGGAGCGACGCTCGGAACGCAACTCACACCAACCTGATCGTGATCATGAAAAGGATCGGGAAGGAGACGGCAAGCCTCGTTGCACCTACTGCCGGCGTACTGGCCATCTCCGAGAATCTTGTTACAAGCTAATTGGATACCCGCCTCGAAATGGAGAAAAGGGGGAGCAGAATGCGACTTCTCGCAAGGCTGATCGTGGGACCCGCTCGTCTCCTCAGGCGGCTCAAGTGGACGTGGGAGGCAGTCCGCTACCTGGGCTCTCGACACAACAATTTGAGCAACTCAAACTCCTCTTAAGTGGTGATTTGAGGCAGCTTTCACCCACTGTTGACCCCACGTCAAACATGGCAGGTACAAATTTGCCAAATTCTGATTCTTGGGTTATTGATTCAGGATGTAATGAACATATTGTTAATCGTGCTTCCTTGTTGGATTCCGAGTTGGATTCACATCCAAATTTACAGGTCAGAATACCTAATGGGACTGGAGTCCGGGTTCACAGCATTGGCATGACTAAATTATCTAACGACTTATTATTACGTCGTGTTCTCCATGTTCCGGATTTTCAGTGCAACCTGTTATCTGTCAGTAGGCTCACGGCTGATCTTCCCGTGGCATTAATATTCTTGAATGACTTATGTGTTATTCAGGACTTACCCTCCAAGAGGCTGATTGGGATGGGTAAACACATTGATGGACTGTATTATCTGAGGCTATTCGCTCACGAACACCCTATGGCACATTCGGTTCGAAGATCCTTGGATGCTACAGAGATATGGCATTCGAGACTTGGTCATCCCTCGGAGGCAAAGTTACATTTGTTGGAGAATTCTATTGGCTGTTCTTTAATTCACAATAAAGAGCCCTGTCGATCTTGTTTAAGGGCTAAGCAGACACGTGAACCTTTTGATTCTAGCAGTATTAAGACTGCATCTTGTTTTGAGCTTATACACGTGGATATTTGGGGAGGTTACAAAACTCCATCTATGACTGGAGCACATTATTTTTCGACTATAGTTGATGATTTTAGTCGTGCTGTCTGGGTTTTCTTGCTTCGATATAAATCAGATGTAGCTCGGCACTTATTGTACTTCTGCAATATGGTTCACACGCAGTTTGGGAAGCAGGTGCGCCGTATACAAGCAGATAATGGTCCTGAATTTTCAAGTACTGTTCTTACTGATTATTACGAACATAACGGGATCATCTTGCAGACCTCCTGTACTGATACCCCACAGCAGAATGGTGTGGTTGAGCGCAAACACAGGCATTTACTGGATACTGCTCGTGCCTTGCGATTCCATGCTAATCTGCCCTTGAAGTTCTGGGGAGAATGTGTTTTGACGGCTGCATATCTGATCAACAGAATGCCCCTGGTTCCTATTGGAAATAAATCCCCTTTCCAGGTTCTCTTTGATAAAGCGCCAAAATACACTCACTTGCGTAGTTTTGGGTGCTTAGTTTATGCTCGTGACACTCATCATAACCTGCAGAAGTTTGATGCTCGTGGCAGAGCCGGTGTTTTTCTTGGTTATCCTTCCAGTCAGCGTGGCTATCGCATCTATGATCTTGAGACTCACATTATTTATACTTCGCGGGATGTTAAATTCCTCGAAACTGTATTCCCATATCGAGATTTGGAGGTTGGTTCGTCACTCACTCCTGTTAATGTGTCGGCTCCACAATTTGGTAGCCCGCCACCACTTGTGTTTGATGATGAGGACGAGTTGCTGCCACCTCCCACTTCATCCATGTCCTTGCCTCCACGTGAACAGCAACATGCAGAATCTCCTCCACCTATTAATGTCGAGCAGCATGAGACTTCCCCTACCACTGAGCATTCTTCTCCTATTATTGCCGAGCCTGTGTCCACTAGTGCACATGAGGCCCCTGTAGAAAGTGAAGCTCCGCCGAATGCCCCATCCTCTTCTTCTTCGGCCCCAGTTCCAGTTCCTGTCCGCAGAGGTGATCGACAGCGATTTCCCTCCACTCGCCTTCGCGGGTACGATGTGCAGCTCCCCGGAGCAGCTCATTCGGCAACAGTCACTTATCCTCTCGATGATTATGTGACATATCATCGCTTGTCGGTTGCTCATCATGCCTTTGTCGCGGCGGTCAGTTCTGTTTTTGAGCCTTCACATTTTTTCCAGGCCGTGCAGTATAAGCATTGGCGAGAAGCCATGCAAAGGGAGTTTGATGCTTTGGTTGAGAATGGTACATGGACCATAGTGTTTCTCCCTCCGGGAAAGAAAGCTATCGACTGCAAATGGGTGTATAAAGTGAAATTCAATCCCGATGGATCAGTTGAGCGTTTTAAAGCGCGATTAGTAGCCAAGGGTTACACTCAGGTCGAAGGTGTGGATTATCACGATACTTTCGCTCCTGTGGCCAAACTCGTCACTGTCCGATGTCTTCTCGCCGTAGCAGTTGCTCGTGGCTGGCATATCCATCAGTTGGATGTAAACAACGCCTTCCTTCATGGCGATCTTCATGAAGAGGTTTACATGAAAATTCCCCAAGGGTTTGCTCGTCCGGGGGAGCAGCGTGTCTGTCGATTGCGCAAGTCCATTTATGGTTTGAAGCAGGCCTCTCGGAATTGGTACCAAAAGTTCACTCAAGCACTTTTGGAGTTTGATTTCATTCAGAGCCGGGCGGACCATGCTCTTTTCACCTACCAGCGGGGTGACATCTTTGTAGTCGCCCTCATATATGTCGATGACGTGATACTTGCGGGTACAGATTTGGGGTTCATCACTCGGGTTAAAGAGTTTCTGCATTCTCGGTTTACTATTAAGGACCTTGGTCCACTGAAGTATTTCCTCGGGATTGAAGTGGCTCGCTCACCGCGTGGTATGGTTCTTAATCATCGCAAGTATGTACTCGATATTCTAGCTGACGCTGGGTTGGAGGCAGCAAAACCATGCTCCACTCCCATTGAGCAACAGCATAGCTGGGTCGTGTCCCTTCTCCTCCGGCAGATGATCCCAGCGCTTACCGTCGTCTGATTGGTCGTCTTTTATATCTCACTGTCACACGTCCCGACATTACATATGCAGTGAACCTTCTCAGCCAGGCCATGCAGGCGCCCACCAGAGCTCATGAAGAAGCTGCAGTTCGTGTCTTGCGATATCTAAAATCTGCACCTGGCCGTGGACTCTTCCTCTCTGCCACTAGTCCCCTCACTTTAACGGCGTATTGTGACGCCGACTGGGGTGGCTGCCCTCTCACTCGTCGTTCCACGACTGGGTACTTCATCATGTTGGGTTCTTCTCCCATTTCTTGGCGTACCAAGAAACAGACAGTTGTTGCTCGTTCCTCTGCCGAAGCGGAGTATCGTGCCATGGCTAGCACAGTCAGTGAAGTGCTTTGGCTCCGGTGGCTCCTTCATGATCTCGGCGTCCCACTTTCTGCGCCTACTCCGTTATTTTGTGACAATCAGGCAGCACTTCACATAGCTTCCAATCCGGTTTTCCATGAACGAACTAAGCATGTCGAGATGGACTGCTATTTCGTTCGAGAACGCGTTCAGTCTGGTGATGTTGCTCCCTTGAAGATTGCCACTGCAGATCAGCCAGCCGACTTGTTCACGAAGGGGTTAAGCGTTGATCAGTTTCATTATCTCTTTGTCAAGCTCGGACTTCTTGACATTCACTCCTTCGCTTGAGGGGGAGTGTTGTGATTCCTATAACCATTGTATTAAATTATAGGGATCACCTTGGTTATTTACCCTAAACTCCTAGTTGTCTACGTAGATGGAGTAGGGTTAATTAGTTTTTGTATATATTGGATGTAAGGGTGCAGTCGGACCCTATGTGAGAAGAAATAGAAGAAATAAAATTACTCCGAGAGCTTCTAGCTCTCCGTGGACTAGTCCTGATCACATCGATCAGGGAAACCACGTAAATCCGTCTCGTGTTCCTCTTGCTTTCGTTTCTTTGGTTATTTTACAGATGGAGTGTCCCTGCCGCTGGTTAACAAGACGTCAATGTACTGGCCAAGAAGACATCCTAATGGTGCTTTCTCTTCAGGTCCGCATTTAAACAACTTGCACCCCCCTGCCTCACATTTTACTATGGTTTGAGCCCTCTCTTGACTACACTAACATTGGCCATATGCTCGAGGCTTCCAGTGAGATAGCACGCGTAGAGAAGGTGCAGCTTACAAGAGTAGCGGAGTACACAACGTTCGAAGGCTCGGGTGTCGTAGCTTCCTCTCCCTGACCATGACGTTGGTTCTGTAAACAGAGATGAGTGGGGAAGATGATGGTTGAAGTGTAATGCAGCACAGTAAATTCCACGAACTAAATTTTGTGCCGATTTCATACGCCTTAACTAACTAGTAACTACACACTAACTTTGCACTTGGGGATCGGGAAGACAACAGAGGGGAATATACAGCAGGTTTTCAGTTCAAAGCTAGACTGTTCAGTTCATTCTGATTGCCAATGTGTTCTCTCATCATACCGTATTCTGCACAAATTCTGTACTTTTGCTCTTCTTCCTTGTGGAAGTTGAAGCTTTTATGATGTAAAGCGTTTATCCCTCTATTATCTGCCATGAATACAGTGTAGCACCCTCCTGCTTGGGAAACAATACAATCACCAAATGCATTGAGAAACAAAGATTTGAAGCCCGGTCTGGTAATGGGCTGGATATCCTTTTGGGCAGCAAAGAATAACCGGCGGTTCAACCAGTTCTGGCCAATCAGCTGCTCGAAAACGCAGCGTTTGGTTAACTGAGCTAAGAAAAAGAAAAATTGGTTCTGAATCTTCGTCCCCACTCTCCAACTAACTCTGCAGTCGCCAGTTCTGCCAACACAACCGCGCCACGACGACCGGACTTCCACAGAAAGATCACAGCGGAGTTTCCGTCTGATTATCCCTCCGACTAGAGGCAGGTACGAAATATATAGATACCCTTTTTTGGAAATTTTCCTTTTGTTTGCTGGCCAATTTTGCATCCTTTTGTTGATTAAGATTGATTTTTCCCCCAAAAATTCAGGGGTTTTGAATTTTCAGTTTTTGATTGATTTGGGATTCTTTACTAGGTGTAAGATGGAGGCTTCTAAATAGAATTTGCAAGGTTTTGTTAGTTTAGTTGTGAGTTGTACTAAGGCAGGCGATGCAATTGGAGTGTGTTGTGCGAGTAACAAATCCGACGGAGCGGGTTTCTGTTCCCATTTGCTCCCTGTCTCGGAAGTGATACAAAACTTGGGTTTGGGTTTTACTTGACTTCCAATGTTCTTCATTTTATTTGACCACTTTTGGGTTTTCCATTTTCATATTGCTCATTCATTGTTTACCTTGGCAGAATTGGCCTAGTGAACCATATTGGTCTCTTCAAACTCCAGTCCTTCCCATCCCCACAGCGGTAATTTCTCTTTAGTTCCATCGTGATGATCTTGTACCACCAGCTCATGTGGAAGTTAGCTGGGGCAGAGCTAACCCCAGTTAGCTTCAAACTGGTGTAGTCACATCGAGCTGAAAGCATTCATTTTTCTCATTTTTCATATCGAGATGTTTGATTTTGGCCTCGTAATCTGGCGCGAGTGTTTGCAATTTCTTTTGACCTGGTTTCATTTGTCACTTGTTGTGGTACAGGAAATGTGCAAATAACTTTCCGGTGCCTGAAATCTGCAATGCAAGCAAAGGGCACATTTTCCTCACCCAGTTTAACACTGCTTCCCCTCAACATACCATGTAGTTCATCACGCTCGGGTTCTTTGTCCTGTTACTTCCAGATCAAGCAACAAAGAAAAACCATTTGCGCTTGTGTGGCACCTCCTCTGAATATAGGCAGCAATGGAATATCAAAGACCAAAAACAATGTAATATCTTTGACACTAACCTTATGTCTAGAATTTCTGAAGCGAGTTTAAGATTGGTAGACTCATTTCTTATTTTCCACCATTGATGCTTATTGGTCAGGTCTATGATAGTAGAATGTCTAAAATCCTGTATTTAAGTTGAGATGAATTTCGAAGTTAAAAAACAAAAATTCGAAGTTCCTTTTCCTTGGGTTCTTCATCTTATTGGGGACCTACAGCCCACAACCATGTTAAATTTTGCTTGTTGGGGTGAACTGTTTATATCCTTCGGTCATCCTTGCTAGGGAGAAATTGCTGAACTTCTAGGAGTTTGATTTACCTAAATTATCTCCCTAACCCCTCATACCCGCCTTTTCTATATTTTCTAATGGGGATTTATGCTCAATTTTGAATCAGCATATGAGCAAATCAGAGGAATTGCACTCGGTATTGGAACCAGAGGATGACTCAGACGTTCTAATTGAATGTAAAGATGTTCACAAATCATTTGGTGAGAAGCATATATTAAGAGGTGTGAGCTTCAAGGTGAATCTTGTCTCTCGCTGTTTTGGTATTGGATTGCTAATTCCATGAATAATACAGTCTCTTAATCAAGGTTTACAATGTTTATTGCATATGTGTGCCTCTGGATGTACCATTGAACTTCGCTTGTGACAATATGTTAACATTACCCTTACTTTTGTGCTTCCTTTTCTTCCTGGAATGTCACACTAGATCAGACATGGTGAGGCAGTTGGAATAATTGGACCTTCTGGCACTGGCAAGTCTACAATTTTGAAAATAATGGCTGGACTTCTTACCCCAGACAAGGTCAGGATCATGTGTAATGTTCCTATACCGGCCTAGATATCGTGCTGTAGCTTGTTTGCATTGATTTTTTCTTGGACAAACTCATGTTAATTAAATGGTTGAAAAGCAGGGCGAGGTTTATATTCGAGGTAGGAAAAGAGATGGGTTGATTAGCGACAATGAGATCTCTGGCGTGCGAATTGGATTGGTGAGTTTGTTTCCTTGTGTAGATGATTTTCAAAAATATATATACCGCTGACTTCTCATAGTGATTTGACTTCCAAGCACAGGTGTTCCAAAGTGCAGCACTGTTTGATTCTTTAACAGTTCGTGAAAATGTCGGTTTCTTGCTGTAAGAGACAATCTGATTTTCTCAGTTTATCTGTAGAAGTTAGCACTCTTTAACTATCTTATTAAATTTTCCTTCTCCATTAAAATGAATGCTTGAATTATTCGGTGTTGTCTTCTTTTACAGGTATGAAAGTTCTACAATGCCAGAGGATCAAATCTCAGAGCTTGTGACTGAAACCTTGGCTGCTGTTGGTTTAAAGGTATGCTATCTGTTCCATACATTTATTTATGTACTTTGCTGAGTTTGAGCTAATCCACCTGCAGTTCCATAAGTTAGAGAATTAGAGTCATTTTTTTGCAGAATTATAACCATGTATTGTAGATGGATTTACCTTAATCTCATGTTCCCAACTCTGGTAACTTAATGTATGGATCTTGTTGATGAGCATGCATGCTTCGTTGCCACTATTGGTATCGATTCCCCATTATTCTATCGATTTCATTGGCTCTCATATCTAAAATGTCTGCCCAGGGTGTTGAGGATCGGTTGCCTTCTGAGCTATCTGGCGGAATGAAAAAAAGAGTTGCTTTAGCTCGATCCATAGTTTTTGACGCCTCCAAGGCCACCATTGAGCCAGAGGTACATCCATTAAGATGGTCATTATGCCAACTAGTCTTCGAATGCTGATCCTCCTAGTCGTCATTTTTGTAACAAATGAGAATGTTTGATACTCTTTTGGTACCCAATGATTTGAGTGTTAATTGTTAAATGTGATCTCACAAATATTTTGTTCTCGCACTCTTTGGATAGGTGCTTTTGTATGATGAACCTACAGCTGGACTCGATCCGATTGCATCAACTGTAGTAGAAGATCTTATCCGCTCTGTCCATATGACAGGGGAGGATGCAGTCGGCAAACCTGGAAAGATTGCGTCCTATGTCGTGGTTACTCATCAACACAGTACCATTAGAAGGGCTGTCGACAGGTTAACCTGAAATTTCAGACCAATGTCCCATATATTGCCTGAACTAGGAACTGAATTCTGCATTTTCTATCTAGTTTCATGACAGCTTTGATGTACATGTATTGATACATGCAGGCTACTGTTTCTTCATAACGGGAAGGTCGTGTGGCAAGGAATGACTGATGAATTCACTACATCAGCCTCTCCTATTGTTCAGCAGGTAGTTAACAAGGATTCACAGTCACAGTTATCGTGTCTCGATAAAATCGGTCTTAGTATCCCCAGTGAAGCAAATTCATCTATCCTTTCTCATCTGCCTGTTCCAGTTTGCATCTGGGAGCCTTGACGGTCCGATTAAATACTAGAGGACACCATCTTCATTTGGAGGCGCGGGTTCATGGCGTCGTATGTGAGGGAAGAGATGGTGGTAGGTTGTCAGGTTTGAAGCTGTTATTGTTGCTAATTCTTGTTTACTAAATTGAACAAAAGAACGAGGCCATTCATGTTTGGGGATCCTTTTTTTCCTGGAAGGGGATCGCATTTTGAAATGTAAGGTCGTTTGGCTCCTCTTTGTAGACGTTCTTGTATAAGGTTGGTTGCCTGCATTGTTCGATGAATCGATTGAGCTCCTATGCAATGGTATCATTTTTTCTGTACCACATTTGCTACCTCAAACGAGCAAGTTTTTGATTTCGCTAAACTTTGGACTGTCATGACTTTGTGCTCAGCAATCCGATCATCGCAAAAATAAAATTGATATTGCATGACTTTTCAAAGACAACAACTTGTGCTTAGCTTTAATTTTCACATTTCCACAAATATTCTGAAAAAACAAAAACGAAAAAAGTTGTGGTCATCGAAAAGTTATGCGAAATTGATTTTTTTTTTTTTTTTGCTGCGATAACTGTTCTTGATCTCATCTCGATGTACTATGCCATGGCTATATGCTTCTAACTGTTCCTGTTTCTGAAATGAAGTTGATTTTCATTGTTGAGAAGAAGAAAAAAGCAATAATGCTTTGCATACATACTACAGAGCGACTGCATTAACAATACATCATTGCGTAGGTCATGGCCACTACTGGCTACATCATACATACAACCATAAGTCATTTTTACAACATCCAATCAGCAGACTGCATTTTACTTGCAAACACAGCACGAACCTTTCGTGTGGAAGATGTACCTTCTGGTTTTCGACGAACAGAACAGAACCATGAGACTAGAATAGCAACTAACTACAGCACTCAAGCAGAACACCCATGCCAATATCGGCCCTTCATCATCCGTTTCATGAAAAGGCCTTCCAGGAATCGCCAGCTGCTTTGCATCATCATCACATCCTTCCCCCTCCAAGCACAGATGAGGGTTCCCAGCAAATGCTCCCGGGAACCTCTTGTAACTCTCATTCTTCGGTACGGACCCAGAAAAACTGTTGAATGACAAGTTCAGAACCGCAAGATCTTGAAGATTTGAGATGTTCTGCGGAATCTCCCCAGATAGAGCATTGTGTGACAGATCAAGAGCTCTCAAACTCCACATTTTCTCCAGATTCGGAATCTCTCCATCGAGAGAATTATAGGATAAGTTCAGGTACTCCAATCCTCGTAGTCCGAACATGGTGTCTGGAATCTCCCCGCGTAGCAAGTTATCAGATAGATCAATACCAACTGTTGACGGCAGTTGGTAACTGAAGGTTAACTCGTTGATACCAACAACAGCTACAGATATTTGTATCTCAAGTGATTCCAATGGAAGTCTCGTTTCATTGTAGCTTGCATTGTTGAAATCAACACTCACGTTCAAGTTACCATCTGGTATAAAGCCGGAGAACTTGTTCCCTGACAAGTCCATCATTTGGATTGCTTGAAAAGAGAACAACCAACTAGGTAGATTTCCGGTGAACTTGTTCCGAGAAAGGGAGATATACTTGAGATTAAGCCATTTGGTAATGGCATCATTGATGTTCCCGGAGAGATTGTTGGAACCAAAATCCACGACCTCGAGGGACTTGCACCCAGCTAAAGTCAAAGGAATCTCACCTGAGATCCTGTTGTTGCTTATATCGAGAATCTTCAAGCTGTCCAATGCATCTAGCTCGGGTTGAATCTCGCCAGAGAGGTTGTTATTGTTAAGCACCAGGGCAAGCAGTTGAAAGCACCCCACAATTGTCAAAGGTATTGAACCTGACAATGCGTTGTGTGAGAGATCTATTACCTGAAGGTAGGTCAAATTTCCAACCCTTGCAGGGATTTCACCAGTAAGCAAGTTGTGAGAGAGAAACAAAGCCTGCAGGCTTTTCAGCTCTGTCATCTTCAATGGGATAGAGCCAGTGAAACGGTTGTGCGATAGGTCAAGAAGAACAAGCCCTGATTTCTCCGTCGTTGCAGCAATCTTAGCTGGAAGCGGGCCAAGGAGATTGTTGAAGCTCAAGTCCAGCACAAGAAGCTTCTCAGAGAAGATGAGTCGAGGGGATATAGCATAGTTCAAATGGTTAAGTGATAAATTGAGATGAGTCAATTCAGCCAGTGAAGCAATGCACGTAGGAATTCCTCCAACAATTGAATTGTTAGCCAGATTCAGAACCTTGAGGGATCGAGCAGCGGCAGAGTAACATGGTAACGTACCCGAAAACAAATTAGACCCAAGATTGAGGAACACCAAAGGCTGAGAGAACTCACCAATGGTACCTGATAAATGGTTGCTTTCGAAATCCAAGTACTTCAACGACCTGGACTGAAACAAGCTACCAGGCATTTCACCATGGAATGAATTGAAACCCAAATCCAGTTTTTCCAAACTGGTTGAGAAATTGCCAAGCCAAGACGGAATAGCCCCACCCAGATCCTGGTTACCACGCAGTATAAGTTCACTCAACTGACCAAGCCTCATGAGACTATCAGGCAAGACACCATGGAATTTGTTGTGGCTCAGGTCAAGGGTTCTGAGGTTCTTCAACCAACCAAAGCATGCCGGGACTTGACCAAAAAGGCTGTTCTTGGAAAGAATCAAGGACTCGAGATGGGCAAGCTTGCACATACTGGGATGAACTCGACCTGAAAGATTCATGGTGGTGAAATCTATTGAGATAACTCGGCCTGTGTGGTTGTGGCAGGCAATCCCAGTCCAATTTGTGCAGTCAGCACCAACCCAGCTTGAGAATGCATGGTTTGGGTCATCAATCCACGAACGAATCAGTAACAGGGAAGCCTTGTCTTGTGGATTGAGATCAACAGAGACACATTGCCATGAACACAGCATAGACAGTAATAGCAACGGCAGCAGATTCAGTTTCAGGGTCTTGGAGAGGAAACAAGCAGAAACCCATTTCACTTGCATGGCTTATGAGCAACTACGATGCTAATTCACTAATTACTTGGTTACCAGAGAGTAATACCACAGAGTTTCGGCTGATACCCTCGCTCGAGCTGGTTGCGAGTTTCAACAGCTCACTCCCGTGTTGTATAAAGCTCGACCTCTTCTTCGTGCGCTCTGTGTCATTTCACTCACATTTCTCCAGTCGCAGATCTGTAGCATCCTAGGGTTGGTCGCATCTCCGATTTACGCCGCCCATCGGCCGTCGTTGAACGACAGAAAAGGCGATTCGTAGCTGCAGAACCACTTAAGCTACAGGCGTTGTGTCGTTCGCTAAATCTCCGTCGCTTTTCTTCTCCAGTGGCGATCCCTCGACTCACTGTATGCTGTTGTTTCAGCTGAGCTCCGCCTTAACGTCTCTTACCTCCCGCCGTCTCTGGGCTGCTACTTCCCTTTCTCGTTTTTGGGTGGGCATCTTCCTTTTAGCTTTTTCTGAAAAGCAGATGGAGTGAAAAGAGAGTGTGAATCCAATTGCTTAGTTAAATATTTTCATGACAAATTTCAAAATTACAATTAACATGATTTTTCTGTGTTAAGTAACTAAATATTATATTAAAATAAAATATACATAATCCATTAAACTCTATTTTTTGCCAAAAAAATCACTCGTAACTAGAGGTGGAAATCGATACGGTATCGGTATTCCAATATCAAATACCGAAATTTCGAATACCGAATTATTTTCGAAAGTCAATCCCAATCTCAATCCCCAAATAATTTCGGTATCCCAATCTCATTCGCTAAATATTCCGGTATCTCAATCGGTATTATCGAATACAAAATTAATTACATTTGAAATAAATAATAAATATAAAAATTAGATTTGATTGTTTAATTTAGGGCAAAGAGAATAAATAAAGAGTTTTGAGTTTGCCAAGAGCTAGGATATTGATAAGGAGAATGAATGAGAGGTGACATCTCAAGTTCTTGTCATTGTTAATTTTTAATTTGACGAATTGAAGGCTAAGAGACGACTAATTTTAGTGTTTGCTTTTTGGTGTTGTGAAAATAACAAGTTATTAAATTGGAAAGTCAAAATTGAGTTAGATGAGGACTTTTGAGTTGGGGAAGCAAAGATGAAATGATCTGTATATAATTAAATGCGCTCTTGGTGGTTGAGGGTCGTGTAGTAGTGAATGAGAGAGTCTAATTGAGAGAATAAAATACACACTAGTTTATATTTGGGTATTGATCGGCATTTCGGTATATACCAATCCCAATCCCGTAATCCCTAATATCGAATTACAATTGAAATTCAATCCCAGTCCCAAGAAATAATACGTGTATTCGGTAATACCAAATATAGACAAATTCGGTACGGTATTCGGAATATCCCAAATACCGGTACCAAACTTCCAGCCCTACTCGTAACAACCAGATCCAAAAACCAGTCAGGAAACAAAGGGAATAACGAAAAAAAATTCTCGCCATCAAATAGACAACCCGTTACCGTGACAATCAAGTTGTAAATTTTATATATGTCTATCTTCCCAATAATTTTCACCTAATTGTATTCTTAATTTCATTCATGGACACGTTTGCCAAATTGTAAATTGATAAACAAAGGAATTGATTATACAAAATGGGGATTAATTAATTAGTTAGACATTAATTTACGTGGAGGAGAATGTTGGTGCTTAGTGAGAGAGAGAGAGAGAGATAGAGAGAGAGAGTTGACTTGACTTGGTCGCACGTTTCCATCCTCGCGCCACTTCCTGACCTCTCTCCCGCCAATCCCCGGGCGAATAACAGAACATATTCCATCCCATTCCCACCAGTTTTTGTTTTCTTTTTCTTTTTAGTTTTAAGTCTCTTCTTCTTCTTCTTCTTCTCCCCTGTTATCCCGTAACTGAAGAAGAACGCATCAGAGACGCCACAGCTTTCTTCTCTCAGTGCCATTAAACCCTAAGCAATCAAATAAGATGAATGCATCAAATCAAAAGTATAATTATTGATTAATTACAATACCAGTAGCATCCGTTGAAATTAATCACCATTTCATCAAATTATTATCATAAATCACGAGCCTTTCTGGGAGGGAACTCGCAAGGAAATAAATACGAAGCAATTCATCAGTAATTAAATTAAAACGGAATTAATTGGGAGAATTTCCATGGACGTGACAGAGAGTGGGTGGGATCAGAAACAAGATTCCGTGCTGCGTTTTCTGCGCCGCTTTCGGTTCCCCTCTGAACGACTTCTCTCTTCTTCTTCTTCTTCTTCTTCATTCTTTCTCTCTGTCTATGTATATGCATCTTCTTCCTGTCATCAACCACATCAATGTCTTTCACACAATTGACCTTCTTTTTTTTTTTTTGGTTAAATTCCCCTTTCATCTTCCTTACCCTTTATGTGCTTTCCCCCTTCATTTTCTCCTGGTATTCTGAATGGAACCGAATTTATCATCGGCTCTGTTAATTTGCTAGAAAAAACAGAGTCCATTTTGCAAAGTCTCTAACCATCATCCATCGTTGTTTTCCTTCTCCTGACAAAGACGCCGAAAACGTGTCTTTCGCTGAAAACCCATTACGTTGATTACCCCATAATCAAGGAATTAAGCCAGGAAGCAGAGAATCAACCAACGAAAAACGAAAGAACCATCCCCCTTTCCCTGACTCTGCTTTCCATGTTTCCTGCAACTAATATCTTACTGTGGAGCGCTTCTTCTTCTTCTTCTTCTTCTTCTTCTTCTTCCTCGAAATCTCTTTCCAATTACTGCTTTCCGTTTCAATCCCCTTCTGCCGATTCTGTATATTAAGGTTCCTCCTGTCCTCTTCAGGACGTTCCAGCGCGCAGGTTCTCTGTAATTCCAGAATCATGCTTAAGGTTCGTTCGACAACCAGCTGCAAATTTGAAACCTTTATGCTCGATTCGGGAAATTTCACATTGCATTTTCCATGAATTTCGTTTGGTTTGGCTGCAGATATCAATACCAGTGGATGCCAAAACCAGATCATGCCTCTGCCGCACCGTTTTCCCGGCCGCTTCCCTCATTCTGGTAGTCTTCTTCATCGGCACCTCCGTTCTAGTTCCTGACCACAAACAGGTAATTGATCACCCACTAAACCCTAATTAAACTTTGCACATTCCAAATCAGGACCCCAAATGTAGAAATTCTGAAGGAACAAAAAAAAAAACTGTTCTGTTTTTGTCCTGTGCAGTCTGAATTGCAGGCATTGACAAGATCAGAAGCCGTAGGTAGTTTCAGCAATCTCAATTCCACCTGCAATTGCCAGGTGGGCCTGTGGGTGTCTATTCTTTTCCACATTCGTTTCGTTCCTCGTCGTGCTCGTCCTGTTTAACGTCGTTGTTCTGTGCTTGTTTCGAGCCCCAGGAAAGGCCTCAGGGAGGAGGTGAAACGTTGCGCCAAGGCAAGGAACCGGAGAGGCCTCAGGAAACAAAGACATTGCCCCAAAGCAAGGATCAGGAAATGCTTCAGGGAAGGCAGGCATCGGCCGAGATCAAGGAACAGGAAATGCTTCAGGGAAATGAGAAATTGCCCCAAAGTAAGGATCAGGAAAGGCCTAGGGAAAGTGAGACATTGCCCCAAAGAAATGACCAAGAAAATCCTCAGGCAACTGAGACATTGCCTGAAAGTATTGTCCATTCCAACAATCTGAATTCTGCGAATTGCCAGGTGGGTTGAATATGTAGAGAGATCAAATGCTCCTGTCGAAAAACTCGAGACTGCTTGTTTTACGTTGTTGTTAATGCGTGACATTTTAGGATCGAGAAATGCCTCAGCGAAGCGAGACATTGCCCCAGGGTATCATCCAGAAGACTTCAAATTTGCAGATGAGGCCCCTATGGGGAAATGTCGCCATGAGGAAACCAAACGAGAAGGCCAACTTGTTTGCAGCAGCTGTGGGTGTGAAGCAGAAAGTCCTGGTGAACAAGATGGTGACCAAGTTTCTTTCGAGTAGCTTCACGGTGATGTTGTTCCACTACGACGACGCTGTGGATGAATGGAGGGAGTTTGATTGGAACTCCAATGTCGTTCATGTCTCTGCACATAATCAAACCAAATGGCAAGTGTGCTTTCTTTTATTCGTTTCCAATTTCGTTGTTTGCTTTCTGTACAAAGGAATATGATATCTGAACATACTGAAAAAAACAAACTGTGTTTCCTCAGGTGGTTTGCAAAGCGGTTTATGCATCCTGACATAGTCGCGGAGTACGACTACGTATTCCTGTGGGATGAAGACATCGGAGTCGATACATTCGACCCCCTCAGGTACCTGTCGATTGTCTCGAGCGAAGGTCTCGAGATATCGCAACCAGCATTGGACGTGGGGAAGTCGGAGATTCATCAGCAGATTACTGCTCGGATCAATTCTATAGTCCACAGGTTCAGAAAACCTGAACCCTGATTCTGTCTCATTTCCCCCTTCACAGTTCCTAGTCCCTAAACTCAGCAATGGCCGAATTTCGTGGTTCTGCAGACGAATATACAAGCCGGGATCTTGCGAACGAAACAACACTTCTCCTCCATGTACCGGGTGGGTAGAGATGATGGCTCCTGTGTTCTCGCGAGACGCCTGGCGCTGCGTTTGGTACATGATCCAGGTAAATTTGGTTCCTCGGACGAAGTCAGGATTTGGAGTGAGATGCAGAGACTAGAGATGAGAATTTACTCTGCCTCTGCGATTTGTTAAAAAAGCTCCCTCATTTCATTTCATTTCATTTCTCCATTTTCATATGCAAAATGATGAGGGATTTTCAGCTTTTGGTGTGGGTTTGCAATTGCAGAATGACTTGATCCATGCTTGGGGACTGGATTATCGGCTTGGCTACTGTGCTCAAGGGGACAGAACCCAGAAGATGGGAGTTGTAGATGCAGAGTATGTTGTTCATCATGGCAAGCCAACACTTGGTGAATCAAAGGTGATTGATTGATTCATTTTTTTTTCCTGTGACAAACCATATGGTTCTTTGTGTGTAAAGAAAATTAAATTAACCCGAGGAGAATTGGGGGGTGTTTATGCAGGATTCTACCCCACCGCGCCCTTTTAATCCCCGTGAATTCAACCCTAGAGTGGAAGTAAGTCGTATTTGTTATGTAGTAAACCATGGTTCACTAGTTCTTGTTTTATGACAACCAAAATTTGATTGATAGACTAATTCACCACTATCTAACACGGCTACAATTGTAAAGATGCTTGATTGGATTGAGTTATGAGAGCGCTCATTAGTATATTAACCATGCAAAATCTATTGAATTTTGTTCGTGGTGGCTGGGGCAGGTGAGGAGACAGTCGTGGAACGAGTACAAAACGTTCAAGCAAAGATGGGCGAAGGCAGCTGAGGAGGATAAATGTTGGATAGACCCTTACAATGATGACCCTCATAGAAAATAGTGTACTAGAGAGTCCATTTTGTTTCTTTCATTTTTTTTTGTTTTGTTTTGGAATCCTCTAGAGTGAAGTGGCATACATTGATTCTTGGGGATCGAATCGTAAATAGTTTCGTGTAAATCCATAGGACGGGGAACCTAGATTCTTGTATTCATTTGTGAGGCAAAAGAGGAAGGGAAATTGTTGAGAGGACGCAAAAAATTTATGTCCCTATTTGATTTGAATTACCGATAAAACCAGAAGGATCAAAGAATATTTGTTTTAGATTACATAAGAAAGAAAAAAGGTGGTTGTTCTCTCTCTCTTTTTTTTTTTGACAAAAGATAATCATTAGATTAATAATGAAAAGATCAGTACATCCTGGAATTCAACCAGGTCTGGAAATCAAACGAACGACATGCATTCGGGAACAAGGCCAGGGCTTTTCTAGCTACCAAATGAGCTACCCTATTGTTCCGCCGACCTACAAATCGTACAGAGAAACCTACATTAGAAGCAAAGGAACTAACTATCTCCTCCAAAATTGCTCCCATATGATTATCTCGAGTATCCTGCCGGAGAATCTTATCAATTACCACCTGGGCATCACCTTCAAACCTCATGCTAGTGAATCCATTCGTCAAACACCAGCTAATCGCCTCCCGGAGTGCCAGAGCTTCAGTTATGCTTGGGTCACTAAGATCCGGGAAATGAACCCCCTTCGCAAGAATGACCGCTCTCTCTGAATTCAGGATAACCATCCCCCCGGCCGCATGAGACCCCATCCGCACAGCCCCATCTCTCTCGAAACAGTAAAGATAATAGCTATTCTCTTATGATATGGATTTGGACATAGAATTTGTTTCTTTTGTGACATATTTCACCTAAATTTGTTTTTCTTTAACATTTCTTATACTAGTTTGTTAATGTCTTAAGAGTTAGCAATATAAGATAGAATCCATGTTTTCAACTATTGTCAACTAATTAGGCATATGCAACTGAAGGATGATAGTGAACAACTTCGTTTGTGTCGAAAAATAGTTGTCTTTCATCTTTTGCAACGATTTATTTTCTTTTAGCAACCATTCATTTGTAGCAAAACGCCCTCTCTGCCACGAGGTAGTTCCACTACTCACAATTCGATAGATTTAAGCTCATTTTCAGTCTCACAGTAATAACAAAATTGTGAAAGAGGAACAACTTGCAATGGGAATATTCCTTTACCAATGCACCATATTCAGGCTTCGGGTCCTTTTCCTCTGTGTTTTCGACTTCACCTTTATATAATTCAACCTTTTGATGCCCAAACACATCCTAGTATCAACAAGTAATTCTTCTCTGGCTTTGCCTTGTAATGCAAGTTAAAGCGATAACATGAAGCCACAATAATGATTCTGGGGAGTTAGCTTATACGTCATACTGAAAAGTTCAGTGCCTAATGAGAGGAATAAGAGGTGAGAGGAGCAAATGTATAACGAAAATGGCGAATGAAAAGTGCTCTGTGTACAACATTCAGAATAGAAATGGAGGCATAAAAAATAAGAAGGATCGATGATCGCATTGAGACAACATGTTCACGTCATGGAATTTTAGACCAAAACGAGACAATATTTTGCAGACTGGTTTATCTTTTTATACAACGCAACAGAGTATGAGAGATTCAGAGAGAGTTAAATCATTTTCTTCTGAATTTTCGGCATTATCAACTGGTGGCGATGGATGGAATGGAACTCTGTACATCTCCAACAGACCCAAGGAAATGAATTTTTACAGTCAAAGCAGGCTAGCTTGTTTGTTTGGTTGCCATCTGCAGTTTTCCGGAGCTGCTTATAACGAATGCACTCCGGCGGGGCAGTCTCAAATCTCAATCATCCCTCTGCATCAATGTTATGATCGTCACCAGGAGAAGTCATCTGTCTTGGCTCTGACAATGAGAGTCTCCTCGGCATTCCAGAGTTTGCTGTGGCTTCCACGAGACCTTCCGGTCCTGAAGATGACTCCAGGTAACGTCGAACCGGAGCATCAACAGCAGAAGATGATGATGCTGAGAGATTGTATGCGAAGATTCCCATAGGGTGGTCGAACTTGCAGCTCGGACCGAACTTGCAAATCCCGTATCGGGAGTAGAAGATACACAGAGGCTCTCCCTGATGATAAGTTAAAGCACCAGCTTAATCAATCATCCATCAGGAGAAAAAAAGACTGGAAACTTGAAAGATCTTTCCGTAGCATGTACACACAACTTAAGTTGTAAAAATCAGGAGAAAAAGGGTAGTTGAGCTCACCGGACGTAATGGGAGGCCTATAGGGCTCAATACACAGTCTGGAGCAGGGATTAGTCTTTCTCTTGGGTGATGAAATCTACAAACTGCACCAAACTTACAGTCACCGGTCTTCATATAATACTGGCATTCAGGTTGTCCAGGTCTCTCGGGAAAAACATTGTCCCTCTGCAATGCATAATATCCAACAGGGACTGAACCAGAACGGTATGCGGAGAACGCTCCTTGAGCTTCGGTACTCGTTGTCTCATTCTGGAGGGAGTTCCCGTATATCTGACTGTTTCCACTTTGTTGCTGGCTATCAGGTGATGAAAGTGAACCCACCTGACCCTAAAATCAAACAAAAAGTAAAGAATCCATAAAAAGAATGTCTATGGAGAATGTAAGGTTAGATGATATGTATTCAAGGAAAAAGATCTTTCAATATCCTGTATTCATGAGAGAACTATTGCTTTAGCTCCTCAAAACTCCTACTTCAATCAAGGTTCTCCTTGTAACTTAACTAGCAAATGCATTCTACCACAAAAAGGCTAAGGAAATGGGGAGGGGGAGGGGGCACACAAGAGTATGCATTTATTTCCACCAAGCTCAGTTGCTCGGTCTGAAGGCTGTGGGTGGACCATGAATATACTGACCTAAAAAGAGATCTTCGAAGGGGGGAAAAAACATAAGATGTGGCTATCAAATTATATACTCAAAAGCCATACAATAGAAGATATCATATTGTTAGGTTGAGATGCAAAACATAAAGGAATAACCACACAAAATATTCCTATCAATCTGCTCCTAGTGCAGCTTTGACCTGCTTATTCATTTGATTAAGTCTGGCTTCATGATAATTCTTCACGTGAAATGGTTAAAGAATCTTACGCTATAAGCGTTCCAACCGGGAACAGAAACAACTCCCTGAGGTACAATCAAGGGTGTGTAACTGGAAGGAGCTTGCCAGCGTGGGCTGGTAATATAGGACGCCCTTGACCAGTTTGTAAGTCCAGCTGGGTAGGATTGCTGGCCAGGATTTGTTGGAGATTGAACAGTAGGATAAATAGGAGAACCCCGTAATGGAAGCATTAAATTACTCGGTTGAGGATGATGAAATTTACATGTGCTCCCAAACTTGCATTGACCCGTTCTTAAATAGTAAGCACACTCAATCTCATTCTGCAACAAGCAAATGCACAATGAGAAACTGGTCAGACGTTGCAAGATCATTTACTTGGCTAGCTACGCTTGGATATATAACGTTACTACTACGCATGACACTGCAAGTTTCATGAAGCAAAATTTCATTATGATTCGAAGTAGAATCAAACACATATAATGAATAATTTTTTTTTCGTGCACATGATGAATGAGGAAACCATACTGGTCGAAGTGGGAGACCCAGAATATTCAAGGAAACTCTTCCGGCTATCCCAGCCTTGTCTTTAGGATGATGAAACTTGCACGTTGCTCCAAATTTGCAAGTTCCAGTCTTCAGATAGTACTGGAAAGCATTTAAATCATCAGGTTAGTATTTGAAGCAGAACATATACAAGGAAAACACAATATTTCATCCTGTAAGTATGCACTACACAAAATGAAAAGCTTCCATACCATCTCCGAACTCCAAGAACCATTTACAGGAAGCAGGAAAGTGGACATAAAAGGGAGGCAGTTCATGTACCTGGCACTCGGGCTGCCCAATCCTTTCTGGAAATTCCCCTTTCATCCTTGCTGCAGCAATAGCCTAGAGAAAAACCGAAAGGTAGTTCAGAGTATCAATAACACAGGCTTTAGTCGTTTAAGATAGAAGATACCACATAAATCACGCAAATTTGCAAGGCAGAAAAGGTGTTTTACATGCACCTCTGTAAAATATTCATATCATGAGAAATCTAAGTCAAACTATAGCACCATCACATGTATGACAGTTTGAGTATGCCCGATCATAGAGATTTGTGTGTAGGAAAGACAAATATCTGCTGATTGGGGGATAAAAGGCTAAACATGAGAGAAACACTAAATAAATAACTTGAGTAAATAGTAGTTAAGGAGGTACAGCCTAAACAAACCAATGCTCAAGCTTAGCCTACCTATAATTCATAGATACTGTTCACCAGGTGGAAAAGGGAAGAAAATGAATGGAGAAAGCCCAATTCTTTTCCATAGAGGCATAACACAGAAATCGTTTGATGGCAAATAACTATCTCGAGATGTATAATTTGTCGAAATATTTTGCAACTACTTCACAAAGCAAAAAAGTGACGGCTCATACCAGCTTTCTGTTAGGAGGATGGTTAAATCGGCAAGTGGCACCAAATCTACAGAGACCCGTTCTGATATAATAGGAACAATCCGGCTCCCCAGGACGTTCAGGATACGGCCCGGGATCCATTGCTTCACTAGATCTGAAGTTGACTTGCCACATTGAATCTGAAATTCCATCAGAAAGGTTGAAGCTTTCAGGATCCAAAAAAAAAAAAAGTCCACCTTAAATGCAAAGAAACAAAGTTAGCTTTTCCCCTCAACCAGCCTAACACTAAAAACCAGAGAAGTCAGAGAAGAATAATTCATCGTCAAATTCCCCTGCTGGTAAAAAGATCAGCCCTTTAAACCAGAAAAAAGAGGATTACTGACTCAAGCTGCAGCGACGACGAGGAGCAAACTGCAGTCGAGCCCAGGGTGGCAAAAATGGACAGAACAATGGTGTAAAGAGTTAACAACTCTTGCCATTGCCATTGCCATTGCCAACAAAAGACAATATATCAGGGCCTAATAATACAACTTCTTCAGTGGAAGTTCAGTTGTACTGGGAGCACCGTAACTACCATCAATTTTCTATGCAGGGAAACATCAAGACGCAAACAACTGCTCTCATCAAAGCCAATATCTGAGCAACAGCGGGAAATCCAGGAAATGTGGAAAGAAACAAACGAGCACCACCAAAAAGGAAGAATAAGATTCATATCCGCAGAAAAATAAAACAAAGAAGATAAACAGATAAAGAATATTATACTAGAGAATCGGCTTTAGAACAAAAATCAACTCATCGTGAATCACAACGTTGCAATCAGGACATAAGAGGCCAAAACAGCCGATTCCGAGCTTGAAAGCATCAAAAACCCGCCATGAACGAACGAGCATTTGATTCGAGCAGCAAGTTACCAAACAAGCCAGCAAGCATTAAAATACCAATTTTGTTTATAATAATAAGGGGGGAAAATCGGAGAAAGAAGACGAAAAACGTGACCCAAACACCACTCCCTTTTTTTTTTTTTTTAAAGCCTTTTCCGACGTTTTTCGGGCTAAAAGCAGTGATGATCAGAGCTCAGAATTCATCGCAGCAGCGGGGAAAAAAGGAGGGGGCCGGAGGGGCAGAAACGACAATTCCCGGGGGAATTTGGTCATCAGGCAGCGCAACACGTCAGTTGCATTTTTCTCTCCCAAGCAATCAAACAGATACGTACGGTCCGGACGGGAGAGAAGGCATACACTCCTCCGCCGACGGCCATACGACGGAGCTCCGATTGCCATTATTCGAGATTAGAGAGAGAGAGAGGGGGGAGGAAAAAACCTTCGTTCAAGGACGGCGACAGAGAAGTTCCTTCGGCGGTCACAATCGACGACGGAGGAGCAACGACGACAGCTCGGGACATCGGAATTCCGGCGTCAAATTCCATATCGTAGTAGAAGAAGAGAAACCGCAGCGATCTCCTCCCGCCATGAAAAAACGAAAAAATCAGCTGTCGAATCCTCCGAAATTCCCCGCCGGAACCCCCATTCCCCTCCCCCAACGCCTTCGGCTCTCCCTCCCTCACTCAATCAATCAATCCTCGACTGTTAATTGTTCTGCCTCCGACAAACAACAGACAGAAACGCAGAGATTCGGGAGGGAGGGGGGAAGAGAGAGAAAGCAGCAGCACCAGAATTCCGCACAGTGCAACGGAGAGGAAATAAATTAGAGAGAGAGAGATGGAAGAAAGAGGAAAGGGAAAACGGAGGCAGTTTTTTTTTTTTTTGGGTTATTTTATTTATTTTTGTTCTCGCGAGAGAGAAAGAGATGGGAGGGCGTGGCGTTGTGCACTCCGCTCCACAGAAACTCAAGGGGGAAGAACGAAGAAGGGAAAAGGGAATAAAAGCCAACCATCCGAAAGAGAAGAAAAACTACCAGACGGACCAGACACTTTGAGACTGGTCTATCTATCTCTCCCAACTCCCTTCCCTCCACCCACCCCTCATCTCTAACTTCACGCGCTCCCTTCTCTTCGTGTTCCCTACTCGCCTATCCCGTCGTATAGACACGACCAACGCAGTTTTCGGAAGAACGTTGAATAAATTTGAAGCGCGATAGAAAAAATTGTGCCTAGCAATTCAAGATACTACGTCGCGCGATTTCTCACAATAGTTGCGCGCGGGAAGTCGAGTTTCCTGTAACGAGAGACTGGCAATCAATAAGGGGCATTTCTCGTCGTAGTGCTTACAAAGGACGTTTACATGAGCTTCCACGAGCTGATTGTTGCTTGTTGATGACAAAGGGCCATAAAAAAGTACTCGAATTCGATAGCATTGTGTGCACCGACGATCTGATCGATAGCATTGATAGACGAATTGCAAGCGATTTCGCCGATAATCACATCACATTTGGCCGACAAAGGTTTACATATCCATGACATAATTTTACATTTACCTAGTAAACCCATCTACAAAAACTAGAGTATCATAGGTGTGCATTATACAAGAAAATATAGATCAAGATTACAAATCGCTTGGAGTTGTCACAGTGAGACTATTTAGTAAGGAATGAGGAAGTAGAACCGGAGGATGGGAAAATTGCAGGCGAAAAAGATTTCTGATGTTGTATTTGCTCTGCCGAGGGAAAAGAATGGAGGGTTAGCGTGCAGCTATAGAGGTGGGTAGAAATACGACGACAAGGAGAAACCCAGGAAGAGCAAGCCTCCGATCGTGGCAACCGTCTTCTGCGAGATCTTGGAAGCCAGCATGCTCCCTCCTATAACTGCTACTGATGTGCAGATGGTGTGGCCTATTGTTGCGCCAACTGCAACGCCCACTGCGTTCTTGTGCGTGGCCAACTGCACAAGTCCAAAACCAGGATAAGACTTTCGCATCAAAGAAGGAAAAGCATATAAGGGAGATAGAGTTTTCTTTTCATCTTACTGCAATTGTTGCAATCTGGCTACGGTCACCCCATTCTGCAAGGAAGGTCAAAATGAATGCCTGCAAGTGTAGGGAGAGAGGGAAGCCAGCCAGTTGAGACTTGAGACGGTAGTTCAGTCAGATGACTCTATTCGTATCATTGATTTACAACTTCGGCAAGGGCAATTGAAGCATCGTTTAGGAATTGAGGATCTCACGTGACAAAATGCCACAATTATGAAGCGTTAAGTAGCCCAAAAACTGTACCTCCAGAAATATAGGTGTGCAGAATCTAGAAAAGACGCGGCGGACGCCTGTTTTGCCTTGCCCGGATTCAAGCTTTTCTTCTACCTGAATATATCACATCCCATTTTAACCTAAGAACACAGAAACCAATGACCAATGCAGCGCAATATAATGAAATGAAAAGAACGTCATTCTGAGAGTACATAACCAAGTTTCTTTAGATAGAAAGACATGGAACCCAATGCATTACAAAAGCAACAATATCGTAGTCTAATTATATCGCCTATTTTAGTTAAGCTCGAGAATCATACAAGTGACAATTATGTAATACTGGCATACTGCTTGCGCCCTGGGATTAGTGTGCTATTTATGTTGGATAGTTAGAATCAACTAAATTACTATGGTGGTGACCATCATAGAACAAGCCAGGAAACGGATTAGACCATCATAGCTCAGATTCTAACTATTCCTGACCCTTGCAAAACTGTTAGTCACGTCTAAGCATACAAGGACCCAATACTAGAAACAGTAACTCCACATCTAGAATCAACAGCTATCATACACAGATTGTACAGAAGTAATTTGAGCAGGGAAAAATGCAGCTGAGATCAATATTAAAGCAGTAAGGTAATAGAGACCAAGAAAGCATACTTCTTCCATTTCCTTTTTCTGTGATGATTTTGAATCAGACCTCCAGGCAATGTAAAGCAACCGCAGTCCAAAGAATAGATAAAGAACTACACAAGAGAAAAGAAGTGCAGTTAGGTTCACATTGACCAATTTCAAAAGAAACTAATTCATTCACGAGGTAAATCGTTCAGAAAATGAAATTCTTGTACCTGTAGCTGCACTATTGGTATGCTTCCTTGATATCAAGTTTGGCACGATCCTTCCCAGTCCAGTAGAAAGTATCTGATTAGAAGTTGAATTTCAGAACAGCTTTTTTGCTTCAGAGTAATTACAATAACCGAAAGCGAATTTTTCACGTGATGGAACCAACGCATTACAGTGACATGCAAATGCAATACTAGACAGTAGATATCAAGAAATAACAAAATCAAAATGACAGTATGTGGCAAACGAGAGCAGACACCACCAAATAAGGAAACTTACTGTCATAACAAACAATGCAGAAAGAGCCCCAGATAAAACCGTTGACTTTGGGTGGCGCATTGCCATGAGAGCTGCTATGATAAAAGTCTCATCTCCAATCTACAGTCAACAACGTGCCACTTGTCAGACCAACCAATCTAGAGACACAGTTCTAACATTCAGTGTACGTGAAGAAGCATTCAACTCAAATTAATGATTCAAGATAGGCAAATGGGCAACGAAACCAGCAATGAGATTTGCATATAACGGTCTGTTCAGTCCGCTGCCATCGACAAACATGGAAAGAGTAACTTGAATTCAAGTGCACAGACCTCACTAACGAGGATCATCGAGAAGCTAGCAAAGAACGCATCAAAAACTCCAAGACCCGAGTCCAGGGTAACACCCAAGCTGACAGAGTTGATGTCAATGTCATTTCTATCAATCTGCAGCCACAGCACCACCATTCGAACAGTTAAGAACAGGTATCCAACGACTTCCCTCGATCAATTGCAATACTGTAACTAATCCACTACCAATGCCTCTTGGTTTTTCCCTGCTCGTGCCAATGAAACCGTGACTATTACCTTTGAAGAACAGCATGAGCCATTATGGGGAAGGCAACACAGAGAAATAAGCCACTCACCATGCCACGCCGGCCGAGACTGTTGAATGCTGATTCATTCGATTCCTCTTTCCCATTCTCCACAGCAGCGTCCTAATTACAAGCAGAAGGAACAACAAAACGCATCCCTCGAATCAGACAACGTAAAAGCCATAGCAAAATTAAGGGGAAACTATGGGAATTGAGCGACGAACCTGAGCAGAGATACAGGAAAGAACCAATAGCACGAATCCGAAAACAAGGAGAAGCCTAGGGTTTGAGCGAAACCCCATTATTCGAACACAAATTGGCGAGGCCAGTGAGCCTCAACGGATACAAGAAGGTGACGCCAAAGTGTCGGTGGACACAGATCTGGATCAGAGTAATGAGGGATCGGAAAGAGAGATCGGAATGATGGAAGTGATTCCGATCCAAGAAGAAGAGAATCGAGGAAAGAAGCAAAGAAAGAGATCCTGCTAGGAGCAAAGATCCCCCAAAAGAAAGAACGGAAGGAAGAAGGAAAGGAGAAATGGCGCGTCGGGGGAACTTATTGACCAACTTCCCACCGCCGACGGGGGAATTGTGTTCTTCCCTCCCGTTCTTCAGGGCCGAGGCTGCGAGGTAGCAATAGATTTACAGAACCGCCAAATTTCAGGAATCCAATGCCTCTTAAGCCCAGCCCAGCAACGTAAGATAGTTTCTTTGATATTTTGGGCCAAACATTGGGCCCATTCAATATCCCTCCCGCCATTGCGCGGGCCCATAAGATCTCACACTCCTCGTCCTCTAGACCTCTACCATGCTTTCTGCTAGAAAAACAAAGAAAAAGAGAGTTCTTCAAAGTTCAAACCAGAAACCGACTTCCCAAACACAACGGCCAAATCGTTCGAAGTATGTCGCTTCGCGGGTAAAATGAAATGGACTTGCTTGGGAGCCAAACGACTTGAAGCAAATACTTTGCTGGTAAAATCTCGGTATCCCGCTCTACTTACCACATTTCCCCACAAACTTCAACCGCTGCTCCAACTACAGTTTCGCCAGTATCGAAACGACCCGGCAGCCGGTGGAGAATGCGTAGTCGAGACAAGACCGGAGGCCTTACATGCTCGGGCCGTTAAAGGAGGTCCCTTTTGCTGCACTAGTGATTCTTCAATCAACTATCTTTTGAGTCTTTACTCGAAGTCGGCAGATTTCACCAATGCACACAAGCTGTTCGATGAAATTCTCGACAGGGACGTGCGCACTTGGACTATCCTGATCTCGGGTTTCGCTCGAAATGGAGCGCACCAGGATGTTATGGAACAGTTTCGGAGAATGCAACTTGAGGGTGTTACGCCGAATCAATTTACTCTGGCAACCGTTTTGAAGTCCTGCTGTAGCTTGTATGAGCTGAATGCTGGGAAAGGAATTCATGGTTGGATTTTGAGAAATGGGGTTGTCTTCGATGTTGTGCTGGCGAATTCAATTCTTGATCTTTACGTCAAAAGCGGGGCTTTCAGCTACGCGGAAAGGTTATTTGGGGTAATCCCGGGGAAAGATACAGTGTCGTGGAATATTATGATTGGTGCCTATTTGCATCTTGGGGAGGCAAGGAAGTCCCTTGAATTGTTTGATAGTTTGCAGTCCAAGGACGTTGCAAGTTGGAATACCATTGTAGATGGGCTAATAAGGTGTGGATGCGAAAGCATTGCCGCGGAAGTGCTTTATAGGATGGCAGAACATGGACCTGAATTCAATGCTATAACATTCTCTATAGGATTGAACTTGGCTTCCTGTTTATCAGTTTTGCAACTGGGGAAGCAAATTCATGGCAAGGTTCTAAGACATGGGATAGATGACAGTGGCTTCATAACGAGTTCGCTTATAGATATGTATTGCAAATGTGGTGATTTGAGATTGGCTTCCATTACATTCGAACAAATGTGCCACGGTTTCCCCCCAGTAGATGCAATGGCAAGGAGAGTTTCATGGAGCTCGATGGTGTCTGGTTATGTAAAGAAGCGTGTGTACATCTGTGCTTTCCAAACATTTAAGTCCATGTTTGAGAAAAAGGTTGAGGTGGACATTTATACACTCACCAGCATCATTTCTGCCTGTGCTGATACTGGCAATTTGGAGCTGGGGAGACAGATCGATGCACATGTTCAGAAAGTTGGGCATAAAGTGGACGCTCATTTGACTTCATCATTCATCCACATGTACTCCAAATGTGGCTGTCTGAATGATGCTATAAACAAGTTCAATGAAAGCAACGACGATACGAATGTTGTAATCTGGACTTCGATGATATATGGGTTTGGCTTACACGGACGTGGGTTGGAAGCTGTTAGACTCTTCGATCTCATGTTAAAAGACGGTATCATCGCTCCAAATCTTTTTTCATTTCTGGGTGTTTTAAATGCTTGCTGCCATACCGGGTTGTTTGAGCATGGTATCAGATATTTCGAGTCGATGCAAAAAGTTTACTGCTTGCAACCAGGTGTTGAACACTATACTTGCATGGTCGATCTCTATGGCCGAGCAGGTCGCTTCGATGAGGCAAAGAGATTCATCGCTGAAAATGGCATCTCACATCTCTCTGCTGTCTGGAAGTCACTTTTGTCATCTTGCAGGCTCCAGAAAAATTCCGAGACGGGTAAGTGGGCCTGCGAAAGACTACTCGAACTGGAGCCGCTTGATTCAGGTTCTTACGTTCTTTGTTCAAACATGTTCGCTGCCGATGATCATTGGGACGAGGCAGCTGAAGCAAGGAGTTTGATGCTCCAGAGCATAGTTAACAAAGTCCCTGGTCAGTCTTGGATCTAACTGAAAAGATCCACTGCCACGAGAGGTCCATCAAGTACCATGAATGAACAGCTGAAAGGTACGTCCGCTGTGAAAAGCTTTCTGTGGCGTGTGTTATTGCCTGCGCAGACTGCAGGGGGAAGTCTTGTGGGTTCATGATTGGGCCTCCTACTAACTGAAAACGCCATTTAATCCTCCTGATTATTACAGCCGAATGATCCATACATACATATAACATAATGGAAGCTTAAAGATGGAGCTTGCTTGGTTTGAATGGGCAAGAGGGAGGAGATGTGGGTTTTCCAGCTTGGTAGTGGATCAACCTCAACAAACTATACAAACCCACTGTCGATGTCTTCTCTGCATCACTGTAGAGAAGAAATCAAACGTTCTAACGTAAGGAAGCTGGTGGCTTTTTTTATGTTTCGACTGGGTGATTAGTGATTCGCCATCATCACTGATTACAGACCCCATACTGCACGGTCAAAAGGTAAGAGAGATCACTTTCAAATTCAAAGCTATCCTAAGATGCTCTGTTTTTTGTTGTTTTGTATTTTGGTCTATCATTCTTTTGGCCTTGAGAATCAAGGAAATGGAGGTTGGTATGGTCTCCGTTCTCCCACTTACATTACGTCCAACGCACACCAGTTCTAGCTTGGTACTTTGAGTCCAAATTAAGTAAACCTTTTATTTAGATAAGAAAGGACAAGAGATAGACGAAAGAAACAGAGGGAAGACAAATGGTGGAGATGTGTATGAAAGTGGTATTGAAAGAGAGAGAAATAAGGTGCAGAAGGACAAAGAACTGCCCACTACATTTGCTTTCTTTCTTTCTCCTTTTTGGATGTATCTTGACTTGGTATACAAATCAAATGTGCAATCATAGTGACTTAGCTTGATTACAAAGGCTTCCACCATGTCCCCCTCAACCACCCTATATAGCTAGTAGTAGAATATCCTCAATCATCAGTCTGATAAGTTTAGATTAGTAGAAGCTCGATTGTAGACTGATCCTGGCTTCGTCGTCTGTCCGTTTCTGGTTTGGTGCATTCATTTCCATATTTGAACTGTTAGGAGAGAGATATGTATAGCTAAGGTAGAATGAGAATGAGGCCGGACAGAAGAATAGAGAGGCTGGTGCTGCTGCCGTTCACCATGGGATGCGTCTCGGAATCCAGCGTCGCCCTCGCCCACCACCACCACCACACAAGAAGAAGAAGATCAGCATCAGCATCTACTGCTGCTGCCCCAACGGACACCACTCGCTCGAAAAGCAGGAGGAGGAGGGAAATGGATGACGACGAGGAGAGCTTGTCAAGCACCGATAGCAGTGACGACTCCAAGAGCAGTACAAGCTCGTCGTCAACATCTCCCTCCTCCAACATATCCGCTCGCTTCCATCGGATTCTGCGGACTGTCAAGTCCACCTTCGGTCAGTCACTTCTTATGCTTCATTTCAATGTAGCTTGAATCTGTCTAGCAAACATGAACAGTTGATGTCAACGGCGGAGCTTCCTTGTGTAGTGTACAAAGAAGAAGACGATGGAGAGGATGAAATGGAGATTGGGGTGCCGACGGACGTGAAGCATGTCACCCACATTGGCTGGGATGATGACGACATCGTCGGAGCAGCATCAGCTGCAATAACATCGTCGACGATCACCGCTACAACGAATGCAGCAACACGTGTCAATAACCCAACGGAGATTGAGCATCATGATCGTCAGGTCAGCAGCGGCTGCAGGGACAGCAACAATCCGATCACCACCGACGGCCATTACCAACCTCATCAGCAACTTCGTCAGCTGCTGATGTGTCACCATCATCGTCGTCCTCGTCCTTCTTCTTATGAGGATCAGATTTGCATTGATACCCTAGCTGAAGCCGGTCCAGTACTCCCCCGCCGGCAGCTTTCCGTCATCTCCCCTTCCTCCGCCTCCACCTGATTCATCATCATCGCCGCCATATTTGTCTGAACATTTTTCATTCATCATCATTTACCTAATGTAAATATGTAAACAGTTTTGGAAAGAAGAATCTTCAGTCATATTAAATCATATATACAACCATCAATGGTTTTGTTGGTTAGTTTAACAAGTAACCCCTCGCCCAAGGAATTCAAACCAAAGTACACGTGGCGACATCGTAACGGACCGATAGAACATTCCATCGTACGATCTGAAATTGTTTTAACGCCCATTGTTCTGGAATCTTGACAACGACTAATTCAATTCAACCCCACCTAATCCAACTTCTCGTTGATGTCGAACCGAAACGATAAATTAAAAGCAGTTTTCCCCTCCACGTCACTTCCTTCCTTCTCGCCGGTTTCCCTCTTGCTTCTTTTCTTCGTTTTATCCATTTGTTTTTACTTCTCAACAATTTTTTCTCTATAAATCACAATTTTTTTTCTTCCTGGAAACCAATTTCGATTCAGAATCTTCAAACCGAAAAAGAAGAGAAATTTATCGGATTCCGAAAGGTTTTTCGGGGTGGGAATCGGAGTTTCACATCTCCACTCAACCTGCAATTGAGAGGGACAGACAGCACTGCCGGCAGTTGTGTCCGATTCCGGCGCCAACACGACGCAGTTTCACTCCGCCGCTAAAAAAAAAAACCCCTCTTTTTTTTTCTTCTGATCTGGCGTTTGTTTGTCCGTTGTAAATAAAAGAAGAAATAAAACCCCTTTCCTTGAAGGTCTCTGAATTTTCTTGAATCGAAGAAAAACCAGGGAAGAAGAAGAAGAAAGGAGGGAGGGAGGGTGGGTGGAATGGGATTGGTAATTGTTGAAGCGGAAGAGGAGGATGAAATACGAGAAGGTAGACTCGCCGCCGACGGCGGTGTGGGGAGCATTCTGGTCCCGCCGACGAATTTCTCGATGGTCGACGACGGCATTTTCAGATCTGGTCTCCCTGACGCTTCCAATTTCCGTTTCCTTGAAACCCTAAATCTCCGCTCCATCATGTAAGTAGGAATCTTTATCTGTTATTAGCTAAAGGAGCCTGAAAGAATAAAAGATCGGCTCTTTCTGTGGCTAATGGAACGAATTGCTTTGATTGATCATTAAATGGCCTGTTGGGGATTTGTTTGGTTGCTGAGAAAGTTGGGTTTTTTTTTGCTCTTTTCCTTCTCTTCTTCATTGCATTGCCGGCATTAATTAACTTGTTGGGGAATGATTGCTTTGTTTTCGTTTTCCAGATACTTGTGCCCTGAACCGTACCCGCAGGAGAATGTAGAATTTCTTGCAGCCAACAACATCAAGCTATTCCAGTTTGGAATCAACGGGAAGACGGTATATTCATTTCTTTTCCTTTACTCATTGTCCGCCATTGATGATTTCCATTGCTTAATGAATGATACCCTTTTGCTCCATCAATTTCCAGGAGCCTCCTGTCCCTATGCCTGAGGATACCATCATTGAAGCTTTGAAGATCTTAATGGGTACTCTCGTCACTCCTCCAGATCTGTTCCATCCTTCTTCACTGTAAAATTTCCTAACCCTGATATGGTTGGTTGGCTCAGATGTAAGGAACCATCCCATTTTGATTCACTGCAAGCGAGGGAAGGCAAGTGTCTATAAGCTTCTCTGCAGTTAGTCCCCATTGTTTCGATCATGGATAGCCCACTAACACAAAAAGATGCCGTTTTTATCTCTGTTCTGATTGCAGCATCGCACTGGCTGTCTGGTTGGGTGCTTCAGGAAGCTACAGAACTGGTGTTTGTCCTCGGTCAAGGACGAGTACCGACATTATGCAGGCCTGAAGTCGAGGACGAGCGATCTGTGCTTCTTGGAGAGCTTCAATGTGGTGAGCCTAAGGCAATGCCTGTACAGCATCATCTACCAGTACAACGGATACAGCTCCAAGAGGCGTCTGCTATACCGCGAAGAGAGTGTACAGAAACCCCAAATCAAGTCCATGTAAAAAGCTCAAAGCATGGACTTGATTCGGGCTGTCGAGAAACCATACCTCATTTCTTACATTGTACGATTCCTTTTTCTTTCTTCCAATGGATTCCAGGAACCTTGGTTTTAGTTTGGTTCGACTGAGAGCTCCACCGGGTAGTTTTAGTTCTGACAAGAAGCATTTCAAAACTTGTGTTCTGTCTTTCCTCAATCCTTTAATTTGTCCCTGAAACGGTTTGTTGTTCTTGGTTAAGGCACTCCATCACCTCCTGTTGATTCTGATTTTGCCTACTACCCATCTCAGATCGGGTGGCTGGCAGCCTCCTTTTATGGCTTTTCATCTGTCAATTTGTAAAAGAGTCCCTGATGCAGCTCAGAGCAACTACATTTGTACCAGCAGCAACATGTATCCTCAACTTTCCACTGAATAAGATACTATTGTATTGTGTTCATCGTTAATGCACTTTCTAATCCAATTGCAAACGGATCAAAACTACTGACAGCAATAAGAAAACTACTGCAAATAAGACATTCTGCCGAGTCCATGGAGCCTTTGATCACCAATCGTCTCAAATCGAAATACTAACAGGTTAACTGACCATAATGATAATAAACTCTCTGAATCCTTAATTGATTAGGATTATTTGTTGTTGATGCATTTGTTGTGTTAATGATATGTTCTAAAAAATATTAGTTATATTGTTAGTGATTGAGTAGAATGCCAACAAGATGCGTTTGATGATGTGACATGAACAAGAGGCACACTCAACAGTCAACATATATGATTTTTGATACAAAAGAAAATTTGCTGGCCATTTTTGTTAATGTTTTAAAGTGTGGTGATGATTAGGAGAAAATCCAGTGAAAACGGACGATCCGAATCCGACCCATACAAAATTTAACACGGAAAAGAAAAAAGCGGGTAAATTAAAAATCCGGATTCTCGTCTATATAATCCTCGAAAGGAGTGATATTCGTCCCTGTTTCCCCAATCAATCATCGACGAATTCTAGGGTTTTCACTTTTCAGCCTCGTAGGGTTTTCAATCCTCTCCCCCGAAAATCCGCTGCGTGTGCGCGCAATTGAACCATGACAGGGAAGGCGAAGCCGAAGAAGCACACGGCAAAGGAGATCGCAGCGAAGGCGGACGCCGCGCTGACAAACAGAGGCGGAGGCAAAGCCGGGCTCGTTGACAGGACGGGGCAAACCAAAGGAGGCCACGCCAAATTCGAGTGCCCGCACTGCAAAGTCACTGCTCCTGATGTGAAATCGATGCAGATCCATCACGAGGCTCGCCACCCGAAGATCCCCTTCGAGGAAGATAAGATCCAAAATCTGCACGCCACCGCGCCTGCTGCTGCTGTTGCCGATACCTCGGCCGGGAAGCCACGTCCTGGCGTCAGGGGAAGCCTCAAGAAGTGATCTTTTAGAGGTTCCTGTCAGGAAATATGAAAGTCTTGCTACTTTTCGTTAACTTATGGTTTCTGGGTAATCTTCTTGTCTTTCTGTGGTTTGTGGGTTCACTGAATACTATACCCTGTCTGGGTTTATAATCTTACTTTATTATGGTATGATCGATAAGGGTGGGGTTTGTTTCTGTAATCCTTTCACCGGCTTGGCTTGCCATTCGGATTGGTGGAATGTACATGAAGCTCGGTTGTGGTAACTGTGGAGGTGGTTCTTGTGGCATACGCCCTTGGCCAGAATCTGCTTGTTCCACTTAAGATCAAAGTTTGCTTCTTTTTGTTTGGATTGCGATATATGCGCCATTGTTGTGCTGCATCTGGTTGGGAAAATCTGGGTTTTCGCCTTCAATGTGCCTTTTATCCCTTTCTCTTTAGATGGTAACCATTGCATTCAATCAAGATGTTACTTGTCTGTTGAAGTTGTTCATCCATGGCTTGGCGCAAGTTGATCAAACTTCTAAGGCTGTTCTTCGGATTGAATAGTGAATTGGTTTGGCCGGCCTGGTTTAGTTGCAGACTGTGCATTGACACTCATCTGGTGAACCTAACTACAATGTTTCGAATTGATTGTATCCATGTAAGTAGGAGGGTGCAATCTGGTTCTTTTTCCATGCTGCGACTCTGTGCCTGCTGTTTAGGCTACGTCGTGCTGGTACTCGTATATCTGGCAAGATCCTTCACCTCCCAGCGGCCTTTCATGCTCTGGTTCTTAGTCCCCTACCTCTCAATTAGAAGGTGAGGTTTGCTTGTTAATGTGATGGATTGAGTACTTTTTCACAGATTGCACTGCAATGGGTGATACGTCGTGCACCCTAACGACTTTAAGGAGAGTGCTACCTCATGGTTCTGGCGACATTTCGATATAGAAGTTATGTTGCCTTTATAAGTTATAACCTTGAAGGAGAGTTGAGCATTATGCTCAAGAGAGAGGGTGTGGTGCTGGGACTCTGAGGGAGTAATGCTGCAGGAGAATGGCATGTTGGCAAAAGCTCATGGATTGCTTATAATTATGAAACGAACCAAATTACATATTGATAAGAAGAAAAATACTGCTATCTATGCTTCTATCTTCCTTCTTTCTCCTCTCTTTTCCCTATATTCTTCTATAAATTCTTAAACCCTGCCTTTCTACAGGTATCCAAAATAGAAAAACCCAAGTCACAGACAAAAACTCACGGCAATTTTGCTGTGCAAAACAGAACAGAGACTCGTTATAGTCTCTATCCTTTCTTATCTCGCCTTTCTTTACCCTTTCTTTTTTTCCTAATCCTAACCTAGCTTAGATGCAGAGCACATTATCATCTAAGATGGAAAATTTCCCATAATGCGTTGATAGAGCTGGGGCTGAGATGCATTTAATTGATTAACAATGGAGGAGGCTGCGCCGGCATCATAGAAATTATCATCCTTCAGTTCTTGTTTAGGCCTGATCATCTGCTGACCTGGGATAAAAGGCTGAGCAACTTGACCCATACCTGGAGGCACATGATTCGACAAGTCAACGCCACCCAATGTGTGCAGACTCGAGGACAGCGGCAATGGGAACTGTGGAACAAGTGGCCCCATGGAACCCGGGTGATGGATCGGTGTCCGGGTGGAGTTGAAACTGTAGGAGCCGTAAGGGGTGCTGCTCTGCATGGCAGGGAACTTCATTGAATAAATTGGCTCCAGCTTCATCTCACTGACGAAGTTCCCAGAGAAACCACCTCTCAGATAATCACTGCTGTTATTAAACAGCGATCTTCGATCAAAACCAGGCATGAAATCTTGCATCTGCGTTTCAGGTTTCGGGACAGAGGCTCCACCTCTGGGTAGTGTCAAACCAGGCTGTGTGTTGCCAGAAGCTTGGGACAGAGAACTGCCATTTGAGCTTAAACTATTGCTGTTTCTTGCTGCCGGCACTTCGTGATTATGCTTCCCTTCATATGTGGTGATAACGTATTTCAGATTGTGGGAGGCCCTCTCCACATGCTTCCTCACTGAACAACCTAGGCTCGTGCATTTGTAGTAACTCCTGTTGTTGCAGAAGTAAACTGAACTATGTAAATGTGCTGATAGTCAATTAATCAGAGCTCTATGTATATGTTTCGGCTAAAAGCTAAACAAACTTTTTTTGTCATTCCAAGAAGTGGAGCAACATAGTTCAAACATCAATACCTGGGATTTGGATTGCCTTTGACAACTTTTTGACCATACTTCCTCCAGCGATATCCATCATCCAGGATGTCTACCTCGCTCTCTATTTGGACAACAACTCTTGGCTCCCGGACAGCCCTGGATGACACATTTGACTCACCCAGGCAGCTCTCTATCTTTCTGAAACCTCAATATAACAAATATTAAGAAATGATGTACTATGGACAGAGCAGTCATTATGTGACATGGTGCAAACATACGTAATCAACGAAAAATTGCAGAGTACCTCCTTTTGGAATCAGATTCTTCCTCATCAATGTAACTTCCAACTGATATGCTTCCCTGAGTTATCCCATCATCATCATCTTCTTCATGACTGGCAACTGCAGAGGAGAGCTCTGGTGTTTCAACCGATTCAAATGTCACCACAGATTTCCCTTGGTTAGTTGACAAAAGATCAGAAAGCTCTGTCATGGCAGATGCAGAAGATGTCCTCTCCAGGCCATCAGCTGCCCTCCAATCAGTACCGGGTTCATTGTTATCTTTTTTACCTAACTCTGCATTTTTAACAACGAGCGATCCTCTTTCAATCTTAACACAGTTTCTTCCGTTGCCTTCATCAATATCTGGATTGTCATCAGCAGTGGGTGAAGATTCAAGCTGCGCTCCTCGACGGACTTGATTAGGTTTGGGATGGTTATGAGCATTTTTGTAGATTATCTCCGTTATTTGGCCATCAAGTGACCGCTCTATCTTTTTCTTCACCTGACAACTCGGGTTGGTGCACTTGTAGTAGCTTCTTGGGTATTCGCTACCTTTCACCTGCTTCTGTCCATACTTTCTCCAACTGTATCCATCTTCCGAAGTTCTCCCACCTCCTCCTGTCCCGGTGAATGTGCTTTTCTGGTCTTCCACAGGGTGATGGATAACATCACTTCTACCATTTAAAGGTCTCCTTTGTACAGATGATTGGTTTCTAGATGCAACAGAATGACAAATCTGTGCATCAATGAAGTTGGGCAAAACCATACTATTTACTGGTTTAGTATCATTGACCAGGTCCCCTCTACAACTATTTACAGTTGCCTCCTTCGAAAACTCTGCAGGAAATTCAAAATCCATTGGTGCTAAAGCAAGAGCCTGTGAGCCAACATTATATCCCTACAATGAACACAAATAATAATAATAGTCATGACTATGCTTTGGAACTTATGTAGGAAATCATAAATTTTGTATGAAGCCAGTGCTACATTCACAAAGCCACTTCAAAGTCCAAGAAACAAATGGTTCCTAGCCACAGACGTTAAAGTACCAACAGATGCAAAGTTAAGAGCTGCATCCGAGTCACCGCCAACAGGAAGCCAATATTAGATTCATGATGTGATGCTAATTTGGAGCTAAAACAGCTACCGTATATCAACAAGGTAAATAACTTGGCCCACCACACACAAGTATGCAAAAGACAGGAAGGGCAAAGCATATATCCTTGTTCTTCCCTTTTGACACTCCAAGTTCAGATCCAGAGATAATTGCAATGAATTGGAATATAGATTTTGCTAATGACTAAAAGCAGGAAAAACACCTAATGTCGAGGCAATTGAACCATTCGAGTCTCTAGTTAAGAGGAACCTGATTATCCATAGTTGAAAATCTTTGCTGGGAGTCTTGATCTCCATGATGTTTGAGTCTGAAGGAAGATTCAGCACTACCAACTGGGTTCATATCGCCATTGAGTGCCCCATTTTCATAACCGAGAAGGGTTGATGGAAAACTTCCAGTTGTTGGAGAAGGCTGCACCCACAGAAAGAAAGTTGAAAGCAAATGTATCAAGTGTTCTGAGTCCTGTTGTTAGTCGGACTTCCTAATGCTAAGAATTCAATGATGAACCAAACAGCAGAGGGAGGGCAAACAACAAATAAAACCCTCCACACGAAGTCAGCCCCTCGTTTGGTTTGTCACAGCCATCGTCCAATCCAAATTTCACTATGGTATGAGAGCTTCATAAAGCATATCACTCGAGAGAGTGCTTGCTAAGCATCAACGAGTCAGTGAACATTTGAGCATAAAGAAACAAACAATCACATAGCTCTGCGTCCACTCTCCATGCCTCGCTATAATGGCTTCCAAAGGTTGAGAAGCCAAACAATTCAATGAGGCAAAGGCAAAAGCCCTTCTCTTTCCCAGCTTGACAACCACCTCAATACCAGTCACCACTCACCACAGATAATTTGCCCAAATTGACATTTCTTGGATGACAAGTCTGATGAAAAACACTCATCCATTCCTCACAGGTAAAGCTAATTCAGAGAAGAAAAAAGGGAAATGGAAAGTACAATAGTGGGGTTTCAGGGAATCCGATTCAATTCAGGAATAACAGGGGTGGACATAACCAGAATCACAATGGGGGAAAGAAGAAAAAAAACCTCTTACCTGAGAATTTGGGAGCAAAACTGGGGAATCGAGGAGAGCGGTGGGGCTAATTCCGGCGGGAATGGTAATGCAAGGAGAGTGAGCGGCAGAGGAATCCAAAGGACTGGCGGTAGTGCCGAAGCGGGGAGAAGTGATCCTCTCGGCTTTGAAGCCGCAAGTGGCAGCCCTTCTCTCGGCAATGCTTCCTCTGGCGGAGGAACCTGAGGCGGCGGCGGCGGTTGCAGCAGAAGCATTCGCATCGGTGACGGCGGCGGGCGGAGGAAAACCCTGGTGGCGGTCCATGACGGAGACGGGGAGACCGAAATTGGGGAAGAAGCAGAGTTGGGGCGAGTGAAAAGTGAAAAAGGGTTAGGAGGTGGAGCAGAGTGACAATGGAGAAAGAAGGCAAAAGGAAGCAAAGGCGATTTTCCTTGGTTAGATTTCTCTGCAGCTATCGCTTTTGTTTCGCCGTTTCCATCATTTTCTTTGTGGCGACAAAGCTGAAACTGAAACTACCAGAAAGAGAGAACGCCGGAGAACGAATGGCTATTTGGGAACAAGGAAGTTGCAGAGGTTGCATTCACTTGCACTAAATCTGAAAATTCTCCCATACAGCCTTCTACTTATATAACAGGAAAAAAAACATTTTTATGAAAATAATATTAAATTAAAACTTAGAAAATTCATTTTATGTTAATCAATGTGTTTCCAATTATTTTAGTTTTTGGATTTGAAATTCGTCTTAAGATAAGGCCGTTGAACTCTATTAAATCTATTTCCATTTTACAATATCGGTTATAAATAAATTGAAATCTTTAGTTGTTTTGTTGATATACTTGCCTTATATCATAGTCAGACTTGTTTGAATTCACGAACGGCTGAGATGATAAGCACGTGGAGCTCGATTAAATGTAGCTCTATCTCTTGAATTATGTCTGGTGATGTAATTGGCTTTCATTTTGATGGATGCTAAGTTTGAAAGGTTTGGCCATCGTTTGGTGAAGGGTATGAGTCGACCATCTTAAGCAAGCTCACGAGAATCACATTGCGAGTGTGCCCTAACTTCGAAGATAATTGCTTATAAATAGGCCACCGTGCCAAACACTCGGAAATATCATGTAGTTCAGCGTATCTCGGACACAACTTGCTCTTATCAAATTTCAATACGCTTTTCAATCATCATAATCTTCAAGCCTTGTTGCTAATATCAAAGTACATCTCTTGACTATAGCCACCAATAGAGCTCTTCTAGTGATATTGTGTCGCCCTACACATCTTTTCAATCATCATAATCTTCAACAATACCCTGTTGCTGACATCAAATCACATCTCTTGAATGTAGCCACCAATATAGCTCTTTTAGTGATATTGTGTCGCCCTGCACATCTTCGTGAATCGATTGATTGTAGCCTCCACAGTCTTAGATAGGATTCAGCTATTTTTAGCAAATTATGTGGAATTTAGGTGTTCCTACCATACACCACCTTGTAAGGCACTTGTAGCCCCTCCATAGAAAGGATTATCCTCTCACATCACACTAGCCATGACCTTGTACATAATCCTTCAAAACCCTCAAAATGGAAACTGAACCGAGCTCGAGGTTGTGAAAATGCGAAATAAGTAGACTCAGAGAGTCAATCCACACCATCCTTCCAATGAACAATAGTCTCAAAACCAAACCATATACAACAGGTATCTTCGGCTTCTCAATTGATGGACGGTCTCATTTGCTTCTAGTAAATTTCATTATGGGATATATTGGAACAGAGTCCCATCGTGATATTATGAGATTGTGTTTTACTTATAATGTATTGATTGTTACTTTTTGCGAAGATTCTCAACTGCTCATAAAGGGATGCTACATCTAGAAAGTATTCTCGTTATAGAGCCGGAGCCCTTCCAAAGAAGGTTTATTCTTTCTTCTTGTCCTTTCTTTCAATATCATTTCTTTTTGCTCATTAGAAATTTAACAGAGTTTCACGGCCTAACGCCAAAACATGCTCTTTCGTAGGAAGTCTAATTGCATACAAGACTTTTATTCTTCATTATTATTAGTTTGTAAATTTGTTGTCTCACCAATGCCCTAGATTGTTTTTTTAGATGGTTAAAATAAATACATTTTTCATAATACAATACATATGTTTTTTCATACACAACCGTGAATTATTTGCTTGATTTGACTAAACTATCATTCAAATTGAATGATTAAACAATTTCGAATTTTAGCATAGACTGTCGAGATAATTGGTATCGGTGTTTGTCATGTTTATTTTTCTTGAAATGTATGGTACCAGTGTTCTTATGTCGTCATTGAACACTTCATTCAACATTTCAATTCAATGCGCAATATTCAAACCAATGATATTTGTGTTGAGATTTTAAGATTATCCTTCATTTATAAGTTAGAAAAAATTATAAATTAATTATTAAAATATGAAAATAGAAGTATCAAACACCACAAAATACTTACAGGAGACTTTGCAGGCTAACTAACCGTGATAGAAAAGTACTTTGTTTTTCATAATTTTAACTTACTCTATGTTTTTTGTATTAATAAAGTATAACAACTGTGTCTAGTCTAATTTGTTACAATTCTTGTTTTTGGTGGAAGAGACCATGGTTCAAATCCTAGCATTGACTTTTTTTATATGAAATAAAAAATTGATTGTGTAGACAAAAATACTCTTCCTACTTTCACTCTCGTTGCAGGAAATTTGAAATGAAACAAATTAAACTCTTTAAAATGTAGGGTAAATACAATTTAATATCCAAACCTTTCATTTTAAACAATATAATAGCCAAACCTTTTTGAAAACAATCTAATATCCAAATCGTCAACTTTTCGTTCGTTTGACCGTTAGTTGACACTTCAAAAAAGTTCAAAATACGACGTTTCATCAATATCCATCGATATCTTCTCTGAAAAACCATCAACATATCGTGGTTTCAAACCCGAGAAGTCCATGACTCCACCATGATGGTATAGAATATCTGAATATTCAGTCATCTGCAATGCCAAAACAAGAAAACAAAGTTGTATTGTGACAATTTCCCCTAAACAAAGCTTTTTTGAAGTGTCAACCAACGGTCAAACGGACGAAAAGTTGACGATTTGGATATTAGATTGTTTTCGAAAAGGTTTGGCTATTATATTGTTTAAAATGAAAGGTTTGGATATTAAATTGTATTTACCCTAAAATGTATTATAAGCAGTGTCCATTAAACCGTACCGTATCGGCGGTTGAACCACTTAATACCAATATCGGAGGCCAAACCGATATGCGGTATTTACCGGTATAACGGTTGAACTACGGTTAAACCACGGTTTTACCATAAAATATCTTACCGCTAACTTTTCCGGTACGATCTCCGGTACGGTTTCATGGACTTTGATTATAAGTAGTCTAGACTAGATGTTTAGTGGTGGAGCCTTGATTCACAAAATATTTATATAAACAAAACGACGCCACCTATTTGCAAATCCCGCGTTTTCTTTGCAAATAAAGTGCCGTTTCGCGATTGAGAAAAAACGGGCGAGAAAGGTAAGAAAAAAAGGAGAGGAGAGGGGCGTCCGGCGGTCGGGCACAGAATTTGAAAGGGGAAGGTCGTCGAGGAGGCAGAAGGGAGGCTGCTCGGTTTTGTCCTCGCCGTCGCCGCCTCGCAGTCTCCACTGTCCGGCTACCACTGCCGTCTCCATAATTGTCGAGGAGTTCAGCTCTCGCTGCTGACACTGTGGATTTGCAAGGCGGACTGAGGAAGATATCCGAAGGAGATTCGGGGAGATCGAGGTCTTGACCATAATCTCGCCCTCGTTGTTGTTATCTGCCGCTGAAACCTCGTGCTTGCTAATCGCCGTCCACCGTCGTCCCTGAGCTACCTTATCGTGATTTTCCTTGCGGTCTTTAACTGTCAGACCGTCCACTCCCGTTTGGAGTCAGAAGGTGAAGTTGCCGAGCTGCTTCCACGAACAATAACGAAAGAGGGCGTTGCGGAGCTTCAAAACTGGCTGAAGTTGGAGATACTGCCTCTGATTTTGCTCCAGGTTCTCAAGGTTTAGGTGCGTTGCTAGCCTCTGGTTTCGTTGTAGAGCTGTGATAGATTGGTGTAGGAGTTGAATTTGCTTTGGATTGAACGGGAGAAACTGAATTATCTTTAATTTGAAGGCGTTTCTAGCCTCTACACCATTTCAATGTATAATGAAAGCTTTGAATGGATGATAGGCATATGTATGATTACGATCTTTCTGTACCAAATGGGCCTTGTGGTTGCATTTGTATGCGATGAAGTGTTTTGTGCTTTCAGAAGTGTTCAGACTGCAAGTTATTTGGCCACCGGAGAAATACAATACCTCCATCCAAATCCTATGGAATCAGAACTTGTAAATATTTGGATATGCAGCATTTGTCTGGTAGGACTTTGTAGAAACCAACATTGCATTGTCAGATGGTTATGGTCTTCAAAAACTCACTCGCCTGACCAGTGGATATTGCCTATCTATTGGTGGGGATGGTTTGGATAGAAGTTGTTTCTCTGATTGTCATTTTCTCTTGCAATTTTGCAAATCTCATGATTTGGCTTCGACAGCTTGGTACCAACGAGGTTTCCATTTAACACCTAATCCAAACTAGGAGAAAGGCTCGTGACTGAATTTGTGATATGGAATGCTTGTGATAATAGTCAGTTCAAATTGTGTTATAGTTCATGCTAGTGGCTCACATTTTTCAATCTGGGTCGTCGTGTAGCTTATGGTGACAACTTAGGTGGAAAAAGAATGAGGAAGCTTACACAAAGACGAGCAGTTGATTACACAAGTACCGCTGTCCGGTATATGCAGGTAATACCTCGTGTTTCTGTTTCTCCATTGCTGTGCTTGAACCATCTCTATGATCTGTGACGTCAAGTTGTGAGCGATTGTTAAAGACTATTGTAAAAGGCATTATCTGCTCACTTAGCATTTATTGACAGTTTTGTTGATTTTGATTAATAAGATGAAATTTTTCCTTGAGACTTCAGTGTTACTGCTTGATAGACACCATAAGGAATATCATCATTCAAAATTTTTTATTTAATTTTTCTAGCATCAGGTTTGATACTTTCTCTTCTTGCTCAATCCAAAGTTACAGCGTGAATGTATACTTGGGATGGTTTGTATGCCTTGCAGCTCTCTAGTTTATTGTTCATCATTTTACTTGACAGCACTTTTCTTTTTCAGACCCGGATGTGGCAGCGGGATTGCAGAGATAGGACAGGATTGCAATCTACCCCTGCAGCAGCCATTGATGTGAGTTGTTTTGTTTTCTGTGAATTAGGCATGTTTATGTGTTTTAGCTGAATTTCCTCATCTGCTTCCTTGGTTCATTTGACAGATGTTACCTACAGTTGCATATTCTGATAATCCATCAACAAGCTTCACTGCAAAGTTTGTTCATACATCTCTTAACAAGAACCGCTGTTCCATCAATTGCGTTTTGGTAAGTCAATAAGCATAACATACTGGAGCAAGTTAAATCTCTAATATGCTCTGAACTGTAAATTGTTATTACGCTATTATGATAATTTTTTCTTTCAGTTAAACTGTACGTACCGTGTTATAGTAAATTTTCACCATTCCTCAAGATTTTCTTGTCTTTGGTAATTAGATTAACCTATCCAAATATCTGCAACATTCTATTAAGCATAGTAGGCTCCTAATGCAGCATGTAATTTAGAAAGGTCAAAACATTATTTTTGAGCTGAGGGAGCAAGGGGATTGCAGCTTTGTGGTTGATTTTGTGATACCTCAAGATTTCTTACCCTTTTATTCATCCATAGTGGACTCCTAATGGCAGACGTCTCATAACGGGATCTCAAAGTGGGGAGTTTACTCTGTGGAATGGACAATCATTTAACTTTGAAATGATTCTTCAGGTAAATTTTTTGATTCGTTTGAACACTTGGTATTATATTAAGCAATCATTACCAATGGATCCAAGTTGTTCTCTAATGATAAGACTATATGCAAATGTAGGCCCATGACCAAGCAATCAGGTCTATGGTATGGAGTCACAATGACAACTGGATGGTCTCTGGTGATGATGGAGGGGCCATTAAGTAATGTGTTCCTCACTGCCTTTTACATGGGTTAACATTTCTATTTTGGACTTGTGCGAAGAATGGGTAGTAACGAGATGTTGCATTCTATCTTACATTCTATTCGACCTTCCTTAGGTATTGGCAAAGCAATATGAATAATGTAAAGGCTAACAAATCTGCTCATAAGGAATCAGTTCGTGATTTAAGGTGAATAGTTTTTCTTCACAATTATTTTTCTTCGCAACTCCAATTGTTAATTATTGTCCTAACTTCTGAAGTACATTTTTTGGACAGCTTCTGTAGGACTGATTTGAAGTTCTGTTCTTGCTCTGACGATACCACTGTTAAAGTGTGGGACTTTGCAAGTTGCCAAGAAGAGCGATCATTAACAGGTAATGTATTTGCTGTCTTCAGATCTGACATCAATAACTTTGTTACCCTTGTATGTTATAGTTATGAGTCCATATTCATGTTTATATCACTCAAGATGAAAGTTATCAGAGCTTTATGAAGCAATTTAATCTGTTGAGTCTACGTTTTATCATCTGTACGTTCATCTTGGTTTTTACCTCTATTGTGCAATTATGTTTTCCAGATTCTCTTCTGAAAGCGATCTGATCCAATCTACTACGATCCGATCCAATCCTATGTTTTATGTATTATCTTGAAAATAATAGAGTTCTCATCATATACCATTTTGAACTTTTGGCAGGCCATGGTTGGGATGTGAAAAGTGTTGATTGGCACCCCACAAAGTCCTTGCTAGTTTCAGGTTTGATTATGCATGTTTTGCAGACATGAGTTGTCTCGCTTGTCTTATTATTAATTACGTTTTGTCATTTTTTGTCAAGGCGGGAAAGACAATCTTGTAAAGCTTTGGGATGCTAAAAGTGGGAAAGAGCTTAGTTCATTGTGAGTGTCTTGTTCTGGTGATGAATATCCCATGGTTTGTTTTCTGGAGCATATAATTAGCTTGAGAATCCTGTATTTGCAGTCATGGTCACAAAAATACAGTACTTTGTGTGAAGTGGAACCAAAATGGTAACTGGGTGCTAACTGCTGGGAAGGATCAAATTATCAAGGTTCGGTAGTTTTCTCAACAATCCTCTCAAACTGCAGAGCTTGATCGTTAGTATCTGTCTTCTTGCCTTGCTCTGTCATGTTTCCTTACAAAATTCAGCCTGAACTTGCAGCTTTATGATATAAGAGCTATGAAGGAGCTGGAATCCTTCCGTGGACATAGAAAAGATGTGACTGGTTAGTAGAATAATTTTACTTCTGGAAACGATACGTGGGGAAGTTTTGGCCAACCAAGAGAGTAAAATCAGATATGGCGAAAGCTGCAATATCAATCTGTTTGGTTGAGTATGAACACCGATTATGCATGCATGAAAAAAAAACCTCTCAACCAAGTAAAGCAAGAATAGACTTGAAGTTGTACAATTTTGAATTCAACAGTAGCTTCGACTTGCTTAACCAAAAACATATATAGCTGTCATGTAAAAGCTTGACTGTTCTATCTGTGATTTGTTGCTTAGAGAGCATGTTTGGTACATGTGTAATGTACAACGCCTTAGATTCCTATATACCTCATTTTGTTCAAGTTTTGTTGATTTACATTGTTAAAACCTTTATCCCATAATAATGTTTCTTGGCTATGTATGCAATCTCTTTATGTTCTTAGCATTGGCATGGCACCCATTCCATGAAGAGTACTTTGTCAGCGGCAGCTTTGATGGTTCTATGTTCCACTGGCTAGTTGGGTGAGCGTCATGCTTTCTTGGAAATTCATTTAGTGCTATTCACTTCTTTACCTCCATATTTACTACCTATGCATAGTGTCTGAACTACTGCATTCAGTTGCAACATTTTTTTAAAAGATGATTATTAAACTAGCTGGACGAAAGAATAAACTAGACATTGCATGAATATTACTCAGCGACTGTCCTTTCTTCATTTAGTAGCCTGTTCAGAACTCAGCAGTAACAATTTTGTCGTGTGTGCAGACACGAGACTCCCCAGATTGAAGTTCCTACAGCTCATGATAATAGTGTATGGGACCTTGCATGGCATCCTATTGGATATTTGCTTTGCAGGTAAGCTACTGTGTTGGTCATTTCTTTTCATTCAGTTGTTACTGTGATATAAATGTCCATTGAAGCCGCAGCTTGTCAATATTTTCCTGATAGCGTAGATTTTTATCTCTATCCTGATTTCCCAAAATATTGTAATTTGTAGATGCACTTATGGTTCTGGTCAACCGAACCATAATTTGCATCTACAAATGACATGTTGATCCTGTTTAAAAGTCACTAGTTGCGAGGTTCTCCCCATGTGCAGTTACTAATTGTGGGCAATTCTTCTGCAGTGGTAGCAATGATCACACCACGAAGTTCTGGTGCAGAAATAGGCCAGGTGATACTGCAAGGGACAAATTTACCATGAATCAGAATCAAGGTTATACTTTTGCTGACTGGATTATTAAACAACTGGTGTTAAATATCAGGATTAATGATTTTGAAATTTAGCAGATAACTGAGATTGAACATTGCTTTGTGTTTTGTCAGGTTATGGTGATCCTAACCCGAATCTTGGTGGTCGATTCCCTGGCAATTTCCCAGTTCTTGACCAACCTTTGGCTCCAGGAGGACCTTTTGTACCTGGATTGACCCGAAACGAAGGGACCATTCCTGGTGTAGGAGCTGCGATGCCTTTCTCTCTCGATTCCCCACTACACGGGGATCAGACGCAGCCGCTGCCAATATCCATGACTTTAGGAGCTCCTCCTCTTCCTCCAGGCCCTCATCCCTCCCTTCTTAATCCCAACCAGCAGCACCAGCAGCAGAGATATCAACAAAACCCTCAACAACAGCAAATGCCCCCATTACCTATGCCACCACCAAATATGCAGCAGCTACAACCTCCATCCCATCACTCTCTGCTTCCACACCCTCATCTACCTCGCCCCCCGCAAATGCCCCCTCATGGTATGCCGGGATCCCTTCCGACTCCTTCCATGCCTGGGTCACTCCCGCCAATGCCTGGCCAAAGGGTAATCAATCAGTCAGTTACACAGTTTCTTCTTATGCTGACGAGCTTGGTTCTTTTTTGTCTTCTGGACCATAACTTTCTGAATGTCTAATATCAGATGGTTCCACCACCAATGCCACAAGGCCCCTTCATGGGGATGAACCCTATGCACTCGGGATCCATGCCCACGAACGGTAGCCCTCAGGTTGGCGGGTTCCCAAATGGCATGCCGAGTATGCAGGGCCAGTCGAATGCAACTGGAGGCCAAATGTATCCCCAAAGCAGTCCGTTCAATCGACCACAAGGCGGGCAGATGCCGATGATGCCAGGCTACAATCCGTACCAGGTAACTGCAGTTTGGTCCGAATTGGGAACTTGTCTTGCGTTGAACCTTACAAGAGTTCATAGGACCAGTGGGTTAAACGGTTAATCTGATTGCTATTGTGCATTTGCAGTCTGGTAACCAATCGGGTATGCAGCCGCCACTGCCACCAGGTCCGCCGCCACACTCCCAACAATAGCCCTCGTCGTTGTTGCATAACAGGCTTTGGAGCAGGGTGTCAGTTTTGGCGTCGGAGTCGGTATCTGTGTTAGGATTTGCAAGATTTTCCTTTGGCCTTCCTTTCTGCTGTTCTTGATTGTTTGTTCAATCGACTAGTTGTAGTTGTAGAAAGACTCCCAGCTTCATGAGTGCAAATTGCAGGATTAATTTTTTAGAGACGGATCGACTTTTTCGCACAATCTGAGAAACAGATCGCGCGACTGACCGTTTTATTTTGTAGGCGACTAGTCGATAGTCTATTATTCGCGATTACAAGGCCATTCCATTACCACGAAAGATTTCAGGAACTGCGAACGTCTTCAAAGAAAGTGACTGGTTTGTGATTCAGGTAGATTATTTTCCTGTCGATTTATAACAAAAATTGGTTTTTCCATTGATTTTGGCTCAAGGGTTCACAAATCACAATTAGCCCTTGTATGATTCAATCACAAAGGCAAAGAGGTCGAAAATCTAGAGCTATGACAGACACATTTTTTGACACTTAAAAGAACGTTGCAGCAGAAACAGAGCAAACTGAGAGAGAGAGAGATACGGAGCTCGATTTAGACCGACAACTCGGTTCGAGAGACGAGGATACCATCAGTATCAGCATAGATCCAATCACCATCTTCAATCCTCGTCCCAGCGACCCAAATGGACCCAAATTTCTTTTTATTTTTTTGGGTTGGGTTGGGTTTAGATTGGGTCCAGAATTGACCTGTATATTTGGGCCGACCCAAATGGGTCCATTTGGGTATAAGTTAGATTTTGGTTAGTTGAAAGTCATGCTTATTAGATTTTGGTGAACCCGATAATTTATGCAAATCTGTATAATTTTCTTTCGATTAGAGCTAATTGTTAAATACAAAGCGTCCTGCAAACCACAACAATTCATGGCCATCTTCATCGAGATTCCATCTCTAGCCAGCTGAGTGATATATTCCACCATTGCTGCCCTGCATATTTCACACCATAATTGAGCATTCCAAGCCCCAAAAAACAATTTCAATAGGAAAGACAGCTAAGTCTGACAAATCCAATTAAAAGTTGAACAAAAAATTCAACTGCAGATGGAATGGGGGCTTCGAGTGTCAGATCAAGAATTATCAGCATGAGAATTTTATCAGACAGGGATAACTGTAAATATAATTGTCTCATCATCCACAAAACCATAACCATTGCAGCAGTAAGTCGGAAAGTTGATTCATACTCCAAGCCATATTCCAAGCCACATAACTCAATCAAAGGAACCACCTGATTCATACAAACCTAAGGGGATTGCTAAACGTCGCCCTAGATTCTACTTAATCGCCCTAACTTAAAAATCAAAATGACATTTTTATCCCTTTTATTTCTTTGTTCTTCGTACATAACAAACACAATTAAACATATAAAAAAACAAAAAACACTCTCTATAGAAATCAAACTGCTATGTGCTGTCCACGTTACAAGGATCTCTCCTCTGCTCTCCGGAGATCGTCAACCCACACCAAACGAGAAGAAGAAGAAGGAAAGGAAATCATAAGTTCTAATTTAGTTAAGGACTTAAGGATTATTAATTAACAATAGGTTTTTAAGCACATAAAACTATTCAGGGAGCTTGCTTTTTTAGTTCTCGACGGCGGCCCGTCCGGAGGCACATCGGAATGGAAACGCCGGTATTACTACCAGCGGAGTACTCCCTGGTGCCAATAATAAGAAGGTGCGGAAGGTTATGATGGGTGGGTTGGAGATGATCACGGGGAGAGAGTAACAATATTTGTATGGTGCCGTTGTTTTGTAATTTTTATAGGAGGATTCCCTGGTTTCTCACAGCAACGCCGCGGCTGCCGCCAGGATGGTATCTGTCCAGTGCGAGGAGGGCGGCGACGGAATGAGATGGGTGTTCGATCAGAGCAGAGATTACTCCCTCGATAAAGAAGGCGGTTGGATGGATGGTGTCGTGTCGTCGATGAATTGGGGAGAAGAGCGGAGGAGATGGAACGGCTGCAGATTGTAGGTAGGCGGCAGCGGGGAGTATTTGCCGGTGGTCCATCGTATTGGAGGATTAGTGATTTTAGGAATTTTTAATTTATTTTGGTTTGATTAATGAAGGATAATTTAGTAGTTTTACGTTTTAAATTAGGGCGATAATAGTAATAGCAGGGCGACGTTTAGCCATTCAGAAACCTAAACCACAAAAACCGAATGCTTCTTGGCACCGCTTCAATTGTCATGCTCCTCCCCATCTTCATCAAAATCTGCATCTTCCGCGTTCTCATCGTCTATAGTTGCATGACTCAAATCATGAGTAACTTTGGACACACCTATGTCAAAATTGAAACCAATTAGTAACCAATGATATACAATGTTATACCTTTGATAAAAACATAAATCATATACCTTTGACCTCATTTAGTAACCAATTTTGAGAACACATCAACGCCTCGATAGCATTAGCGTCAAGTCGACTACGATGCGGACTCAACAATCTCCCACATGTGCTAAAAGCAGATTCCGAAACAACTGTCGTCACGGGGATGGCTAGAATATCTCTTGCTATCAACCTCAAAGTTGGATACTTGAGCCCTTGATTCTTCCACCGAGCTAATATATCAAACTCATCACTTCTGTGTATCACCCCATCACTCAAATAAGTGTCAAATTCTACTTTCACGTTTGAAACTCTATGATCACCGCTTACAAACCTATCAAATCCAGCAAGAAAATCATCATCCACTTGTTGACTTGACCCAGAAAACATAGTTGTACCACTTGCAAACTCCTCATTAGGTTCTGAACTCTTGTACTGATTAAGCAAATCATAAACAATATCTTTAATCCTTTTCAGATGATGTTCAGCCAAAACACCATAAATTGGTTCAAACGCCCATACCAAAATTTTCATCTTGTATCTAGAATCTAGAATTCCAGCAACTGCCACCATTCCATGAATGATATTCCAATAATCATCAAACTTCTCCAACATTCGTGATGCCATATTTGCAATATATGTATCAGGAAATAACACCCATTGATTCAAAGAAACCTTTATCTCACAAACCTTGGGGAAAAAAATATTGGCAGTTGGATAGGTAGAACCTGAAAACACTTCTGTGATGTTTGTAAAACAACTTTAACTTCTCACAAATCTTTTCTGCCATAATCCACTCATCTTCACTTGTAAAACAACTTTATCTATCATTTTTTTTTTCATCGTTTAATCTCGCCTAGGCAACGATTAATCGGCCTGGGCGCTGGGCGATGCCTCCTCGCCTAGATAGCGCCTAGCGTCTTCTTGAACATTGAACGTGGGGTAGAATTGAGACCTAGCTTAGATTGAAAGAAAGGAGAGTTATAAAGGCTCAGAATCCAACCCATTTGGGGTACTATCTTAGCATTGTCACGGATGGGTTACTGGACTACAAGGCTTTCGCCCACACATGAACCAAAGTTGCATGCTTGAAAAACTGACAGCATTTTATCTGCATATTCCTGCAGACAAAAGTGCAGCAAACAAAGTAACAAACCCCAAAGTAGTAGATGGGGATTGATAATTTCCCGCACAACGTTAACACAAGTTATCACCGTTTGGTAGATCCACATCTCAACGCCGTCGGAGGATCTCGACCCCCAGATAATCTAGAGGTCCATGTACAGCAACATGAGGCTTCGCGACTTTCACCCGCACAGCAGAGATTCGAGGGTAGTTTGTCAGAGTTTTTGTTGCAATCTTTTGAGCCACAGACTCCAGCAGATTCTGCGGTGGTCCTTCAACAACTTCTTTCACAATGCTGTTGCATTATCATCATACAGAGAAAGCACGTTTAGTGGCAGTCAATTGCTAAGGACCATAGTTCAGAGCCCCAGGCCCTTGCCATAGGCATCATTGCTCACACGGTCCACAACACAAGCGAATTAGACTAGGCGCGTGCATGAATGCTTGTAGCAAATTACTATAAGTCATATATGTTAGCAGAATGACAAAAGACTATAGGCGAGAAATTTCTCACCGGTAGATATCAGTGTAGCTGATGGTGTCAGTCAGCTGATCGGAGATTCCAGCTGCTCGGAGGTCCATCCAGGCATCTACATCGATCAGAAACTTCTGCCCCAGTGACCTCTCTTCCTGCTTCACCCCATGAAACCCATGGAACTTCAGACCTCTTAGTATTAGCTTATCTCCTCCTCCTACTATGTCATCACTTTCCATTCTAGATGCATTTGCGAAGCAGAAAGGAGTTTGAATTCATTAGTGGGTACCCAAAAGCAAAGTCCCTCCTTTCAAATACATTCTCAAATACCAACCCAATCTTGTCCAAAATTGCAGAATAGGAACACAAATATTTTCCCTAGTTAACAGTTCAACTTTGGCTATAGTTTCCATCTCAGGAACACCATAAATAGCCTGATGAAATCATTTTGAATGCAGGTTGAAGAGAGCTTATGCTGCTGAGTTCAAAGTCAGTACACCAAGATGGGTTCAAATCATGAGAGATTTTATCTGTAACCAGAGTTTTAGAAGTTACCTTGATCCTCGAGCAGCTTAGTAAGTCTCCCCTTCTCCTCTACAAAAACTTTACTCACTACCTTCCTTTCAGTTCTAAGACCAGCCAATTCCTTCTCCGCTGGAAAACAAGCCCAAAGACACCAAGAGTTCCCTCAGTGGATGACAATTTCAGAAACAGATCATTGAGCTGTTGTTGGGAAAAAAGGACAATGCACAAGTTAATGCAGTGTACAACAGAGTTGCAGTTGGTCCTGTGTACAAGAAACAGATACAGAAGAATACACATAAGCAAGATTTGAAATTGGAAAATAAACCCACCTCGAGTCCTCTCTGCTACTGCTGAATCGAATTCTCACAATTACAAAACCACGTCCACTATATAATTACAGCTACTTCTATCACCCACTGCACACATGACACACATACACAAAGCATGTATTAAGATAACTAGCATACTTCATTTGCAAATAATAGAAACCCAACGTCGATGAACATGAACTTAATTACAAAACCAAATCCAAAAACATGATTTGAAAATGAGAAAAGAAACCCACCAGGCCACCACGAGTTATCTCTGCTAATGTTGAATTTAGTCTTCTATCACCCACTGCACATACGAGCCATGGATTGGATATACCAACTCAATTAATAAAACCCAAGTTGCCAGTTGCTGCTGTTGCTTTTGACCATTAACTGACTATATCCATACAAGTAAAAAATCTATCCACAACTTGCTCTAATAGATAGTTCATCAGATCATCCTAGTTCGTCTAGAATAGGTCAAGTTAAAAGACGAAATAATACATATCCCGACCATCCGTCTTTGTGTTCTTACCTTACATGAGATGCCCCAGCAGGAAACAAAGAAGGTGCAGATCCAAGTAGTAGAACCTGAACCCCCCCTTCAGTTCTAGACCAAGCACCAGTAGTCGACGCCTTTCCAACAGAAGCTTGGATGGATGTTTAAGCTATGCCGCCCCTTCAAACAGGAAGGCTGTCTATGAGCATCCAACATTTGGGTAGCAACAGCATAAATTATTCTGCAACTCAAAACACAAAGGAAGAAAAGAAAATGCAAGAAACTAAATTTCCTCTTCCTACTCGTCGTGGGATTCCTCCACGATGTCAAGAAGAAACAGCTTACCACTTTGTTCTTCTATATCAACTCTCAACAAGCAAGCATTCGAAATTTCAAATACCCCTAATATGGAATTCGAAGGAAAATCACCTTACAATCCAAACAGAACCTAATTCGTAGAACAATAGAGATCTGGGTAAAGATCAGCTATCTACCGGCGATTCTCAAGCGCTGATTTAGCAAAGAAAGCGTCGATCCGGCGAGTTCCAGTCGGTGGATGCTTGTTAGCAACTTCGCGCTTACGACCTGCAGAATCCTCTTTATGCAACTGAGGAGCTGGCGGCGCGGGAAGTGAGTCTAAGAGGAAATCGTTGGTCGGTCGGGGATTGCAGTGGAAGATAAACAAACACCACAGGACAGAGGAAGGAACGGGAAGAGTGTTTATCACCCTCGTTGTTCTTCGAGATGAAATCAGTGGAGCTTTCTGCGATATGGGTTCGTCTAGTGGGACGAGAAAGTCTCCGACTTTGGGGAAATGAATAGGAGGAAACGAAAGGAAGAGTGGAAAAGGAAAGAGCAATCCGTGGCAGAAACAGAGAGGGAAAGGAGTGGGAGGAGAAGAATTGAATTGAAGAAACGTACCAGCAATTTGACGGAGGATTTGGAAGACGAAGGAGGAGGAATTAGGCGCTGGAGGAGACCACGGAATCCTGATGGATTTTATTTGCGCGTCGGAAACAGAATGCTGCCTCTGTTGATCGATTGACAGGGCTGAAGTGATGGAGTTATGTATGTATATACTCTTTTGGCGTATACAGTGGAAGAATAGGAACAGAGAAATGAATGAATGGAGGGGAATCTGATCTGACTTTGGCTGGTTGGGGCTTTTTCACTGATCTGTAACTGTAAACAAAGGTGGCTGCTTTCTTCCTTTTTACAGCCACTTGTTTTCTATAATCTCCATTTCAACACTTTAGCTTGAAAAGATCTGCTTTAACAAGATCATCCCATGAGCCATGAATCATGATGGTGGTAAAAGGGATCAAGAATTGAAAAGAAAATTCATATTAAACCTCTAACATTACAGAGCTTAAGTACCCTTGTGACTTGAACCCTGTAATAGTAAACTAAGCTCCACCATTAGCTCCAAGGGAACCACATCACATGAGCCCTTTTGAGTTATTAAAACTACCAACTTCTAGAGTGCAGAGAAACCCATGTCAACAGAAAAGCCTAACACAAAAACAGCAAAGAATAAAAGTTGGTCTCTCTCAGCATCTCTCTGCATGTGTACAACAACTGAGGTCCTGCTAGATTTATTTGGGATAAAATTGATCTTGCAGATCTGGATCGAAGATGTTGAAAATTAGACCTCCAACTCAGCTAGACATGGCCCCCGAGATCTGTCTAGAGCCTGTGAATTTCCATGTCAGCTACATCCTTGAGTGTTCCCTTCTCAACGTGATCCCACCACTTGAACAAGAAGTTGTCCACCACTAGCCTGAACCATGGCGACAGTTTCAAGCCTCCCTCGCCTGCATCGGCTTTCCTCAACAGCTCTCGCAACTCCTCACGGTTCACGTACTTGACTTCCGCCACCTCATCTGGGTTCGGTTTCATGCTCACATCACGAACAATGAAGAGCAGGTAGTCAACTGCAAAGGAAGCATGCAATCAGGACATGGTAAAGGGTAAACACAAACAACAGGAAAGTAGCGGTAAATCGAATTGAAGATATTTACGTTCATGCTCTCCCCATTTCCCATCAGAAGGGGCCTTGTACAGCATGCGGCCCAGGGGCATGAACTGATCCACAGGCACATCCTCAGCAGGAATACCGAGTTCATCCAGAAGCTTCCTTTGGGCAGCATTCCTCACACCTAAAAAGGAGAAATTGTATAATGAGGTGAACCATGAACACAAAGCTCTTGCTTCCATGCTGATGAAAGTATAGAACACTGAGATTAATAAGTGGGTAGTAAACGTTTACGTACCGAGAGATGCTTCATCAACGAGCTCGGTATCCCGATACAAAGGATGACTGCAGCAAGTGTTTGTCCAAACAAGGGGGAAAGTCACCTTTGTTGCAGATCGTTGCTGCCAAGTTGAAAATAGAAGAAAGACATCACCTTCCATATCGAACAAATGTCCAAGCATGGGTGCTGTATAAACTGAGAGCTCTTTCCCACTTAATAGATTCACCCGTTTATTTACTATGAACAGTGGACTAAAATGGGATTTTAGTAAATCATGCTCGAGATGCATTCTATTGGTTTATGTCATTATTATCTACAGCACCATGCTATGCACAACCAAGTACATCCTCTTCATTTTGAAACTGGCAAGGGGCAGAGGAAACAAAGTGCACACAAGTGAGGTTTCAGGTGCCTTTCCAAGCACAGCCTGAGCCCACTTACTCGCTCGGTCGCTCCACAGTTTATATAGCTTATTCTACCGAGATTTGTTACTATAACTCTATAAGACTGAATTCTCCAAAGGCAACAACTTAATTCAACAGTATCCCCCTTATTGGTGTCACTAATTTCAAACAGATGCATCGAGGATTAACAATCAAACTTCAAGGGCCCAAGCTCATCAATAGCAAACCAATGAACTTAATCACATCCTTATAGATCTCAGCCTACCATGCGGTTTCTCATTCTATATAATGACAAGTGCACTTGTAGTCAATGAAATAATCTGCCATGAGCCACATTTAAGCTTGTCACCAGACCAGCAGTAAAAAGGTAACCGCGAGCTAAATGAGTACTTGAAATTTCTGAAAGTCACAGACAAGACACCATACTTTTAAGCTTCTCAAACCAGCGAGAGCATACCTGAAGAAGCAGTTCATACTTAGAGTTGAAGAGAAACACACTAAAAGCTCTGTGTAGTGCATTGCCCTTCTCGATATTTTCCCACAAATGACCTGCAAATTTGGCAGAAGAGCAACTTATCTCCCACACTTCTGCCAAGGCTTGCAGAATCTAACTATTTCATCACACATAGAAATAGTACATCAATCGAACAACAGATCCAACGCAACCAATCTATATCTACCCGCTTCGATCTTTAATTGGCAAGCCATAAACAAACAAAAACATGGAATTCCAAATACTATGTGCCGGCTTCAGGAAATCATTCTCATCAATTCAACTTCCAAACAGTAAGAACTAACTAAACACTGACTGTTGAAAGGAACGATCTTTCACTTACAGTTATACTTGGAATCATGTCCCACAACCTTATCATCCTCATTCACCAAAATGCACCTGCAAGTAATTAGAAGAAGCCAAAAGGCATCAGAACCAGGTAGAGCAGCACTTCATTAGAAAGCCATACAGGATCCACAGATTACAGAGTTACGTGCAATTGTCTCTCAACCAAAATCGTATGGCGCCAGAAGACTGGCTCAAAACGACCTGGATTGAAGTACAGAATACAGGAGAAAGGACGCAAACTAACAACAAAAGCCACTCGATTGAATCCAATAATAAGAAGGAAATCAAAAAAGGGGAAGCACAAGCAAGCGTGAAATGAATACCAACGCAGTAGTAACGATATATGCATAACCAAAACCAACTAAACTCAAAACGGAAACCAACATCAATACACCTGAAAACCCGACGCAGTGGGCTAAAAGAGGAATATCTAAAGCAAACCCTCAATGAGTTAGTCATCAAAGCTTCGAACTTTGACCACAACAATTCATCCAGAAAAGCTTTTGCCCGGAAAGAAAATTGACACAGAGAGTAAAGGGATTTGTCAGCCGAGAAAGAAAAGGGGAGGAAAACGTACTCGTCTTCAAACATGAGACGCCGCTGGACAGCGTCCATGCCAGCATCGGGCGCGTCACCCATGGCGGCGGTTGCGGCGGCGTGAGAGGCGGAGGTAGAGGAGGAAAGGACCCTTCCGAGGATCGGAGAGCGAGTGGATCGGAAAGAGAGGGACGGAGAAGGGAAGAATCTTGAATTCCGAGGGAAGGAGGAAGAAGAAGAAGAAGAAGAAGAAGAAGAAGAAGAGAAGGGGAGTGAAGAGGAAAGGCGGATGGTGGTGGGTATGTAAAGGAGCCGGCAAGTCGCCACTGGCATAGTTTTTTTTTTTGGTTTGATTTGATTTCTTTTTTGGGGTTTTGGCAAAGCTAATTGATGTCCTTAAAAACAACAATTTCAATTCTATCCTCTCTGAAAATGTTCGTTCAGGAACGTGAAAACTTCTGACGAATAAGTCGGCATCTGCCACGAACCTCCAACCACTGCCATGGATAAACAACTAGTAGATCCAATCCACATATGTTGACTGTTGTGTCAAAAAATACTGTTAGCTGCACTTATAGTCCGAATTTAGTGGCTGTTCATCAGCATATATTTCTGAATTCTGGGCGCTTTCTTTTGTGGAAAATATTTTAGCACGTGTCAATTTCCTCTCTTCATTTGGTAGGCTCTGCAATCTGAGTCGAGTCGAATCAAATCTTGATTCGTTTATTAATTGTTTAACTCGAGTTTGTCAGATCGAGCTCAACTAAATAAATGCTCACGGGCTGAGCTTGTCGAACGGAGCACGAGTTAGTCGGAATAGAGAAGTAGAGAGGAGTTCTACTTGAAATGTTTTTCATTTGGTAATATGAGAACTTTAATGGAAAATATAATAAATAAGTAAATAGTAAATAGTAAAAAGACAAGCTAATTTCTACAATATGGACCGTCAAGCAGCTTGTGAGCTCCAAATGAGTCGATTCACGAGCCGAAACTCAACAAAACACCTTTGTCAAACAAACCTCTGTGAGCATGTCGACATGAACGTAGCCTAATTGAAACTTAATGTGTCAGCTAGAAAGCCATTTTATAAATCAGTGAAGCAATATCATAATGGTTTTCTTATCCGATCGACGTAACATTAGAGCCGCTTGGTTCATGATAACGAGGTTGCAGAGGTGCAAAGGCCAACTCAAGTTGAGCTGTGCAACGATTTGGTTCGTACTGAATTGCATCATATACTAAAACGAAGATTGGATCATACCATATCGAACCGAATATAAAATGGTCTCATCATTGGTCTCATAAAGTTTATAAATACCGAAAAAAATGACCGTAACATTGTACTGGATCAAATCGGATTGAATGCAATATTGATATGGTCCTTAATCTTGTTAGTCACCTTTGAACCTCGGTTCTCATGGGTTTGGTCTGGTCCTAACCGTGCTCAGCCCAAATGGTGCAGCTCGTGCATTCGCGGGTAGTCAGGCCCACGGTTTTCCTAGCCCAAGTTATTATGCACCTTAAGTGGGCAGCCCATAGTTTCTCTCCCCTTCGCGCCGGCGGTTAAGCTTGGTTGACAATTGGCAGTTCCAGCCTAAAGCCGTCCATCGGAGTTGCTTGTCGAAGTTCGCTGGAGGAACTCGAATTTGCCTTGCCTTTCTTCACATTCAAGGACGAGAGCCGCAAGATGGCGAGAGAGACCAGCCCTGGCCTCAAAATCCTCTGGATATGGACCATCGGCACTGCAGCAGGTACTTCCGCCGACTTCTCACTTTCCCTTTCTGCCCTATTTCTCTGATTTCTGTCACGAAATGCTCCAGCTTTAGTTTTGATCAATCCATGGAGTTTTGTTGCAGTGCTGGTCACTAGTGTGGTGAGGACGAGGATGAGAGACATGGAGCAGTTCATGAATGCCGAGCAACAACAACCTCATCTGAATCAGCAACAAGAGCCGCAGGAGGCCAGCTCCGGCGAGTCGATCGTTCTGGACGACTCGCCGCCACCGAATCCGAGTGACGGAATCGTTGAAGAAATCAAGTCATTATAGGTTCTTAGTTTGGTTCTTCTCTGTCTTGGGATTCTACTCTTCAATGGGTTTTTGTTCCCGCAGTTTGCTACTGAAGGCATGCCTTCTACCTGTTTGTTAAATTTCCTGAAAGAACATCCACGCTGTCTGAAACGATGGTTTGTCGTGTTGTGTTCTTTTTATGGCCGACGGAGGTTGTAAGTTCTGATTGTGGAGACGCAAAACCATGGCCTCGTTGCAGATTCCTGAGCCATCGATCCCTATTTGAATATGCTTTGCTTCACAAGAAAACACAGCTGACATTTGTATTAATCTTTGGCCATGGAACAACTTTTCAGTTTGCTGGCTTGCCTTGTTACTATTACCCATTCGGCTGTGTTCTTAGCATCGTAGAAACCCAGAATCTTATATTCCCACACCTGAACAATCCATCGGTAGGTTCAACAGTTTTCAAATTATGGTCATCTTTGCTTATTCTGACACGTATTTTGGGTTCCACTGATTGACTTCAATTGCTCCTCCTTCGTTTTTTTCTGCTTGGGGGCTGTATTGCTTTCATGGATGTAGCCAGTGCATAAGACAAAGTGCCGACGAATGCTCCAAAGCAATTTCAAGGCTTTTTCTGGACGTATTATGACTCGTTATCATTTCAAGTGACGAGATTAGGCGTTTGACTGTACTGTGCATTGACAAAGTCGTCAGCTTGATATTGTTTTAGGGACATGGCCTCCTGATTTTTATTGTTCCCGGCAAAAACGGTTCTAGTCGTCATCTAACTGTCTGAATAATTGTTCATGTTTCTCCAGTTTTTGACTTTGATCGATGGATCTCGAACTATATCAAGCTGTGATCCAGGGAAATGACAAGTTTCTCGAGGATCTCAGCAACGCGGGCTCGTGTGATGTGTTGCAGGTTACCTCTGGTCACAAGAACACTATCCTCCACGTTGCAGCAAAGTGTGGCGGGATACAGACAGCAGAGAAGATCATTGGTTTATTCCCAGGCCTTCTTCACCAGACGAATTCCAAAGGTGACTCACCGTTACATGTTGCAGCGAGGTTAGGCCGCCTTGAAATGATTCAGCTGCTGGTGAACTGTGCTAAACTTGTGGAAATTGAAGTGGGGAAGGAGCTGCTACGGATGGAGAATGTGGACAAGGACACGGCTCTCCATGTAGCTGTGCGGAATGGGCACTTTGAGGTTGTGAGTTTGTTAATTAGTGAAGATCCCGAGTTGACTCTAATGCTGAATGCTGCTGCCGAGTCTTCTCTTTTTCTGGCTGTGGATCGCAAGTTCTACGCAATTGCTCAGCGTATTCTTGAAACTGTTCCTTCGTGTTGCTATGGAGGAAGGGATGACATGAATGTTCTACATGCAGCTATTATAAGAGCCGATCGGAGTAAGTAAGCCCCTGTTAGTTTCTTAATCCCTGGTTTACTATAATATATAAACTCTTCTGAAAACTCTCAATCTCATTCTAGTTTTCCTTATGCTACTGCTGGGTTCTTAGCCTTGAAATGATATTCATGATTTTTTCTGAATATTGCCTAACCCTTCTTGTCATTGATCTGGCTGGTAGGGTTTCTGCTCATGGATGCAGTGGCCAACATCATGACTTTCTGTTCTGTAGCTTTAATCATGTTCATTAACATACTCCTTCCCTCCGCTTTCAAACTTAGTTACTTCAATTTTAGACGATCTTGCAGCTTCGCTTACATTGGAGCAGGTAGATACATCTAACCTATGCCCTGTTCCAGAGTCTAGATTGCTGCTCGAGCATATTATCGCTAGCCTGAGATCTGTGGGTTGTTTGTCTCTTTTTTGCTTGATTCAGATTTCTTGCAAGAGCTGCTGAAAAGAAACCCTTCCCTGTCCAGCGAAGCAGATAAACGAGGATGGATCCCACTTCATTATGCTGCCTATTCGGGCAATGCGGAAGTCGTTCAACTCTTACTTCAAACAGACGCCTCACTTGCTTACGTGAAGGACAAGCATGGGATGTCCGCTCTCCATCTCTCAGCTCAATCAGGCCATGTGGAAGTGGCGCAGAAGATCACTGCATTATGCCCTGACACCTCCGAATTGCTCGACAATCGGTGTCGAACTGCTCTACACGTCGCAGCAGAGAGTGGGAGAAGGAACGTAGTCAAGTTTCTCCTGAAGGAGCAGTGTTTCTGCGATCTCATGAATGAACAGGATGAAGCTGGAGACACACCTCTGCACATCGCAGCAGCTCAACAACATGCCGAAGTTCACTTGCTTCTGGCCAGCGACCCTAGAGTGGACAGAGCCGGACTGACCGCCTCCGACATGGCTCCCCTGCCGCTGGCTAGCATTGCAGAATCCGAAGAAAGCATCAAACACAATGATGTTGGACTGTATTCGATCTCGAGGCTAAGTGGAAGTGTCAACCTCGTCGTGGCAACAGCGATTGCAGCCGTAACGTTTGCAGCAATCTTCACCATCATGATGATGGGAGGCACGAGAATGCTGAGAAGGAAGCCGGGTTTCCAACTGTACGTGATGGCCAACTCCCTGGCGTTTGGTCTGTCGACTGCGTCGATGTTTGTCTACATAGTGGGGTTGTTGGGAGCTGGACGGAGGAGGGATTGCGCAGCCGTGGCAGTGAAGTTGTCGAACTACGCGGAGTTGTTCGGCGAATGGTCGGTTTACGGGATGGTGGTGGCGTTTGCTGCGGGGACGGCGGTGGTGTGTGGCGGTGAAGAGCTGGCGGTGTTCGCCGTTGCTTCTGTAGCAACTGGGTGTTGTTGTTTCCTTTTGGGGCCTTTGGTTTATGGTTTAACCTTTCACGGCGGTGTGTGATCGACTTGGAAGTAGAAGTAGAAGAAGGGTTTCAGATTCATGTGTGTAAGTTGTGTATCTTTAATAAATCTACGAAATTTAACAGAAATTATGTGTTCCAGTCTTGGTAATTTTCAGTGCAATGTTTGTCTAAAACATATAAAATATAATGGACCTTCCAAACTTCAAGTAATGTACAGTGATCAAACATTTTGTTCCAGACATATGCATGGAAAGTACTATGATATTTATTTTCGAGAATCTCGTAATATCTTGAATTTTTAAAACAAACTTATTCTAGACTGAAAGGGGCGATTAAGAGATTTTGTTAGAGCATCTCCTTCAATGCAATTGCAAAAGAAATTGCATTTGTGTTTTTTATTGTCAACTCAAATTTTTTGCAATCCACATCATATTCATTTCATTCACTTACATCAATGCAATTAACTTGCAATTGCAAATGTAACTAAATATTATATTTAAATTATAGAAAATTAAGTAAAAGAGAAAATAAAATAATATAAAATAAAAATCCCCATTTTTTTAGGCTTTTTTGACTTGCATATGGAATTGCATTTGTTGCAAGCTTGCAAATATGCAATTGTTAGCCACATCAATGCAATTGGTTTTGGAATTGCAAACACCTATGCCATGTCATTTTGCAATTGAGAATGTAATTCCAATGTGGATGCTCTTAGGTTAAACACAACCACCTAAAATTAAGAAATAATTAGATGTACTATCTTAACCAAAAAAATATTTGTCAAATACATGAATTTCACTCATCCATTTTATAAATTATTATCGAAATTCATTCCCTTGATTGTTGGCCTCGATATTTGAATATAGAGTGTGGTGGAGCATCAAGTAGTAAAATGAAATTCTCTTTTTTTTTCATTAATTTAATTGACTTGCTCAATATAAATTGTACCATCAATCAAGTAGTAAAATGAACTTCTAGTTTTCATTAATTTAATTGATTGCCTCAATATAAATTGTACCATCAACCAATTGAATTGAAGATGGTTCTTGTACATTTCAATTTGCTAGAATCCATGGAAATATATATAGCAATTCTTCTAGATAGCTAGATTCTTTACAATTTTATAAATGACAAGTCTTCATTCTTCTTCTTGATTCTTCTTCTTGCCTTCCCTCTCTTTCTTTGTGACCAAAGGTTGGGCTTGAATGGCATATCCAATAATGTATACACAAGAAATTTAGGGTTTACCAATATATTTTCCTTATGAAACTATATATGTGAATAATACTCGTACTTTTTTTTAATCTATAATTAGATCGATTTCCCGTCAAGAAACCGAGTATAGAAATCCAAAGACTCCTGCGGCTTGTACTCCGGAACCGTATGCCCCGCCCCCTGCATCAAAATTAAACCACAATAACATCAATTAGTACATAATTACCACACACACATAAAAAAAAAGGGCTTGGTGATTCTTGGCAATTTCATATATCCTTGGTATGTTTTGCATACCTTGATTGTGAGAAAAGTGAGGTTGTGCTCATACCCTTGCAGATACCTGAAAATCACATACCCACAAAATTGGAAAGTAAAAAAAAAAATCAAAACCCAATGAAGCAATACAATTAATGTAATTAGTAAAGTAATCCACTCATCCAATCATATTCCTATACCCGGCAACTTGGTGGTCGTCGCCGGAGATCCACGGCCTCCACTCGTCGGTGATCTTGTAACCCATCGAGCTCGTCCAGGCCTCCGTTCCGGTGTACGGAACACACATATCGTGGTCGCCGCTGTAGATGAGAGCTCGGTAACCCTGGGTGGTTAGGTTTCTGTGGATCGGAATCATATTACCCGAACCGAACCCGTAGTCGATCCGGTCCGAGCAGAGCTCCCACGCGCCCGCTGTGGACACCTGTCGTAATTAATTGCTGATTAGCCTATGATGATTAAGTAATTAGGACAATTACGAAATTTAATTACTACTTACTGGGGCAGCATGGAGAGCCTTCCTCACTGATTCGTCATTCAGCCACGCTGTCGCCACCACATCATTCTGCATCAGCAAATTAATTAATTAATTATTGTTAAGCCAAAATTTGAGTTGAAATTAATTACAAATAGGATTTAAGGAGGGTGGAGAGAGAGAGAGAGAGAATGAAACGACGTCGTACGACACAGATAACCCCGCCAGCTTTGCGTGCTAGTTGGGGCCACAAGAACTGCTTGTTATTAGTAGCGTTGGGCCGGAAGTTATCGAAGTGCTGGGCCCAGAGAGGCCAGGCCCGACCGAACATCCGCTTCCTGACCGGGAGGGACTTCTCGGTCCGGCCCAATTCCTGGAAGCTGGGCGGCAGCTTGGTCTGCCTCTCCTGCTGCCCTTCTGGGTCGTGGTAGCATGGCTCCAGTATGTCGTAAATATTCAGATCATTCACAGCCTTCATCAATAAAAACGGAAATTAATTCAAACCATTAGAATGATCAATGTTGTAACACTAATTGCTTAATAATTACTTAAGTAAATCACTGACCGCATCCATTTTGTCAATACTGTCGTAGCATTTCTGACTGTTACCGCTGAAATTGGCATTACAGGCACCCGCTGCTTCCTGTGTATTTGAGAAGAAGGCGCGAGCAAGTCAGCATAGAGTTCACGAAACTCGCTGATCCCATCACGTTAAAGTTACAGTAACGTTGAGGTATCGTATTGCCAAAATTAGTATAAGTAAAAGGGTGTGTTGGTGTGTCACCTCAAACATGTGGTTGGAGATGAGGGCCATCCCATGCACAAAATGGACAAAAGCACTAAGTCCACCTCCATTGTTAACCACTCCATTCCCAATAAGGTAACCCTAGTTCACCGTCATTATCACGTACGTTAATCACATTCAATTTATTCTCTAAAAAATGATTAGATCCAATCATCATACCCTAATAACTGGATTGGGGAAACAAAGTAAGGTGATAAGATTCTCTCTAGGAACTATGATTAGTAGTAATGATGATAAGGCGACAGTAGGTACCTTGAAGTTGATGGCTGGCTTGTCCCCTGATTTTATCCCTACATACGATCAGGAAGCAATAAGCAATTAGATCAATAATTGGCTTGAATTAATTGTTAGCTTTCATCATATTTGTCTGAATTACTTTAATTATGAGACAAAGCTGATATGCTTAGCTAGCAGGTGATGAATGATGATGATTGGATAACACATGTACACATGTTCTCTACTAATTGAGTTCCTTTACCTTTGACCACTTCAGCGGCCAGAGTTGGAACGTAAACTCCTGCGTAAGACTCTCCAGAGATGTAAAATGGGTTGCGCTGGAACTCCGGATACAACTCAAACCACTGCAAAACACATTGCCACTCGGGTGATAAGTTCAACCTTTCAACCATCTCAGACCTTAATATCATGTATGCAATAGTTGAGTATTAGCTACCTTGAGAAGGAAACGGTGGGTATCGAGAGCGGTCTTGTGATCGTTAGTTACGTAGTTCGAGTCGTTGGGAGAGTACGAGAGGCCGACCCCGCAAGGAGAGTCCAAATAGATGATGTTGGAGACCTGCAACGTAACAACGCGCACGCAGATCACGTCATTGTTCCTTGTAGAGACTCATAAGTTTTCTAAGACATGTTGTGTTTTGTGTGTACCTTGGACCAGCTGTATGGATTGAGATGCATCTTTGGAAGGCTTCCCTTGGGTCCTTCCTCAAAGTTGAATGGCCCTACAAGAGATTATTAATTTTTCAATTTTCGTAAATTAAATAGTCGAAATTGTGATTAGAATAAAAGGGTATTATATGTCTCTCTCTTTAAAAAAAAAGAGTTAAAAAGAGTAGAAATGGTGACATCTACAACCTTTTCCTTCTTGGCGGGAACAAAGCAGTTCATAAAAAGGGTGTAAAAGTTGGAAGATGCCACTATTTAGGGTTCCCCGCCACAAATTGGAAATGGAAAACCAATATTACATAAAATAAAAACATAGGATAGTCCAAATTTGCTGAAAACGATCCCATTCCCATTGGGCCATGACAACAAAGAACAACCCAATAACGCCAAAATTCCGCTGCCGGCCGGCCCGCTACTCATGATAACTAAGCCCATTCCCCTGCCGGCGCCGAATCCGCCGGCCGCCCTTTTACCCTCCTAGATTTTTCACTCAAAATAATATTTTTTTCCCCCAACAATGTGTAAAAAATTCAGAAGCAGTTAATTAATTAGGAATGAAAAAAAAAAACTCACCGTGTTCGTAAACGAAACCGTCGAAGCTGGAGCACCCGGGCCCGCCGTTGAGCCACAAAACGACGGGATCCTCCGCCGTATTCCTCTCCGACGCGATGAAGTAGTAGAACAGATGCTTCTCCTTCTCTATTCCCACGTAACCCGAGTAGTGCTTCGACGGGAAACTCCCGTTGAAACCGGGCAGGTACGTCACCAGTGACTCCGCCGGCGCCGCTTCACTCAACCCGCAACCGCTCAACGTCACCACCGTCATCATCAAAACCACCGCCGCCGCTGCGCCGCCGCTCGTTGACTTAGCCATCGAATTCTCTCTTAACGAAACTTGCTGTTGTTTTTGCAGTTATGTCTTTTTTTTGCGTGGGATACTGTGCGGTCGTGTCTAGCCACTTAATTTATAGGTCGGGGATAAGAGAAGGGGAGGGACTAGGGAGGTTTTTTTTTCGGTACACGTGGCAGGCAGGGTGCGTCCAGTCAGCATCAATGATTGGTCTAATTCTACGATCAAACCTTAATTACATATTAATATTAATGTTGTTGTTATTGTTATCGTTGACGAGGGAATTGAGGTCACAGACAAAAAAAAGGCAGCAGGCTGGGTGGGTCCAGGAAGGGAAGAGATGTTTGTTTCCATTGCCGATTAGCGGAGAGGGAAGGGAATAGATTCGTCGCCCGCCAACAGAAAGGTCCAAGCTTCCAGCCAATTGCGTCGAGGAGGAAAAAGACGGTGAGAAAAGGGTGAGTGGGGGCAGTGGCGGAGCCAGCATTTCAAACCACCTCTGTCCTTTTTGCATAATTTAAATATATAAATATCTAATAAAAGAAATATTTAATAAAAAATAATCATATCCAAATAATTCATTCATAAATTAAAAATAACCAATTATACTATCATACTTTTCAGAAACAACTACGAAGGAATTTCATATAGTGAAAGAAGCGCAAAAACATTCGTTGTCTACACTATTATATAAGTTTCTTTCAATGTATCTTACTAAACAAATATTAGCAAACTGGTCGCCAAATCGACTTAGAAACTTGTTCTTAATATAACTCAAAGCTGAAAATGCTCTTTTTACACTTGCAGTTGTAATTGGTAGATCAAAACTAGTGAGATTGCCGTTGTCGCTAGACAATTTCATGGTTGTTGGGGACAGATCGAATAGACATAAGGAGAAAAGAGACCCGATTAGTTCTTTATTGCAATTGGAATTTCGTTTTATTATATAATAAATTAATTTTATGTCAATTTCGGACAAGTAATGAATTGTGTTGTAGTGACAAAGTACTCTAATACTACCTATACGTGCTATGTTCCATCACCAATATAAATATATATGGCGTATTTTTGCTCCACCGAAATTTACCCCTGTCCCGGGACAAGGCCAAAAGGCGCTGCCTCCGCCACTGAGTGGGGGTGTCGAATGGTGATGTGAGTTGGGTCGGAGAAGACGAAGGAGCCGTCGGCCGTCGATTCCTACGGTTTGCTGGCTCACAAGGCGGATTTCAACAATTTGAGCATATACTATGGTTACAACTTACAAGGGGAAACAAACATTTGTTTGTGTGGTAAAATGACGTCGCGCGCGGCAATGTTGTGTGTTTTGAATTTGATGTTACGACGGTTGTTTTGATCAAGAGTTTTGATGCGGTATTTTTTAATTTGGAGTTTTGAATTCGGACGATATCAGGATCACGCGAGGTGGTATGTTTATTGAATTTCGGTCGTGGATCTGACACCTGAATTCCACGCACGGAGAGTTTGAAACAAATTTATTAATTGTTTGTTGATTTAACAAGACAGGTGTGATATTCGGGAGATTCGTTTTATTCCCTCCGTTGTAGCAGCGCTTTGAAGCCTGGAGGTGAAAAAGGTGAGTTCATTTCAAATTCGTAATTAGTTAACTCTGTCGCCCCTTCGATGGCATCTGATAAAATTGGAAAGAAACAATACACTAGTGAAGTCATCTAACAAAATCAAAGAAAAGTAACTCTAAATGAGACTGATTAGTTGAATTTCATGAGATATTTTTCGAATTGATGATATGTGCTCGTTGTGTGGGTTTGACAAGTACCAGCAGTTCGTTTTTTCACTATCTGACATTGAAAATGAGAATCATACCTTATCGTCGTACTCTCCATATCGTCTATGTTTAAAGGTTGAATGATGAACCGACATCACCCTTCCTTAGTTTTGAGTTTATTAAGGTACAATACAACCACATTGAACTCCAACTTTCTTTTCAAATCTGCCACAAAATCCTCAATGGTCCCTTTCCTACTCTATTTTCCTTGGATTATAGATGGACTAGAAATTAAAAAAACGTGATGTTGTTATATTGATTGATGATGGATGGATGGACATTTTGTTACAAAACAACAAATTTTAACCACTTGGTTTGTTACGTTTTAAAATTTAGTCACCAGTTGTAACTTCACCATCACCACATTCGTCGTACTAGTCTCTATTTCATAAACAGTCCTAAAAAAGAAATTGCCAATTGGGCCAGCAATGGGCCCTGCGCCTATCCGAAACCCCAAGGCCCAAACAAACCAAAACCACACGAAAATCGTAGGGAACAGAAAATTTGAAAATCTCATCCCTCCCCTCTAATTTCCGATTTTTTCTTTCTTTTTTCTGAAAACACACCACCACCACACATGGTTTCAGAACTCACAATGGAAAGAGATGACTACTGCTGTCGCCGCCGCACCCGTCTTCTCTCCCGCCGTCGCCATTCACCACCATCGCCGCCGTACGAGCACCACCATCCTCACTTCCCTCCCAGCCTTCCCCTCTTCCCGCGCCATCTCCCGGCGTAGCTTGAAAGGTAACCTATCATCCTTCCCTTTTCCTTCCCACGATCTCTCTTCGATCAAGTCACTCGAATTCACTATGCCTGCAAAATCGCAGTCAGGAATGGCGATTCCTCTTCGGAAACTGGCGCCGGCGGAGAAGGGAGGTCGGAGGCGGACAAGATCGTGGACGGGATGGAATTCGGGGAGCTGTGCAACGAGTTTGAGTGTATAAGCAGTCCTCAGGTGGAATCCACGGCCAGGCAGCTCGCCCGTGACATTTTTCAGCTTCGTCAGGGAAACCGTGCCCTTGGAACTTTCGCCGCCTCGGTTACATACAAGGTAAAGTTCAATCAATCAATCAATCCCTAAAGCAATCTCGAATTCCCATTTCCCGCCAACTTGTTTCTTTACCAATTTGGGGGGTGTCTTAGTGGATTTCAGGATCCAGTCAGAAGTTTTACTGGTCGAGACAAGTACAAAAGGCCTCTCTGGTTCACTGATGCCCTCCAAAACCCTACCCCGGTGAGTGTTTGTTCACAGATTGTAGCGAATATAAGGAGCCACTTAACACGAATTTCGTGCTAGTCTGATACTGCGGTGCCAAACTAGCTCATCTTGATGATTTGATTAGTGGTAGTTCCCCCGACTCTTAACGGTTGTCCATGTATTAAGTCGTTTATGCATGTATAGCTCGCGGTTAAACGAGTGTTTCGTCGGAGTTAGTTGAAGGTATCGGACCGATTGTTGTGTACTAAGTATGTCGTAGATAACTCGCAAATCATGTGCATAGAAATTTTTGTGTTTTACCCTTCTATAAGATTCTGAAATCCCACATCTCCTCTTGGTTTTGTGATGGATTGATCATATGGGGCTTATCGAGATTAATTGATGGGGCTGGATAAGAGACAAATATTCAGCATATCTGATATGCTACATAGGATGTGTTTACTAAGAGTGGTCGACCTGAATATTGAACTGAAGTTCTGCACTTGCACCATCCTCTCTCTCTCAGTGTTTCTCTCCCTTCCCTGTAATTTCATTGATGTGGCTGCTGCTTTTGGATATACAGAGCGTGCAAGAAATGGTGATGCTTTCGACCAGCTTGCTGAGGATCCGATGGACAGTGAGAGGGAAGCCGAAATCCTTCCTCGGTGCTTTGCTAGCCGGAGAGCTGATAATCAAAGTCAACTCCGAGTTCACTCTGAACCAGATCAGTGGCCAGGTAATCCAGCACCAAGAGTCCTGGGACCTATCAGCTTCATCACCTCCTGGACAGGCATTCTTCTGGGCGTCTCGACGCCTTTTTGCCACCGTCGAAGCAGGGAAAGACTTGGGTGTGCTCTTCAAAGATCTGAGCAGTCGCATTTCAATCCAGAAGGACAGCTCCGACGACATCTATCCCGACCCCTCTGGCGATCCCACGAAAGTAATACATCTCCCAATTCTCTTCCATTTCACCAGTCTGGCTCTATTTGCGTTTTAACCATCTGACTGTTTATTTTCATTGGCTTGTTATTGCTGTTTTCTGCAGTTCTTTCAGACGGATGACAGCTTTCAACGAGACGCATACCAGATCGCTCTGTTTCTAGCCGTGGTCTACCTCGTTTTCCAGTTCCTGAAGATAACTTTGTAGATTGTAGTCCTATGTATAAAGCATATATTGATACTCTTGCTCCCCTATCCCCTGTGCACAATACTTTCTGGTGATGAACGGCATGGTTTTGCATTGCAAAACACTGACCAAAGTATAATACATAATCTTTTCAATTTTTACATTTCAAACCTCGACCTTAAGACATAGGATTGTAATTCTGTACTCATTTCTCCAGTATGTGTTCATCTCGACTACCCCTACGTTCACTTTACTACTTACCAAGACTTTAGCTCTTGATCCGATCAACCATAGTGGTTTCGAGACCCTGGTATCGTCACAAAAGATCAAATTACATACCATAGGCTCCGTATAATCAAAGATGGAGTTACCGACGGAGATTGAGTAACTCTTATCGGCTAAGAAACAGTAAATTGGTGAAAGAGGCGGAATGAAAAAATGGGAGACAAAAGGGAACGAAGAAAATAACAAAACGAGCAAGTTCTGCTTTGTGATCCTGCTGTAAAATTTAATTCTTTCTATACCAACAAAACCACACATCTATTCAATGGATTCCTTCCTTTCTGTCTCTTTTATGGTACAACAAAAGCAAAAAACCAAAGAATGCAGCTGTACCGTGCCATCTTTTGTCTTCCAATAACTATCTGAGTTTTCATCATACAAATCTATGCAAGACTGCTGATAGTAACAACCACAAAAATGTCAGATGTCTTACTGGATTTGTCGATTGGGAAGCTCGCGAGATGTCCTTCGCGCTCACTTCATAGACTGTTCCCGTCTTCCCGTCCTTGATTTTGATACTTGAAGAGCCTAAACATAGCAATAACATTTTTTTTTACAGCAGTTAGTTCTGTAAATGGTTTCTTCAGGATCATGAATAAGAACGTAACGGGAGTTCGAGTATACTCACAGTTGTAGTCTGTCCATCCAAGCACTTGGTTTTCAAGATCGTACACGACTAGCTTGTTGGAGAGCACGAGATCTGCCATAGAGAGATGATGGGGGGATCGTCACTCGTCAGAGAAAAAAGAGCTCTTCCCAGACGAGAGAAATTCTGAAGATGGGTTGCTAATATCGAATTCTGATTTATCTGGCTCACTGTGTTCACAGGGTGACCACTGACCACTAAAAGCATGCATTTTGGATCGTTTAATATCGCGGTTGAGGTTATGTTTATCAGGTGATGGGGAAGTTTACCAGAATAGAGCCAACATTGAGATGAGATTGTAAATGGACATACCTCCTAACAGGAACATATCCTTGCTATCTCTGGACTGTTGCCCACTATCCTGCCAACCCAAGCACCACACGTCTTCCTGCAGAATCGAACAAAATACGTTGCATGTATTAAATATCTAACGTCTTAAAGTGATTTTCTTTGTATGATTTCCAAACTGTACTACACCTATTGCCACACATCTGATTTTATAAAAGCTGGCTTGAAGGCAAAAAAATCATACCATTTCAACGGTTGTAAAATAAGTGTCGCGTTTGAAATTGCACACAGACAAAATCCCAACAAAAGCAGTAACCATTGACATTGACCAACTTACACGAATCGAAAAGAGATAATCATGAGGATGCACTGCCAGATTGAGGTTATCTTCAAAATGGAACTTCACCACTGGAAACCCATCATCGACACTGCAACAGGAAACCAGGAAGACTGAGAAATGCCTAACAGTAATCATAATCTTTTACATATATTTATGCATATTCGGAGGGGAAATGCAAAATTATAATTTGATTGAAGCCCACGACACCACGAGAAACTAGGTTATAGAAGTTGAGAAGCAATAGCACTGTCCAGAGACTAAATTATCTTGAAATGATTTGACCACACGAATCAACTAATACAAAGGCATTGTTTTACGAGAGTATATTGCACTTGGCACCTTACTTTCCATTGTACTGAAAGCAAGTGAACTGCTCTTCAACAATGTGCGTCTTCAGTCCAGGCTGTCGAGCCATAATCTGATTCGCAGCATAAAAGGAAAAGAAAACAAATTTGGGTGAGGCGGAATGAAGGTAATAAGCAGACTTTCAATCAGAATTTTGATAATCAAGTACCTTTGCCATCATTGGTTCAAAAACAGCACTTGGAACATATGCCAATGTTGTGCCACTGTCAATTATAGTTCCTTTTCTATCTCCAGTGTCAAAGATATCTGATGGAAGGTCTAAAATTTCATTGCCCACTTCAACGTCTTTCAATCCCACATTGTAGTGTGGCCTGCAAACGGTTAGCAACAAATAAAACTGTAAAGGGGGCGGTACAGAAGACAAAGCAAATAGTGCATTGGCAACTTTGTTTCAATGGTACTTAGTACAACAATATAATTGATATAAGAAACCAACCCATCTAACACACAATACTTTTTCACCCTTTTCTTCCTCTTATTTTATTGTTTCTCCCTTATCCTTCAGATTGAAAATAGGGACCGGAACTGGACTCCCAAAAGAAAGCTTACTTCAGGGGCATATATTATAGACAAATTCGAGTAATAGCTGCAAACTGAAGACATGAATAGTCACATACTGGTTGGGTATTAAGGGAGTTGTAGCAACTTTTGGTGAGACCACTTGACCAATTGCAAAAATGCCACCTCCTTTTACACTGTCCAGGCAATGTGAAAACACCCGCTTGACTTTTCCAGCATCAGCAAGTTGAGAGAACATGGAGGAATTTGCCTGTCCAAAACCAATTATCCCATCAAGCGCTTCACTAGATGTACCCAACTGACCAGATTGTTCCGATCCACACCTGGTCCAGATGCAAAAGGGAAAGGAAAAAACCACTTAACTGAGCTCTAAGCAATGGAAGAAGAAGAATTTGAATGAACTAAAAAGGCCCCACTACATACACCGATCAATTCATCAATAGAAAACAAGAACATCCTCAGACAATCATTCAACACACTGTCATCAACTAAGGATATGAATCGGCCCTTTACAACCAGAGAAAGGCAAAAGCAGTAATCTAGCAACAAAGTAACCTTACCTATTTAGAAATCTGTAACAACAGGACCTTATGCTCTCTTCATAGGATGATACCAAACAGACGTTCACATTAAACAATGAGAACTATAGTCAAATACGAGGTTCAGTTTTTACCATTTAAAGCTTGTTGTGATGATATGTAAGATAGTAAACCGAGTTGTGTCGCAACAGTCACACAAAATGTTACTTCGAAAAGGTCACATGAGCACAGCACAACAATGCTTAGCCTATAGGGAAAGACACATCTCATAAAGATATGTCTAAACCGACTTTGGAATTTTCTTTGTCAACCTTCAAGGAGTCATAAGACATAGAGAAAGCACCGTTCCAAACTCTCCCGTTTGCATCTGTCACTATTTGGCCCGAGGAAACCTAGGAAAATCTAACTGAGAAGGTCTCACAATTCCAAGCAACAACACTACTAGCATATCAATAGCAACGTAAGAAATAAATAAACTGTGTACAAATAAATGAAAAATGACATTAAAAACTGGAACTCACCCAAACACAATAGACCCATTCAAGGTTCCAGTTTGAAGATTCCCAGTCACTTGATCAAGCTGAACATTGTCCCTGATATAAAATCCTGAAGTCACACTTCCATCACCATACGTGATACTGTACTGACAAGGGAACTCTTTTTTACAGCCATCAATCATACGACTGAATGTGGAAATACAGAAATCGTCGGCACAAGAAACCCTCGTTGCAGTAGAGGACTTGTCTGGTTCAAACAATGACAGCTTTACCTGTTGATGGAAAGAAAAAGTGAGACATATTTGAAGTCATCAACTACATTTTCTAAAAGGCTTATCTTATTTCCTAATTCTACAAACAAAAACTAAGGACTTAAAAATGAAGGCATCCCTTCCTCTTTCAGAATCAAGAGAAAGCCACGATGCCACAGATACTTGCACATCCCATCTGAAAACTCCATTCTTTCTGCAGCTTTCGGGAAAAAGGCGGGGAAAACTTTCACTTCCTTCTCCAGTTTTCTGCTTTCATTTCCTAATCTAATATGCGGGAAGTGTACTTAACCAGTGTAAAGCCATCACTACAAATATCTCTCCACACACAAGCAGATATAGTGTCACAAAACACAACGAGGAACTTAGGGTGGAAGAGCAACCTACATGTGTGCCTACATATTAACCTTTGCAATAAAGTTTCTAGAAACAAAATGCAGCTTCAAGAACTGAAGGAAACATACACCGAGATCGCTTTTCGTTGGACATTTGGTACAGCCTTGACAGTTCACCCATAGAGTATCGCTTCCCGTGTCGACCTGCACGTAGTAGTCGTTTGGAGGAGTCCCTAGTCCAATTTTTGTGTAGTAGAGGCTGCATCAAGGGCGACCAAACTTACATGAGCTCCCAAAATGCAGTATCCATGGAACAAATTCACGAAATGATTCCAAACCATAATCGAATCCATCCCCAATAAATTCCTGTACTTGGTTACTGTTACATCCAAATTGCCAAAAGTTACTAAGCAAGTCCCAGAAAGATCCAAAACTTTCAAGCCGGAAATGTTGAAAAGATGCAGGATAAACCGTACGGCACAATGGAGGCGGATTGGTTGAAGGGTTCCACAAAGAAAGAAAAATGAACGCCAAGTCAACCACTATGTAACACCATAGAATTGACCAAGGAAACTTCAACTAGACGTGCTTGTAAGGGAAACCCACAAACAGAATATTCAATATTGGGATCCGTATTGAACAGGGAAATTCTCCACATTAATCTGATCGATTGAATTTCTCGGCTTTACTTTCCTGACCACTTCCCCAGACGGCACGGCAATGGGGGAAAAAAATAGAAAGAGGACAAGGAAAGGTACCCGGCCTCGACAGGAACACCATTGCCACCGAGGGGAATCTCGACGGCGGAGAGGAAACGTCGGTGGCGGTTGACATCATGGGCTTTGTAAGCGCTGAGCTGCCGCTCACGGCCGGCGAACTTGTGGTGGACCTGGAAAACCAGGTTGGCAGAGGAGAAAGAGACGAAGAAGAAGAAGCCAAACTGCAGGAAGAGCAGCACCGGCAGCAGCCTCTTCAGATCCATCTCGGCCGTTAACTTGCCGTGCTACTCGGGGAAGACCAAAACAAAAAAGGGCTTTCCTTTCGTTCTTGTTTCAGCAGAAAACAGGGTATTAATAGAACGCTAAAAATTTGAAGAATGGGTGGGAATTGGGATTCAGAAGTTTCAGAGGCCTCGTTTTGGGCCTCGCCGCGTGCAGAGATGGAATTGTATTGAAGACATGGAGATGGCGAAGGCAAGGAAGGGGAAAAGAAAGAAAGAAAGGGAGAGGAAACGAGGAATATGACCGAGCCGATCCAACAAAAGACGGCATATATCACTTTCAATTTTTTTTCATAGAAGGAAAAATAAATAATATAGCCAATGATAATCAATTAATAGATTAGTGATGACATGATTTCTAGTAAATGTGGTAACCTTTCTAATTAATCAATCAATTAAAGTCTTTGTTATGTTGATTAACCTTTTTTTCTCATAGGTAGCATTCTCTTAATCTCGAAAGTAAATTAACTTTCTAGTTGCTATTAAATTTTTGTCTGTGGTAGAAAATTTATGATTAACTCGATGAACATCTTCACATCTGAAATTACATTGATTATGTAGCTAACTAATAATTTTGTCCGTGAATTTGACTATATCTATTACCCATGCTTTATTTGAAGATTAATGTGTAATCTAAAGAATAATCATTTTTTTTATAAAGTCAATTTAAGTACTGTGATTTCATTAACAAACTACTCGTTTTGTCAACAATATCTTTTGATTCTTTGACATTCGGTTGTGTTTTTTAACAAGTCGAAATCTAATTCTGAATGAGTAATATTTAATTCTCTCTCGTATACTCTGTGAATTCATCCACTTTTTAGACTCTTTTGCTTCTTCTCTATCTTTCTTTTGATGTTTGTTGTTCGAATCAGTCGATTAATATTCGAAGGCGGTAACCAATCCGTCTCGCATGCCAGTCTCGGTTCATTTTCAATATTAGTGTTGTCTTTGTACCATTTTTGTAGCTTAATTGAAGATAGGGGGTCTAATTGTTAAAAATATTAATAACAGAGCTTATTTGTTATTTTGGGATAGTACATGGCTTGTTTAGCTATTAATCTTTGCTACCAGAAACGGGGAGAATCCTTCCGAAGGCGCTCGATCGCTGTTTGTTTCGTCGTGTCGGCTTCCATCTCTACTTCCCTGTCACCGCTCGCTCCATTGAATTAACGCGCTTTTTCCTCTACCAGCTTAATCGCAACCGACTTCCCTCCATTCCCTGGTTTCTTTACAAGGAAGAAAAGCTTTTCCTCGAGGAAGTTAGCGGTTCTTCGCTTTCACAAGGAATCTTATCAGGGTTCGTAAGGGGACTCAAAAAGCTGCAAGTCTTGAGCTTTCTTTTCAATTCCCCTTTTTGACACCGTTGTTTAACAATTTTCTGGGTGTTTCCTGTAGAAGAAGGGAAGCATAACACAACATGGCTCTGAATCCACAGCTTCTCCCAAACGGGATGCCCGTTCCATTCGTGAACGAGATGTTTGTATTGGCCAGAGATGGCGTCGAGTTCGAAGTCGACAAGATTCCCGGGTCTGTCTTCTCTCTTTCATAATCTTTTCTGGTGTTGAATTGAGCTGATGAGTTCCTCTCTAATTTCCGCTTCTGGGATCGGCCCGAAATTTGGGTCCTTTTCTACTGTTTGGACTAAATCGATTTGCTTGTAGAATTGAGTGGTTAAGATGAGCTCAGTTTCGTTGCTTTTTTTCGGGTTGCATTTCCTTTTCATCAAGATGTATGTTTCTTAGAAGGTTAGATTTGGCGGTGGTTGCATGTCTCTTCTGTGAATGTGGATATGGAAGTGGTACTTTTTGCTGGCGTTTAGCATCAAAACCCAAGGGGGCTGGCTTATGGTAGTACTGCTGTAAGCTGTTGTCAATTTTGGGCAAAAACAGCTGTAAAGCATCTCGAAGATATATGCTATTTAGCTTTTGACATTAGTTCACTTAGCTAATGACTTTAGTACATGTGCAGTTTAGCTTTAACAGGGACTCACTTGGTTAATGCCTTCAGTGTGTGTAATTTTTAGCTTTTGTCATGGACTTAATCGGGTGGTGCCCTTAGTATAAACTATAATGTGATGCTTATGTAGGTCTAGGTTAAGTTTGCTGCCTGTCTTACAACCCCCTAAATCTTTAGTATAACTATAATGTGATGCTTATTGTGTAAAGATATTTATTGTTCAAAATCATCGCGTTTTTTTTATGTTCGATGATTGCCGGTGTGCCACTGCATAAACTCCCTAGTTGAACCAAAGTCCGTGACTTTGATGTTCTAATACCAAAAGTGTTCATCTGGAAATGTAGTTAGCTTATTGCTTTGAAAAGTTGGATCTAGTGGTGGGTTGTATGTCTATTCTGTTAAGGTGGAATTTTTGTTTGATTCGTGGGAGTGATTCCTTTGGCTGGCTTCTAGTGCCAAAACCCAAGGACATATTGTATTTACTGTTGTCAGCTGTTGTCAATTTTAGGCAAAAACAACTGTAAAGCACCTTGAAATATGCAATCTAACGTTGATATGGATTCACTTAGGCAATGACTTCAGTATATGTGCATTTTAGCTTTTGCCATATCTGTTTGTATGAACTATTTTATGCGTGATGGCATTGCCAAATGGTTGCTCTTTGTCCCACTTCCTTAAGTTTGTTTAACTTTGATCTTTCTGAAGTTGAATTATTGCTGGTAACTGCAGAAGTAATCAGGTCAAAGCTAAAGGAACCATATACTTGTCCAACATACGTATGGTTTTTGTCGCAAGTAAGCCCACCGGAAGCCTGGTTGCTTTTGATATGCCGCTGGTATGTGCTCTCGTGCTTGATCTCTAATGTGGGCTATGTTCACCTTAATATTATTTTGTTCATTTGAAATTCTTTCTTCTGTGAAGTTTTCACAAGTTTCTCTGTGACATTTGTTAGGGAATCTGTGTGTCATTGATGGATTTTATGTTTCATCTTCTTGGCTTTATTTGAATGGTCATGTATTGGTGATGTTAGTGTGAAGTATACTATGAAGAAACAAGTCAAATGTTTGGCTTAATAGTGTTGGTGGGAGGAGGGGTGTGAATGGGTAGTTGTGCAATGCTCGGCTTAGTTGGTTGGGCTTGTATGAAGAAGAAATCTTCTGTAGTGTTCTCTGGTCCAGCTACAAGCACAAATTCTCTACCAAAAAATACAAGCACGAGAATTCTCCACATCATTGATGCAAAGAATTTGCCTTCCCTTCTCCATGCACAAGCATGGAGACCTACTTTTAACCTTTCCTAATTTATTTCACCAGGTTCGGTTGTTCCGAGATGATCATGTCCTTGTTTGAGCTGCCCAAGTCATTTCTTCATACTTCACATCCGCCTTCAGGGTTTTTATGTGTCTCTGACTTCCAAGTGAAATGTTTCTGTGCAGCTTTATGTCCATGGTGAAAAATTTAACCAACCGGTATTTCACTGCAACAATATTTCCGGTCAGGTGGAACCGGTAAGTTTAACTTTACGACACTTCACACACCTCGGTTTGATACAGTTATCACGTTTTTCTTCATTTCCTGTCCTAATTTTTCCAATGATGGCACTTTCAGGTTGTCCCCGAGAACGAGAACAGAGCTCTCTACTCAACTCACAAGTTCAAAATCTTGTTCAAAGAAGGTGGGTGTGGAACCTTCATCCCACTGTTCTTCAACTTGATAGCATCAGTGAGGCAGTTCAGTCAACTGCAGCAAAATTATGCGGCAAGCCCTGTTGTCGACCCGTTGCAGGCAGCCGAGACTCCAGCAGTTGATGAAATGATTAGACATGCGTAAGTGAGACCTAGTTCGGGTGACGTATTAGAATAAATTGACAGCGGCCGAGTTGTGATGTCAAATCGTTTGGCCATTGTTTCTCGCAGGTATGTTGATCCCAACGATCCCACAAAGATCTTCCTGCAGCAGCCAGCTCCAGGCACTGGACCAAGGCGCCGTACATATCGCCCATCTGCACCAGACGCCATATGAAGATTCTGCGCATGATCGAATTGAAGCGAAATGATGATTAACAGCCGTGTTATACCGTGGAGTCCTACTACGAGATCATTCAGTGAAACTCGGACTTGTATAGGCGCATAGTAATAAAAGAAGAAATGAACTGGATGTGATGTAAATGATGTTTCTGATTAGCTTGCTTGACATCCTTGGTTACTAAAACATAACAGACAATTTGCACAATCTACTGGGTTTCCTTCTACCAGTCTTCCCATCTTCTTTCTTTGTCAAATTTAGAGCCTGCATTTTCACAGTTCCAATTCTGCTCTGCATTGAAAACACCATTACATTGGGATGCCCAAATACATGTCATCTCTGAACTGTTTGTTAACCAAGCAGCCGAAAAGAGAAAAGCAAAAGCTGCAAGAAAAAGGCGATTGGATCATCTCAAAAGCAGAGCAAACGAACCAAAAATAGCTTCTGTAACTGAATCTTGTTATTCATGACCCACTAAACATCCCTATAAAAGGACAGACACATCTCCAGCCATTTTCATCTCATCACCGCACCAACAACATTACCCAAAGCATCAACGAACAAGCGCGGCAAAAGGAAGATGAAGGGAGCCGCAGTCGTCTCTGTTTTGGTTGTTGTTTTGGCAATGATTCAGCTCCTTGCCAAGCCAGCAGATGCAGCCATTAGCTGCGGCCAAGTGGATTGTTTCTTGGCGCCGTGCATTCCTTACTTGACCACAGGAGCGGGCGACCCTGCCACTAAATGCTGCGACGGAATCCGGAGCTTGAAGGCCAACACCGCCACCGTCGACGACAGGAGGGCGGCCTGCGCCTGCGTCAAGGCGGCCGCCGACCACTATCCGGTGAAAGAAGACGCTGCTTCCGCTCTCCCGACCAAATGCCAAGTCGCGATCAGCATCCCCATTTCCAAGGCTATCAACTGCCAAACGTAACATATACACACACTCTGTTTTTTTTTTGTCCCCTGTTTCCTCTGTTCTTCTTCATTTCCGTTTTTGCTGCGTATTGATGAAGTCTGTGTTTCTGGTTTCTTGTCGATTGCAGCATCAGCTAAGTGAGGAAGATGAAGGAGAATATTTTGGTGGGTGATGACAAATAAAGCTACCATGCATGGATGGAGCGAGAGCATAATAATCACCATTTTCAGGCCGCCTCTGTTTCTGTTCTATGTTGAATAAGACAACTTTTGAGTGAACTCTTTGCTTGTTTGTGCGTTGATAATAAATCAATGATCGGATGGAAAAATGTTAATGTATTGTTATTGAATCTACAAATTAATACGCTTTCAACGATATCTAGATTACGATTTAGGACTTTACTACGACGACTTCAACGTTTTAACCATTAAGACATATACATGACTATTGAGATATCAATCCTTAACAATCGGCATCTTGTATTTGCATAGTTAGATTCTTTGCTAACCAACAACCACCACAAACCTCTTACAATTCCACTTCCTAGCCTCTCATTCTATCCCATCATTTTGGGATCATTTGACGGTACTGCCCCTAGATATTCGCCTCTCTCTCTCATTTACCAGAAGGTCCTCTTGGTCATTTAACAACACTCTCTCTCTCTCTCTCTCTCTGCCCATCTCCTCAGTCCTCAGCTTCTCCATCCTCCATTGCTGCAGTTCAGCAGACTAGACAGTGTCTTCTCGTCTTCCTCCTCCTCCTCCTCTTCTTCTTCTACTTTCACAGCCTGCATTTTCAATACTCTCAACTCTCCACCACAATTTAACTGTACATTAGCTAATCATCGCAACGAGGGTTCAGCTTCAACAATGGCTCTCATCCAATTCTGCTCCACCTCATCCACAATTCGATCTTCTTCCACTTCCTTCCCCAGCTGTTCTTCCGTCCTTTCCTCCGTCAGCAAAGACCCCTCCCTCTCTTTCTCTGGGTTCCTGAATCCGGTAGCCGGAGTTGGGTCTTCCGCAATGTCTAATCGGAGGAGGAAGGGTTTGGTTCTGACGGTGAAGTCGAGCATGGACACCGTCGCCACCGTCGGACAGGTCACGGAGGTTACTAATGACACATTCTGGCCCATCGTTAACTCCGCCGGAGACAAGACCGTCGTTCTCGACATGTACACCCAGTGGTTGGTATTCAATTTCACTTCTTTTTCACTCCTACAATTACAATTGTGGTGCTAGATAGAACCCCAAAATTTCGGGTCGACTCTTTGCCATTGTGAATTGTTGTGTTGAGTGGAACCCCAAAATTTAGCAGTTGGGAAAGATAGGAACTTTTAAGTATAATCGAAATGGGGAATCTGTCTTGCTGCTGAGTGTTGGTTAGTGGCTGCATTGCTGAGGCCTGATGCAAAGCCGAGTTAGTGGATAGGTAGAAAAAGAACACTGGTATGGTGGTGTCTGCAATGTCATGTTTCCTGTGGCTGAGCATGTCAAAAGAAAATGGTGATGCGGGAGAGTGAGTAGTTATGTCAATTGCTGTAATGGTTGTCTGGACTCTATCCTGCAACTTCAGCTTAAGGATCTTGATCATGGTGCGTCCTAGATTCTTCTCATTCCTCTTGTGCCGAAGGGAATGATGCAAGTTTGACACATGGGCCTCTCCCAACAATTCGTTATTGGGTTAAAGTGGTTTTTGACAGGATATCGTCTGTTGTCTGAGATGTCTCTCCCAACCGTTCGAGTTACTGGGATGAACCTCGACAACTAGTTTCTAGGGGGTAACCTTGGGGACTCTCTTATGGACATGATTGACCAATTGTTCTTTCACTATTACTCTCTTTCATTATCTATTAACTTTAGTTCTGTTTTGCTTGTTTGCTTGAAATGGCAACTAGGTGTGGCCCTTGCAAGGTGATGGCTCCCAAATACGAGGAGTTGTCGAAGAAGTACCTTGATGTGGTGTTTCTGAAGCTGGACTGCAACCAAGAAAACAAGGTACGTGGTCGGTGGTTTGTACGGAATGTTCTAGTACTCATCATGGCCATGTTGTAAGATTTTCATGGCCTTGATTCATTTGTGGCAGCCATTGGCCAAGGAGCTTGGGATTAAGGTGGTGCCAACTTTCAAGGTTCTCAAGGACAAGAAGATAGTAAAAGAAGTGACGGGGGCCAAATACGACGATCTAGTTCACGCAATCGATACCGTTAGATCCAGCTGAAGCTCGTACAGTCGGAGAGACAAAGGTTCATCTGCAAGAGTTTGATTGGCTGGCTGGCTTTGAAAATAACTACTACCCCTTCTTCTAGCGAAATTCGATGTGTTTTCTGATGTTTGTGTTTGGCTGCAATCGTATTCGATCTCTAATTCTACGGAGAGGGAGTTGTGTGTTGGGTGATAGAGGAACATATGTAAATTAGTACATGTCTGGGAGAACTCTGAATGTAAGTAGAATCTGGATTTCTGGATTGGTATTTATCCAGAGCTTGAGCTCACTCTTAATAATTGCTCTGTTAGCTTCACTCTGTCGCGGTTGTAATGTATAAAGTATTCTAGTTGAATGACCATGCATAAAATTTTTCGACGAAAATATGATCATGAACGTAGTACCCTTCGATTTTCGAAAATGACTATCGATTCATTGTATACTCAATTTCATGTGGTTTGATAAGAAGAAGGAATGTAAAATCGCGATTTCCATTCGATTTTGTTGTTCGACTTGCTCGTGTATGGTACCATAAGACAGGATTTGGACAGTCGACGAGCAATCGACTTTCGAGCAATCTAAGGAAAGAAGCGTGTAAAAAATCTGGAAAACAGAGGGTAAAACTCTTTGTTAAACCGTTAGTGGCCAGCGCGGGCAACCATGAACCAACCAACCAACCTCAGTGGGACAATTGTTGTTTTCTTTCCTTTTGTGTCAAGTAACTTATAAATTAATCAATTTACAATAAATAAGGATAAAAATATTAAAAATCGGAATTGGTTACAGAGTCTGCTCTGTTTTGTGGATCGTCATCGCCGTGCAGAAAACAGAATAGGGAGGGAATTGGGAGAATCTCCGGTGAACTGAAAACTCCGTCTCCTAACAGATCGCAATTCGATACACACAGCGGCGCCGCCGACACCCACCGGACGGTTAGTTCAACAATGCCGCGACCACCGCCGCCGCCGACCTCCGTTTAAAAGTCAAGGTCAAAGAAATCAACCCGTCACCCAACCCTTCTTCCTTCCTCGTTTCCTCCCACCTTCCTAATTCCTTTCTTCCTCCCGCTAAATCCCCAGAAAATATTAAGAAAAGAAGACTCCACATTTTTTTTTTGTTTTGCTTCCAATTCCCAATTTTGGTGCGTCACTTCCCGCGATCCTCTGGACAAAGGAGAGAGAGAGAGAGAGAATACGATGTGTGGGATATTTGCGTATCTGAATTTCAATCTCCAGAAGGAGAGGAGTTACATACTCCAAGTACTGTTCAATGGGCTCCGGCGGCTTGAGTACAGAGGCTACGACTCCGCCGGCATCTCCATCGACAACTCGTCCTCCCCTCGCCCCCTCGTCTTCCGCCAGGAGGGCAACATCGAGTCCCTCGTCAAATCCGTCTACCAAGGTACACACAGACACACTCTCTCTCTCGCTCCCTTTTCTCTGATCATCAATGGGGTTCCAGTTACGTCTTCCCTCTAATTCCTTGGTCCTTGTTTCTTGCACACATTGATTCCCACCGCAATTCGTTCACTTCCTCCTGTTGCGACTTCCCTCTGCAATACCCATTATTGGCCTAGCTTTCCTGTTTATTTACTCAATTACTTGACTGGTTTCTTAGCATCAGCTCAGTTTGATTTTTTTTCTCCCAAGTTTTACTTTTTAACTTCATCTTGTGACGAGGCGACTGGAACTGGCTTCCCTACCTTCATTATTGATATGGGCCTTCTTCTTTCCATAATTATATTAGCTTTCTGTCAATTTTTGCTCCACCAAGAAAGGGATGGGACTGGAAATGGGACAAGAAACCTCTACCACTCCCATTTGTGGCCAAAAGTTATCAACTTTGGTTACTTCTGTAGAGTAATGAAAAGGGGAAAGATGGTCCAACTGAGGTTTCCCTTTTCTGAATGGTTCTTAATGCCCCTTTCTACTGAGGTTCCTGCCATGTATGATGTATCCCTCTGCTGCCTTGCCCTTTCTCTTACTGGGTGGAGCTTCTCACAGTGGAAGTTTTACATTTCTGACTATTAGCAGCTGCTATTGGATGATCACTTCTGAAAACCCTTTAAGTGAAAGCTAGAAGAATAATCAACATGCCAAAAATCTTCAAGATCATATTGTATGATTATGGTTCTTCTTACATTTGTTTTAAAATATCTACCAGCAGCATGAGATTCCATGAAAATGCAAACCTGGTGTCAAGATTAAAACTTTTGAGTTCCCCCTTGGTCTGCATTCTGTCTCAAGTTGGCTTCAAGTCTGGACCAGACTGACATGTTCCTGTCATTGCAGAGGTTTCGAGCATAGACCTAAATTTGGAAGAATCATTTGCTGTCCATGCTGGAATAGCTCACACACGGTGGGCGACCCATGGAGTGCCTGCTCCAAGGAATAGTCATCCCCAGGCATCTGATTCTGGAAATGAGTTTTTGGTTGTCCACAATGGTGTGATAACAAATTATGAGGTTTGCTTATGATTTCAACTTTAAGTATTTGTTTTCTTTGTCCAAAGAAAAAACCTTTATCATCAGTCTGTTGTTGCCTTAGGTTTCGGTTTCGGTTTCTCTTTCATGTTCAGGTGTTAAAAGAAACATTAGTTCGCCATGGATATACTTTCGAATCCGAGACTGACACTGAAGTTATTCCAAAGCTTGCCAAGTTTGTTTTTGACAAAGCAAATGAAGAAGAAGGTATTATATGCTACCTGATCAAAATTGGTTTTCCCTGCTCCTCGTTTGGTGAACCTTCTTTAAAATATTATAAAGGGATGCTATTGCCTCTTGTGCAGACACAAAAACTCTTGACCATTTCCTTTTCACTGCTTTGACAAATCATCTTCTTGAAATAACTGGATCGGGATTTCACATTCACAATGCTAATAATAAACATGCATCACTCAACCATGATTTTGTATGCGCAGTATTTTAAACTTTAGACAAATGCTGAAATGTACCTGTCCATCTATTAGTAATAGGATCAGGATGGAAGCTTTTGATAACCCATTGGACTTTTTTCCATATAGGGACGAAATTGAATGTTTTTGCAAGTCTACCAGCTGACCATGATTTCGGGCTGTCTGGTTATTTTGTATTGCACAGAACTGAGATGTAACAGATGCAACTCTCATTAATGCATATCATCAAAACAGTATTTTTCTGTATGTCTCGCAGTGGCTGCTGCATAATTGCAGCTATTCTCTTTGGAGGTTTATTTTGTTGATTCTAGAGTGTGTTCCACTCGGCTTGTATCTGTTGTATTGGAAATTTCAAAAACTAATAGATGACAGCGTTTCATAGTATATTTTATATGGGCTCAGGTACGCAGGCGGTTACATTTAGTCAGGTCGTTCTTGAAGTTATGAGGCATCTCGAAGGAGCTTATGCCCTCATTTTTAAGAGCAGACACTATCCAAATGAGTTGATTGCATGCAAACGTGGAAGTCCATTGTTGCTGGGTGTGAAAGTACGTAAAAAAATTATTGATAACCTATCTGACTGTGTCTTCTTAGCATTATAAATTTGAAGGATTCTCTTATGAATCACGGTATTCATAATTGATAAATTTGTTGTATTGATGCAGGAGTTACCTGAAGACAACAACAGTGGACCAGCCTTTCAGGATGCCAAGTTCCTCTCAAAGGATGGGTGTCCCAAAGAATTTTTCTTGTCCAGTGATCCCAATGCTATTGTTGAGCACACCAAAAAGGTTTTGGTGATTGAGGATGGTGAAGTAGTCCACTTAAAGGTGGTTCTCTATTCGTTTCTCTTCACTTAAGCAGAATATGTATTGGAAGTCTTTCTGTTTCACCTTGATATGTGTATGCATGTGTGACAGAATTTACATGTTCAAAGGACATCACATTTAGGAATTCTTCTTGGGTTCTTTTCATGTTTGGTATAGCAGACAGATGCTAGGTTAAAATGTAGCATCTACATATATGTCTAGCACAACCATTTTAATGCCACTTGATCCTGGATTAACTTCTCAGTATTCTAGATCCATCTTAGATGTTCATGGCTGAATTCATAGTTTAGCATGCGACATGCAAGAGTTTGTTGAGAAGTGAGAAAACTAGTGATTTTGGGAGTGGAATCCAGATGGTTTCGTACTTGGTACTACGCTGTTGTTCATTAAAACTCCAACCCTAATTTCCTCGTACGTATGAGTTCATTGATACATCTTTATTGTCGTAGGATGGAAATGTCTCAATCCTGAAGTTTCCTAATGATAAGGGGAGACATGGTGGCACCATCGCCAGACCAGCCTCTGTACAACGAGCATTATCTGTTCTCGAGATGGAAGTGGAACAGATAAATAAAGGACGGTATGAACATTACATGCAGAAAGAAATTCATGAACAGCCTGAATCTCTGACAACCACCATGAGGGGAAGGCTCATACAAGGAGGTTCCTGTAAGGCAACGACTGTTCTTCTGGGTGGACTTAAGGATCATATGAAAACAATTCGAAGAAGCCGTCGCATTGTTTTTGTTGGCTGTGGTACAAGTTACAATGCTGCTCTAGCTGCTAGACCAATCCTGGAGGAACTCTCTGGTGAGTCTGCTTTTTGCTACAGTATTATTGCAATCCATTGTTCAAAACAAAACAAAAATAGTATTGCCACTTTGAATTAAGATTCTAGTTTTACCATTCTATCAATTTTTAAACAAACAACCATCCCATCGAGTAGTTTTTGTTAAAATATTTTTTCAGATTTCATCGACTTCTGACACTTACCAAATATTCTTTTTCTTCGCTTTTACTAAAACGGTGAATAATATTTTTTCCTTTTTCTATTGGGGAAAAACTGTAGGTGTTCCTGTTACCATGGAAATTGCTAGTGATCTGCTAGATCGACAAGGACCAATATACAGAGAGGACACTGCAGTGTTTGTGAGTCAGTCTGGTGAAACTGCAGATACATTGCTGGCACTGGAGTATGCTCTTGACAATGGTGCATTGTGTGTCGGCATAACAAATACAGTTGGCAGTGCGATTGCAAGGAAAACTCATTGTGGTGTTCACATTAATGCTGGTGCAGAAATTGGTGTAGCAAGTACTAAGGTAGTATAGTCTGTCTATTCTCATTCTGCTGTTTTTTTCAGTGTGCTTCGCTAGATGCTTAGCTTTTGGGTTTCTAATTAACAGGCTTATACAAGCCAAATAGTTGTGATGGCTATGCTGGCCCTAGCTGTTGGAGGTGACACAATTTCAAATCAAGCGAGAAGAGAGGCTATAGTTGATGGTTTATATGACTTACCCAGTAAGTTAGTTTATTCAACATGGTTGGTTCCCCATCAGAGCTTTTATTTTGGGATGTTCTCATTCATTGCGGGTTTCTTTTGTTTGTGTAGGCAAAGTGAGAGAGGTGCTAAAGCTGGACAATGAGATGAAGGATCTTGCCAAAC